AAATCAAGTTCGCTATACGTAGTATCAGAGAGAGAGAGAGAGAGATAGAGTCGCAGTGTATTGGCAGTTGTTGTTGTAGATGTAGTACATATATGGAGAAAGAGAGAGAGAGAGACAGATAGAGAAGGAGATCATAACCGTAACGCCTGGTGATTGTCTTGCTTTGCCCAGGAATGGAAGAAAAACCCATTGTATTATTTGTGTTTTCTCATATAAGTATATATTTATACATATATATCATGTTTTTATTATTCTTTTTTTTCATTTAATTAAATGTTCAAAGTAACAATATAATTAATCAACTATTAACGATTTCCTTATGTTTCTTGCATTTTTTTTTGTTTTGTTTGGTATTCTTTTCTTGTTTGTTTGTTGTTTTTGTTGTGTATAGAACTGCTTTCACATCTAATAATGACTTGAATGGTATAATTTTCAACATTATTCTCATATTTCGTTTGGGTTTTTTTTTTGATGTTGGTTTAAATTCATTTCCCTATTTTGTTACACATATACATATATATATACATATAGTGATATATATACATGTGTATATGTGTAGGTATGTATATATATTTTTAATAATATTCAATAATAATCTGTTTTGCTATAAACTTTCCGATATACATATACATACATTATCATAACTATATGTAATATTAAACATCAAAACAAAAAATCATCTGAACCATTTAACATTTTCAACATTTATGATTACGTTAAAATCTTCGTTATGATTGAATAATATGTGTTTTTGTATTTTTTTTTGGTATTTTTTTTGTATAATTTTGTATATGTAGTTTGTTGTTGTTTTAAATGTTTTTTTTTGTTTTGTATTTGTATTTTGTTTAAACAATTCAAGTGAACTTCAATATCATATATATGTATTTGAAAGAACGCAATAGAGATATTTTCTATATAGAATCTAGTCAAACATTCGCTATATGTAGTATGTAGTAAGTAGAAAGCGTTTTACTCATTAGATCTAAGAGCTAAGAATTGGATAAAGCATAAGACCTGGGTTCGGTAAAACTAGTAAAATCTGTTTTGGGGGAAATAGTAGTTGTAATAATAGAATAGTAATAGTAGTATATAGTATAATGCTAGGCTCTAGTTGTAGCATTTTGAAGTTTTGTAATGAAAGGATTTAAGCGTTCTTCAAATAGAATCTATGCGCTTTTCATAGGAGCCACTTTAAGGCATTCAATCGTTCAATCGTTCCTAACTTTGTATGGAGCGAGGGGCACTATAGGATTGGATTGCTTTCTTAGATTGACAGAGAGAGGGGCTGCGGTAGCCCGAAACTAAGTTCCATAGTTGTTGCTGATACAAGAAGAAACAGTTCAAGATTGGTTCAGTGCTGATTGAAAGGGACATAAGTAAATTTCTCGGTATTTCTTTTGTTTTCTGTTTAATATTGTATGTGTAGTATGTTGATTGTTCATTATGATACTGTTGATGTAGTATATTATATCATATAAGCTATTGAGTACTTTCTTTCTTTTGTTTGTTTTTCTTTTTTTGTTGCTTTTTTTCTTTTGTGTATATTCTCTATTTATGGTATGCTATGTAGATTGTACATTAATTTCTTTGGTATTTGTTAGATCTGTACATAACACTTTAAACATTTACAACACCATATTTGTTTGGCTATTTAAATGCATGTGAATCTAAATATGAGTAAATGTATGTGTACGTTTGTGTTTATAGATATATATATATATTGACTGTTAACTTATAGTTGATCATTTACAAAAGAAGAGGAAAATTGTTCACAACGTTAAGAAATAATGGTGTATTATAGAAATGTTGTGTGTGGTTATTTCATTATCATTTTTTTTTATGTCTTGGCTCTGTTGTATATTTAGAAAAAAGTATTCTTTATCATATATATATATAGTACATATAAGGTTACTTCTGTAGTAGATGTAGGTTGATGTTGTTCTTGTACTTGTTCTGGTTGTTGTTGTTTTTCTTGTGCTGTTGTAGTTGTTGTTGATGATGATACGAGTGGTATATCATATAAAACACCGAGAGTACATATGTCTGAAAGAGACCAGCGAGTCGTAGTTGTGGTGAAGATATTGTAGAGTTGTTGTTGTTGTTGTTGTTGATGTTGATGTTGTTGTTGTTTTTTTTCGTGTTGTTGCAATGTTGATGTTGTTGTATTATTATTTTCAGATATTTTTATTTTGTAGGCAGAGTAGTAGTAGTAGTAGTGGCGCAGATTAAAGATTCAAAAGAGTGTTTCAAATCAAAAGAAGAAAGAGAGAGAGAGAGAGAGAGACACCAGAGAAAGAGAGAGATATAGAGAATGCAGTGTGATTAAAACATTTATTCATATGTATTTGTATATATATATATATATATAAATATATATATTTATATATAGTATATTGATTAGTAGTTAATATTTAAATGAAAAATAATAATAAACGAGAAGAATTCTAACTTCGGACGAGCCGAGGCACAAAAATGTCCTTTCCAAATGTCCATTCTATGTTTAAATATATTTATAAATAGTATTTGATATTGATATGATTTATAATTGGTTATCTCTATAAGGCATACTACAGGCGGATGTAAAGACGGATTTATTTTTTTTTTATTTATTTATTTTATTTTTTTTGTACATCTTTGGAAAGGGCATGCCGTGGTAGTACAGTGGTACACAGAAAAGAGTGATATAGAAATATTGATAGCACAATACATACGCATACTAAATGCGAGCCGTATTTTTAATCGATAAGCGAAACAAAGGAAATATCATCGATTCTAGGGCAATTAAGCACGAACCCGTGTACAATTAAAATATATATTAAATATATATTTTTTCATTACTTAACGGCTCGCATTTGTATTTGTGTATGTATATAGGTATTTTTGTATTGTATATGTACATTCATGCATACAATGTTGCATTCTGTACCAGATTAATTGGGTTTTTTGTATTTATTAATTTGGTGAAACATCGTATTTTATATATACAATCTGGAGTGGCACTGGTACTGTATATGTATATATGTTTTGTAGGCAGTATATATATATTTATATATACCTACCCTTTTACATAGTGGAGCAGACAACAGATAGAGATATGTATTTATATATACGTGTATATATATATAATGTATTGTGGTATTTATTTATATATTGTTTGATTAAAGGTTCCGTCTTTAAATCCTTGGCATTGTATGTATTTATGGCATTACGTATTTTTTGTATGTAAGTATATATTTTTTTTAATTCTGCATGCGACTATATTTGAAGTGTCATGTTCTTTGGGGCAGGGATTCTTTTTTTTTTGGGTGGGGGGGGGGGGGGGAGGTGTAGGCTTTGGCTTGCAATTGTGTGCGCTTCTCGGTGACAAAAATGTATGCTAAATGTATCACAGCATTATGCTCTCGAACTGCCTAGCTTTGCTTATGAACTATTGTCCTTTGCTAAATGGCTACATATACATATGTGAATATATATAATATATATCTAAGATTGGTTTTTTATTTGTTTTTTTTTTTGTTTTGTTTGTATTTTGATTTTTGTCATACAATATATTGCCTACTGAATAATAGTTTGTTTGTCAACTTAAGCAATAGAAACTCAAACGCAAGTTTTGTAATGTTTAATGTATATAGATTTTAGTTTAGGTAGGTATATAGTAGGTGGTTTACTTACATTTCAGAAGCATCAATCAGTATGTTCAGTAAGTATCTCAAATAGCTTTGAATGTCTCAATTGTTGTGTGTAGTATGTTTTTTTTTGTATAGGAAAGAAACAAAATGTTACAGCTGTTAAAGAAGAGTTCTCTTGAGTTTAAGAAATAAACGATCGTGAATACTTTTTTGGTTTTCATGTTTTTTTTTTTTTTTGTTATTTTTGGAATATTCATTTCGAGTACCAACGACGATTTTAACATTTTCTGCAGTCAATTTTTGCTTTAGCGAATTTTCATGGAAAATTTATTTGAATTGTTTTGGAAATATATCAACAAAAGAAGTTCGAGTAAATCCATTCCTTTCATTTTATACTCGTGTATATTTGTAGGTATGTATGCTTGTTATGTATGTTATTAAAGTCCAAAAAAGATTTTCAGCAACGTATTTCGACGGTTCGACATGATTCAGCAACCTCCATTTTGTTTTTATTTTTTGTTTTTGTTTCTGACTCTGTCTCTGTCGCACCATTCGCATTTTATTTGGTTTTGTTTAGTTTCGATTTTGACTTCGAACTCGAATTTGAATTCGTTTTCGTATTCGAATCGATTTCGTTATCGTTATCGTAATTTCGTAATGCTATCAACTAAACAACGGTTATGTATTGTATATTTGGGGCATTGAGTATATTACATTATCATCGAAGCAAAAGTGATTTGAATATTATTAAAGGCGTTTACTATATTTCGTTTATACATAATTTGGTTTATGCTTTAACTACTTTAAAATTCAATAGGATTTCACCGTCCTGTTTTCATACATATATGTATATATATATATATATATATATATATTGATTTTTTTTGTTTATTTTCATTTTAAATTGCATCATTCATTATCGATTTGTAGTTATTATTACAATTATACTATTAGTGTTATTATTGGTATTATTATTATTATTATTGTTGTTATTAGTATTATCATTATTATTATTATTATTATGACATAATATAATCCTTAATATGCTTCACAAAATCTCAATCTGCGGCGATTTATAGTTTTGCTCGATTTATTGCTGCCGAATTATGAGTTTGGTTTATATGTATGGTAAATAGATTATTATTTGTTTATGCTTTTCCAATATTATGTAGAACGATTCGAACATAATATTTTTTGTAACTTTATATATATCAACGAATTTAAGTTGAAGTGATTTAAATCAATTGCATTTTATAAATGTTTCGTTATGTTTTTTTTCTTCTTTTTTTTTTTTTTGGTGGAATTTCTCTGTTCTTGTTCTTATTATTTTTCGAATTACATTTTATTATTTATATATATATATTTTTTTTCTTTTATGATGACTGACATATCACTGCATGACACATTTTCCCTCTATTTGAGTTTTTAGCTCATTTACTTGCGTTTCTATTTGATTTTTCAGTTCTGTAAAAAGAAATTGAGTATGGAAACAGCAATAAATAAGCATATTTTGTAGAGTAGACTACAAATGTTATGTATGTTCAACTGGTATGTATATGTATTTTTATGGATGCTCATGTTAACTAACATAACGCTACGCAACGAATTGTCACGTCACGCAACGCAACGTAACGTAAAGTATTTGAGTGCAACTGTTAACTGTACGTTAGCCATATATATTTGTTCTAAATGAAAATAAGGTATAAGTATTATTATTTTTATTTTTTTGCTTTTGATGCGTGGAATCAAAGGGACATCACTCAAAATGCAATACAGCAGGTGGAGCGGGGGAAATGTAATAAATAAATTCGTTTTCTTCTTGCCAAAATGAAAATATCAAATGTTACAATCATAAATGTTCAATCAATCAATGTCTGTAATGTAATGTTAACGTTTTTAGAGTACCCATGTAAATAGTAGTAGTTAACAGAAAGTACATGTGAAGTTAGAAAGTAATTAACAGATAGACAAGAGTAGATAAAGTAGATTTAGAGTCATTGTAAGTCGTGAATGGAAAATTAGATAGCGATAGTTGAGCATGTGATATAAAGAGTAATTGAGTAATTGAGTGTGTGTGTTAAAGTCGAGGTGAAATACACATACATAGACAGCATATGCAATATATATATTTTACATAGTCCTTCAAGCATTATGTAAAATACATATACTACACATGGATTGAAGAGAAAACAGAGAGTAAACAGTTTGCAAGAGGGAAAAAGTTTTGTGTATATGTACGAGAGTTGTTGTTTAGATAATTTTTCTATGTTTATTTTTGTTATTACATAGTTTGGCAAACACAGTTAGGAAAGTTCTTCGGCAAGTTTATATAGGAAATATTATTTTGTTATGCGTGTTTAGTTTTCATATGTAATTGAGCACACAAGCCATTGAAAATAAAGTTCATTTTTTTTTTTAGTTTAGTTTATATTTAGTTTTTAACGAAATCATACAAAGTTCTATATATTAATTAGTTAGTTAGTGCAGTTGGTGAGTTTGATGTTGTAAAACGAAAAATATAAATTTCTTAATTTTTGTTAAATAATGTAAGTATAATTGAATAATTATTATGACTAATAGCTAGCTAGCTACACCTACACCTGATATATGCAACCCCAAGCTATAATCGAAGTCTGAAAATTACGGGCATCCCCCTAACTATTTAATTATGCATTTTGTTTGGGTTTTCTGCTCTCGTGTGAGAGCTGTTTTTGTTGTGAGTGTTACGGAAACATTTAGTATTGTATTCAATCTGGCTAAACGACAATAAATTCGATTCTTTACAGATAGTTTGAGAGAGAGAGAGAGAGAGAGAGAGATAGACAGAGAGACAGAGAGAGATAAGGAGAGAGATAGAGATAAGTAAGAAGGAGAGAAAGATAGAGATACAGAGAGAGAGATAGAGAGACAATGGTGGAATAGATGAATACATATGCAAAGAGATTGCAATTAGATTACCACACACAAAATGAGTAGATTATACGAATTGTAGCACTTACCTTAGTCTAATACATTATTTAACCTAAATACATTGTGACAATCTTTCAATCGTCCACTAACATCAATCAATCATTTCAATTTGCAACCCAGTTTTGAATACAACACATAATTCGTATAGTAAATACCATTGAAATAAGAAAAACCAATGAAAATATCTAACTAAAAGATGAGTTAAATGAGGAAAAGTATATGAGAAAATGGAGTGCACACTTGATAGGCGTTAAAAGTTGTTTCATTCGTTGCTTTAACTTGATTTCAGAGTTAGTTATATAGAGTTAGCTTATATACGTGATAGTACTAGGTACGATTAGTTAGAGCTTACATTAATTACGCACAGGAAACATAGTACAGATATATGGAGTAGTAGTAGTAGTAGAGAGATAGATGATAGCTTTAGTTAGTAGTTCATAGTTCATAGTTATAGACACGAGCACGAGAAGATTACGACATAAATACACACACACACACACATACACACACAGAGAGAGAGAGAGAGACAGATTTTTACGAGTTCTACGTTCAAGCGTCGTTGTGTGTATTTAAGTATTTATTTTCTTATAGATTGTTTTTATTTGTAGTTGCTATTTGTTTTGTAGCTGTTGTATTTGTTGTTGACAGCCGCTTGATCAGAACTTAAAAAATACATAAGTAAATACATAACTAAAGAGCTCATACAGTTACACACACATATATATATATTTATATAGCACTAGACATATGGACAGTCGCGTCCGACTTGGTGAAACAGATAATAGCATAGATTAAAGACCAGTTGAAGATAGTATATACATATACATACATAGATAGATAGATAGATAATGTATATATGAGTATGAACAACATACACATAAATACAGAATGGTGCAAATTTGATCTCGAACTCACTTGTAAAATCGTCGAGCTCCTCCTGCTCGGCCTCGGCAGCGAGCTCCTCGGGCGTCTTCTTTTTTCGCATCAGCGGATTGGGCTCCTCCTGTGGCATTGCCTCGACAATTTCCTCCTTTTTCTTGATGTTGTACTGTAAGAGTGCCACAGGACAAGAGAGCCACAGAGACATGGATTTATGTTATATATTTTTAGATTGAAAACCTTATGCTTTTCACTCATCATCACTTGGCATTTATCATTATTTGTAACACTTGTATCACTGGGGCATTGTTGACTTGGTCCTTTGTAACTCAATCTGACTCCGTTAGGGAGTCGCTCGTTAAAAGGACTCCCTACTAGAGTCAATTTGAACTGCAGCAGGAAGTTCGGGGGCACACTTTCAAATAACATTGAGGACATTGTTTGAGGACACAACAAAACAGCAGAAGAGCAGAACAAAACAGATTGCCGCTTACCTTATCGCGTATATCCTGTCTCATCTTTTCGCGCTCCTCCTCCATTTTCCGGTGCTTCTCCTTGCGCCGGTCTTCGGCCTCACGTATGGCCTCCTGGCGCTCTCTCTCCTCCTCCTCTGCCTTTTCCTTATCGTCGCCATCATCGCCGCCATCACCTCCTACAGCGCCTGTGTACAGAAGATTCAAAGGATAGAAAACTTAACAATGGACACAAATACTCTTATCATGTGCGTATTATTTTTGAATAGACTTATCTTTGCTTGTATACCGCGAGTATTTACTGTACAGTATACATTAGTTTGTGTCACTTAATTGCTAAAGATTATTCACTGTGCTCGCTCGGAAAGTACCAAAGTACTTGTCTAAAACTGTTAGTCGTTATGTTTAAATGCAATAATATCTTGTCTAAAAATGTTGCTTTAAAAATGAGAATTATTTAAATGGTGATTATTTTTCAATAATCAAGACAATATTAAATATTATATTAGACAATATATTAATAAATGCTATGGTATTTAATATTTCTTTAAAACTCTTTCACTTCAAGTGCTATTTTTATAAGCGACAATATTAAACTAATTGGAGTTAAAGATATTTTTAATATTCTTCATCAATATAATATATGCTAAAAGGCAAATTTCTAAAAGACGTTCCAGTTACCGAGCGATCACTGTAGTAGTATCTATGTATTCACAACAAAATCGGTCATGACCAATTTTAGATTGACATTTTGACACATCGGCGGCATAGATTATACAGCAAAAAATAGACAACGCAAATGGCTGTGTCTGAGTCTGAAGCTGAGACTAAGCTTGAGGTTGGTACTGGTACTGAGAGTGGGACTGGGATTGAGAGTGGAAATGTAGGGCTTATCATGTTGGGTTGGTGGCAACGCGATTAGTTGCAGGGTAGCATTGAAAGCGACGCGACGCATCGGTTTAGTCGGCAAAGTCGGCAGTATCGAAAAGTGTTTGCGGAAGTGGCATTGTGGCAATTTCCGGCGATTTGCATTTGATGTGACCTTTTGCAACAAAGCTGACCTTTAACTGACCAAGGACAGTCACAGTCACACAGAAAGTGAACGCCTAACAGCTAGCTGCAAAAGCATTCAGAGTTCAGAGCTCAAAGAGGCTAGATGTATCGGCAAGTGTTTGTCTTGTTGTTATCGGTTGCATGTGCCGCATGTGGCACCGCGCTCGATGATACAACTCGATTTGGCCAGGAGCTGGAACAGTTGCTAGACAGCACGCGTTCGCCCTGCCAGGACTTTTACGGCTATGTTTGCGCACGCAGCTCAAATGCGGACCAAACTTTGCGACTTCAGCGAGATCAGCAGCGTTTTCAGCAAATGCTCCGCTCTGCTAATCCCGACCAGCTGCTGGCCATGGAGCAGCAGCTGTTGAACTTCTACAAATCCTGCCGAAGTAGTCGTAGCGTGGAAGCACTACGCATATCGCAGCTGTATAAGAGCACTGGCGGTTGGCCAGCTCTCGAGACACGGAGCTCCAATCGGACGCTCAACTGGCTGGGATTGCTGGGTTACTTTCATGAGATGGGTGCTCCATATTTCTTTGATAGCACGATTAGTATGCAGTCGAACAAGCGACTGGTTACACTCCAGCCGGACACGACACGACGTCACACTGTGAGCAAATTTGAGCAACGCATGGCCGATCTCCTGAAAAGCTTCGGTGTGGAGCAGAGTCGGGCGCATGTCGCCTCGCTGGAGGTGCTCAGCCTGGAGCGCAATCGGCGCGAGATTGTCAAGACGGAACGCAGCGACGATCAGGTGCAGTACAGCTATGCGAACTTCAAGAGCAGCACGTTTGGCAATGTCTCCTTGGCTCAACTGGACTGGGATGGCTACTTCAAGCAAATCCTTGGGGGTAAGAGCCTTCGGCCAACGGACGTGATTGTTGTGAAGCAGTTGCCACGACTGGTCGACTATATGCAGCTGTTGCAGAATACTAACATGCATCGTCTGCTCAATTGGATTTGGATAGACTATTTAATGGGTTCGTATACTTAATAATTGGTTTTACATATTACTCATAGTCCACGCTAACGGTCGAGTTTTTATGGCCTGTTGCCAAAGGCTAAAAATTTGATATTGATTTTGTGCAAAAGGGGCGCTTTTTTTCCGTGGCAGAAAATGAGTTAATTGTACAATGTACACGCGAAGGGAAATTTTTTTAGCAAGAGATTGAAAAGTTGCTATGAGCTTTCTATGAACTTTCTATAAAAGTCAATGTCACTTTTAGAGTCACAGTTTAGAATTAACATCTTATGTTTATACGAATAGTTAAGGCTCTTGTTTTGTTTCAAAATCCTCTGTTTTTATTGTAAGGGAAGATAGTGTTGTATATAAAAGTGAATTTGTATACTTAATCAGCATAACGAAGTTTTCACTCATATATCAACTCAGATCTAGAGTCGGGAACTGTTGTGCTGAAGAAGAAGAGTATTGTGTTTTCGGAAGATTTTGTTGTTTATATAAATTGAGCACGATTTTGATAAATATTGCTGAAGAGAGTATGGCTTTTAGGTTTAAGCTGTTAAATTCTGTTATATTAATATATATAATATAGAAGCAACTTAAACTAGAACTTCAAGAAGATTATTGCCAAAAACGTAATCATTTAAAAAACAGTTTTCTGTGTAATATTCATGAAAATTACTCATACGCCCCGTTGTTCATTGCAGATATCGCTGCCACTGACTGCAAGCAGCTGGCGGAGACCTATGCAGGCGATGTCTATGCGCATCTGCTGCTGCGCCTGAGCGTCGATCGGGAGAGGATGACGGAAATGTATGCGGCGATAGGCAGAGCCTACAAGGAGCAGCTGTCGGGCAGCGTTTGGATTGACGAGATCTCCGAGCAGGCCTCGCAGCGTTTTCTCAACCACATCATGCATGTGACCATAAGTGGAGACGAGCGTCTGGATGCTGCCTACCGCGAACTGGACCTGGGCAGAAGGAATTTCTATCGCAATATGGAAAAGTTACGTCGCTTTCAACACAAACGAACGTCGCCCACTTCAGATGAGCTGCAGATGCGTCAGTATGCGCAAATCTTTGAGACAGTAAATGGCCTGTTGCCCAAATTGAATCTGAGCATGCCGCTGAACTATGTGCTGGTTGGGGAGCGTTTTGCACGCAACCTCATCGCCGCTGGCAGCAGTACCCTGACGCCGGGCGCCTGGCGCAGCATCGACTCGGATCGACAATTTGCCCAGTTCCAGCAGTGCAGTAACTCATCGAATCCCAATGAGCTGCTCCTCGCAATCCTTGGCCAGCGCCAGACGGGCAATTGCTACAGACAATGGCTTGGCCAGCAGTCGGCTGCTGCATTTAGGCGACAACTGACGTCTGCCACAACTGGACAACGGTTGCAGTTATCTCTGGAGCGTCTGTACTTTATTGGTAGCCTGCTGGTGGATTGTCGTGAGTTGCAGATTGCGGGTGGCGTCCAGCTGGAGCGCAAGCGGCAATTGCAGCACACACTCTTGCGTAACTCGGCCACATTCAGTGAGGCATTTAATTGTCGACCAGGCGATGCTCTCTACTCACAGCAGCCGCTCTGCAAGATTGCGTGACAAAAACATACAGACAGACTCCAAACACACACACATATAGAACTACCAGAGGGGAAAAACACTACTTGAAAAAGTTGCCAAAGAATTGTGAAGAGAAAGAAAACTTTGTGCGCTGCTTTAATGCATAATAAATTGTAAAGCAGACAATAACTTTTGTATTTGGCGCAGACCTTGAACTTTTTACGAATTACCCTTTCTTTTCCCTGCCTGTGTGTGTTTTTTTGTTGTTTGGTTAAAAATCGATAATTTTACGCCTCATGCCCTGCAATCACGTGCCCAGTACGGAAAATGGGGGGCCGTTACGGTTTTTGATTGATTTTTGCTTAGTTTGTTTTTCTTTTATGCTTTTCCGCAGCATATGCTTGAGTTTTTTTTGTGCTTTGCATGTATGTATTGAGTATTGTATTGAGAGGATAGTAAAATAAAGGGAGAAGTTTAGTTTAGTTATTTTGTAATTGTGACTTACATTTAGCAGAGAGAGTATCAGTTACAGTTGTAGAAATAGACAGAGAGCGAGAGAGAAATATATAGACAAATATATATGAAAATATATATTGAAATGAAATCAAAAAGAAAAAATATAAAAGGCACACAACATCGACAAGTACGAAAGTACGAAAATACGATTTTGTTGTTAACTAAGGCCATACCAATGAAATTCATAATTTCGTGGCGCTTTTAGGCCAATGCTATCTGTCCGTAGTTGTGGCTTTTGTTGAAAACACGCACACGCTAAAATGCAGCCACTGCTGTTGCGACGATGTCGATACGACTGACCACCGCACCGCTAACACCTCACACACACACTGACGCTGACGCTGACGATGAAGCTGACGTTGGCGAATCGTGTCGATTCCGATTGCGATTCCGAGTTTGAGTCCAGAGTCGTCGCTTCTGCTGCAACTAACTGACACAGTGAGCGGTACTGTTGCTGCTGCTGCTGCTGCTACTGCTACTGCGATTTCTGGTTCGGCTTTTAGTTCGTCTTCGTCGCCAGCTGCACTGTCTTCGGCTGTCGTTTCGTGTGTTGGTGTGCCATGCTTTGGTTGCCATGACGCTTAAACTGTAATCGATTGCCAGCACTAACAGTAAAAAACGAAGTGCGAACGCGTCCACGAGCGCACACGAACTGAGCACAGCACACAACTGAAACTGAAACTGAACTGAAACTGAACGGAACTGTTGTCTGCTTTCAGGCGGAGATGCTGCGAATGCTATCTCTCGTCGCTACTTTGTTTGATGAGTGAGCGAACTTCAGTCGCTGGAGTGCAAGCCTGGAGTAGGAGTATTGCCAGCAGTCGCCAGCCTTTTTATGCCCAACTCGCTGCAGTCGCTGCCGCTGTCGCAGTCTCAGTCGCTGCTGTCGCTGCTGCTGTCACAGTCGCAGTCACAGTTGCTGGACCGCGCTGTGATTTTGGATGACCTAAGCGCAGGGGTTGACTCTTTTAACTGTTAACTGTGAGGGAGTCTGCGCAGTTCAAAACTTCAGCATGCTGATAACAACAGCAGCCGCTTTAGCAGTCTCGCTCTAATTATTTGTTGTCGCACTCGGGCAGCGCTGTCGACGTCGACGCAGCTTCCCAACGGCGCAAACGCACTGCAAGCAAAAATTCCCACGCGCTGCTCTTGAGCGCTTTTTCTCAACCATCTGCCGAGCGGGATTTTGGGGGTGGTAAGGGTAGTTAGCGGGGCTGCTACTGACCACATTCTACTGCTGCCGCTTTTGCTGCATGGTGCTAAAGGCAACGCACATTAAATTGAATTTATAGTCATCAATTTGCTGAATAGCAGCGTGAATTAACTTATTTTTTTTTAGGGGTTTCGTTCATCGCTTTGATTTGTGTCGACGACCATTTATTGTTTTTCTTAAATCAGTCCCAAAGTATTTTATAATAAAAATTGATTTCACTCAACACAAAAAGAAATGGTGTCAAATTGTATTTTGCCAAAGAGCCTAAAAGCGGCTCTCCGCTCCCCCACCCCTCCATGCATACGCAACGAGCGGCAAAGCACAAGTCAACCCCCCCAATCACACGCCCACTCGCTCTTGGAGGCCAGTCATGCGAATGTTGCGCTTTTATGAGAGTTTTGTAATTTGCTTTATGAACTTTATGAACTTCCTTTTATGCCATTTGCTTTTTTCCGTTGTTCTTCCTTTGACTTTTTAGCTTTTCTATATTTGTGGCTGCAACTGACTCTGGAGCACCTTTACATACATATGGATATATGTATGTATGTATGTATGTATGTATTTATCTATCTATATATTGGCAAAGTCAGTTTGGAGTTTGCCTTGGAGCCGAACTCTGCGCAACTCAATTAAAAACTAATCAAGCCTATTGTAATATAATTATCATGACAGCATAATTAACACCTCTTGTGCATGCACCCTTCTCCACTGCCCATACACACACATACCCTCTTTGCACCCTTATCAGCATCTTTTCTCCATTTTCTTCATCTATTCTGTGCTCTATACTACATTTTTGCCGGCTATTTTGCATATTTCATTTATTTTCTAATGGACAACCCGTTGGCCATCGATGGACCTTCAAGACTCCTCGGAAGCCATCAATTTGCATGCAGCATTTTCTTGACAGCTCCACCCCTTCCCCTTCCTCAACCCCTACTCCTACCCCATTCTTTGCCCACGCTTGGCAAATGAAAAAACGAAATCACTTTGAATCTATCCTGAGTATACAAATTGGTTGTTCTAAGGACTCTTCTTTTTTCTTTTTCTTTTTCGTTTTTTTTTCCTCTTTTATTTTTCTTATTTTGCGTTAAAAGCTTTACTTTTTTGTGTTGCGTGTCTTGGCCATAATGAGGGTACTTAATACCTAGCCCTGCGGCTGGGCCGTGTTATATAGTTGTAGATGTTTAGATGTATACGTATGTGTATATATGTGTGTGCTTATGTGTTAGCTATATATCATCTGTGTGTGGCAAGAAGTTCTTGGCTAAGTGCTGGGCCCCAGTCATAAGTCTGATATACGATCTAAAGACCGGATAAGTAAGTCGCATGCTGCGTTTTATTGCTTCGACTGCTATTTTGAATACCAACACGTCAGGCGTTGGCAGTTGTAGGTTAAAGGGAAGGGGGGGGGATGGAGATGGGGGATGCGAGTTGGGGTTGGGTGGTGACCTCTGCCGTAATTGTCATAGGCTGACTTGGATGTGGATCTGAATGTGGATGACTGGATGACTGGGCTGGTGACATTTATGCGACTTAATACGCGCACGCTGAGGGAATACTACATTAGAGTTCCATTTCCATTTGTATGGTCACACACACATACACTAGCACACACACGCGCGCTCGCACACACACTTGCACACACACACACACACATCCTTGTGAGCATATGTATATAAAATGGCAAGGAAGCGTCTGCCATTTGTGCGAGTGCCACAGAGCGCTTCAGTTGCCCATCATCCTTTTCGCTCCTTATGTGTGTAATTTTTTCAGCTTGCTCTTTTTTTCTTCTTAATACTTTTTTTTTGCTGTTACTGCTGTTGTTGTTGTTGTTGTGTGGAGTTGGTAAAAAGGCACGAACGTCAAATTATTTTCTTGCTTAATCCGGTTCAAGACCGCTGAGCTTTGTTACAGCTCCTCCCACTCCACCATCTCTTTTCGTAACTCGGCAGCGGCTGCATCCGCATCTGGGTCAGAGCTGGAGACGACAACGACAACGACGCCGACGACGACGCTACAAATGACAGGAAGTGGGCGGTCGCTTTGGTCGCCCGGTCGCCCGGTCGAGCGAGGGCAATCCTTGTGCGTAAGTAGAGACGCTTGGCTTAAGCAGCTGAAAATGCGCGTTGCCTTGCCGCCACTTGCTGTCACAGACCCACTCCGCCCAACTTTTCAGCTGGCAGTTCATCATCAGTCGCCCCTCGCGCGTTGCAAATGATTTCATTGTCATAGTCGCTAATAGCAACTACCATATTCCCGGCGTAATTACATTTTGACAGCCTCAAAGAGCCCGGAATATTTACTTATGGCCCCCTCATACACACACACACACACACACACACACACACACACACCCTCTTGACACTTTTCGACGTGTATCTTTAACTCGTGTAGCTGTACTTGTATCTGTATCTGTATCTGTATCTTTAACTGTAACTGTAGCTGCGTGAGAGTGTGCATAAGTAAGCAGAACAAGAAAAGAAAAGCAATTTTTGTTGGCACGTCGAGGATGAGATACACTTGCCGAAGTTGAGACACACTTGCCGAGAATGAGTTCCACTTGCCGAGAATGAGTTGAACTTGCCCCTTGCTCACATATTAATTTTAATTATTTAAAATTCGAGTGATTTTTTTCTATCTGATATCTATAGGATATCACAATCCAAAGTGATCAATTTTTTCCCCAAATTGATAACAGCCTTGAAGCTTCTGTCAAATATACGAAGCAAACCCAGAGTGTTTTTAAGCTCCTCACATTTACATTTACAAGTATAAATTATTCAGAGAAGAACCCAATTTTCGAATATTTAAACTTATGTAAATGTTAGGAACATAAAATTACTCTAAACTTAATTGGGATACATTGGGATATATAAAGGTTCTTGGAATATATAAAGGTTCTTAATAACGATTCTCATCTCTTGACCGATGGTCTTTATGGTAGCTTTATAATATGGTAGTTCGATCCGATATACTATAATACTGCATACAGCAGTAGATGATAGATAGATGTCAAAATAGTGGCATCAAAATATCATAAATTCCGATAATTCTTATAACGACTGCTAATACTTAAGTAGAATATATAGTATACTTTATGAACGGACATGTCTTCCGCAATGCATTACAGGCCTCACAAAGAAAATAAAAATGCCATCTGCATAGGGTATATATAGAAATGGGCGTGTGCAAGTGTTAAGCTGTTGTCGGCATTGTGTGTTGTACTTGTGGCAAAGTATGCCTCAGATAATGCTCATTCCTTTTACTGAGCTTCCTCAGTTGCTGAGCTGTTCACTTGTTCAGTTGTTCAGTTGCTCAGTTGCTCAGTTGCTCAGTTTGGCTTCTGGGCTCGTCTACATAATGACGCAAGTAAATCTCATTGCCATTTCGCTGGCTGGCTGCACTCAATTCTTTTCTCTAGCACCAGCAATTAGTTGTTAGCCGACAGCACACTCATACAACTACACTCACACCTCGCAGCAGCAGCAGTCCCTACCTACCTACAACATCCTGACCCCACCTCCAACCCCACAGCAGCCGCATCCGCAGCTGTTCATGTCAATGTGAGGAATGTGGCTTCATGTCAGCAAACGCTGGAAATTTGACAAAAATGCTGCCAAGTCTCGCGTTCCCTTTGCCTCTGACAGCTGATAAACTGCATGCAAATATTTTCGGTCGCTACGGAGCACAAATATTTAAAGAATTTTTAATATGCACCATTTATGTGGAACTACCACCTACCCCCACCACAGATCCGCATAACCCAGTCCATAGCATCCCATACACACACACACACAAACACTCTCAGAATTTAATGCGTCATTTTGCGTATAGTTTTGTGGTCTTTGGTGCCCACAGAATTAGTTATGCCACGCGGCACTTAGGACGTGATGAAACGCCAAGATACGGCTGAATACATTCCTCTTAATAACAGTGGTTTCTAAATCAAAGTAGGTTTTTAGTTTAAGAGCGATGTCAAGGTCTTTAATCTCTTTGAAAAAATTGAGAACATTTTCAGTAATTCATTTTCGAATTCAACATAGAAAAAGGTGACTGGTGATTTAAAAATTATGATTCAGCTTGTAGCATAAGGATAGAAAAATATCAACAAAATTTCAATATTAAATTTATAAATAATAATTCCATCTTTAATTTAAATTTGTGTACATAGTTTTTAAAGTGAATATTTCAATAGTAAACCAAACTTATATCTTACGGAGGCTTAAGCATAAGCCTCTCTATTCTTTCTTCTAAGTTAGTGAAAAATATATTTTTTATGATAATATTGATGCTTCCCAAAATCTGCTTTCTATTTTAGTCTGTTATAGTAGGAATATTCTTTGAACTAAAACTTTGATGTATTTTCATACCATTCTACAAATCCAATTAGTGGTACGTATAATCACACAAAGACTTCAGCTGGCAGACTGCATCAGACTTTTAAGGATTACATCTTTGAGCTGTGAACAGCACAGAAATTGTGTAAAGTTCAGAGAGTTTCAATTAATTATACAGTTGCCACTTCATTATTTGTTTGCATTTCCTACAAATTCAAGCTGCCAAAAATCATAGAATTAATTAGTGCGTTTTGCGCTTGTTAGGTCCTTAGAACCTTTGAGGGCAATGTAAGACTTGAAAGTGTATGTAAGTTGCGCTCTCAGCAATTTTAATTACATCAACAATTTTGTGCAGTAAGAAGTGTGGCCTAAGTCAAATTCTCTGGACTGCACTTTAGCTCAAAGTTGCCAACTAAAAAATTACATATTTATTTTTTGCTCTACTTTTTTTTAAGACTATTATTCACGCAGCTGTATAATATACTTTAAGAATTTGATTAATCTTTGCGTTCACTCATTTAATAGTTACGAATTTCTCTTGCGAAACTCTTTCTCAACAATCATTAGAAGCAATTTGTCTATGCACGCAAAGTGGGCGAGCTTTGCTTTAAGAATCTACTCAAGTGTTATTTGAACAGTTTTGGAATCTTTAAGTATCGATTGAGAACCAATTTGTTTTGCAAATTGGAGCATAACAATGTATCCGACCTGGATAATTGAATTTTTACGTTAACCGCAACAAGTTTCCTTTGACGCAAATGTGACAAGCAATTGAGAATTGGCAAAAGTATGCGACATCTGCATTGGGGGATAAGTATATACATCAATTGTAAACATATTGTGGACAGCTGTGACTGTAGTTGTATTTGCTGTTTTTGTATCTGTATCTGTATCTGTATCTATATTTTTGCATTTGTATCTGTCTTGGATGTGACGCGTTGTCTTGACTGTTTGTGGCATGTGTCGCATATGTCAGAATCTGTTTGCTCATCAAAATGGGAATCGAGTTTACAAAATACTAGAGAATCGAGTATTGAGAGTATGTAGAATAGTTTGGAGAATATAGATGGGGGCAGATATATATAAAAGGACCTGCACTCGGCTTCTTTTTTTTTTGTTATTGAAAGCACATTCAGCATTTGTGTTATTGACAGGCTTAGCTAAACTTAAGTGTCGGGTCTAAAGGGTTCAATTTGGGGATTTTGTAGAATAGAATAGCTTAGTATATAGTATACATATAGTGGATAGATAGTTAGATATATATATAGATAGATAGATAGATAGGTAGTTGTGTTTATATACATAGCAATAATATTTACTTATACTTTACCTCATTGTAAATACGTTGTATATATAGTTGTAGAATTTGTTGTTGTAGTTGTAGTTAGAGAGTAGTTATAGTAGAATAGGTAGTAGAAGATGTAAGTTGTTTTTATTGTAGTTAGTATGGTTCCATATATGGTTGTTGGTAGAGTAGAGTACGAAAATTGTTGTAGTTTTTTTTAATTGTTGTTATTGTTGTTGTTGTAGTAATAGTTGGAGTAGTAGTAGTAGTAGTAGTAATAGTAGTAGAAGTAGTTAGTAGTAGTTAGAGAAGAAGTAGAAGTAGAAGTAAAAATTGATATAGAGAAGCATTTTTGTAACAAACAGAAAACCAATAGATCGAAATAAGTAACGCTCAAAAATACGAAACAAAATTTCTAATGCAAAATTAACTGGAAATTGTGGTTAGTAGTTTTTTCTTTTTTTTTTGTTTCTTTTTGTAATGGTTAGTAGATAAAACAAAAACTCAATGCAAACTTTTCACAGTTCTCCAAATTGTTAATTATATTTCAGTATCTATATACTATAACAGATTGTGATGAGGATGAAAAAATCAAACATAGTAATGAAAAAGTTCACCCAATTAACGGAAAGATGCAAAAGGGATTTTCTCGCTGCAACAGATATTATTCAACAGAAAACTAAAAATAAAATTAAAATAGTTCGTTCGCGCAACTTCATCATCAACTTCATGTTGAACAAAAAGTGAAATTTATCTTTTAGTTTGCTTTTTTTCAGTTTAATCATATTCAAATTGATTTTGGATGGCAGCAAAAGTTTTGTTCGCAAAACTTCGTGTATGCATAATTAAGTGAAAGCGCATTTTTGTGTGTGCAACTATTGCAGACTCTTGAATTATATATTTATTTTGGAGAGGGGGAGGGGGGTGGTGCAGCAAGTAAAATAGTTAATAGTAAATAATTATGAATTCGTTGTTGTATTTTAAGTAAGAACTAAAAGGCAATAAAGCCCAATTGTATGTATTTATATCATATCATATATTGAGTACAATCTGTACACGATTGGGGATGCTGATATTATATGTGGGGTGGCTCTAATTTGGAATTTCGCAAGAATCGAATCAAAAATGCATTTTGTGTGTTCATACAAAAGATTAGGAGTACGATTTGGAATGCAAAGAAACGAGATTATATATATATATATATAAATATATTATATAGTAATTGTAATTAGGTAAATTTGTTTGTTTTTTTTTTTTTTTGGAGAAATTACCGCCGCCTGCAGCATCTGTTTAGCGTGTGTGGTCGGTGAGGGGGGGAGAGTAAAGGTAAAGTTTTCCATTAATACTCCACTCTTAACGGTATTATATAGAAAGTAGTTTTAGTTAGTTAGTTGATACGCTTTATGGATAATGCGTTAGACGATTCGGGTGAGAATGCGATTATATAAGTGGATAGCTTGGCAGTTAAGTAAATATATATCAGAGAGAGAGAAATTGAATAAGTTGAAAATGTATTTTAGTAAGTAGAAAGAAAGTAGTTAGTAAATAGTTATTTGTGTGTATTACTGTGTTAGTGTGTGTGTTTTTGAGTTTTGTTTGAAAAGGGACATTAAAGTCGTGTTTTTCGAATGTAAATTGCTGAAGCCCAATGTTTACAAATATATATGTATATATATATGCATGGATAATTCTCTGTACGTAGCTCAAATTTCATTCTTTTTTTTTTCGTGTGTCTTACAATGTGGGCGTGGGAACCGGTGGCGTGACTAGGCGTGGCATTCATACGGTTACAAAATAAGAAGAATCGTTCAAAAAAAAAAAAAAAAGGAAAAACGTAAAATGAAAAATGAAAATGAGAAAAAAATAACCTTATTTGAGGGTAGGCAGTAAGAAATTGTAATAGAAGAAATTGAATTGTGTTTTTTCTTTCTTTCTTTTTATAAGTATATCTTATAAAGGCAATGGCAGCTGTGTTCTCATTGTTGCTGGGCGTTAGGGGCGTGAAAATTGTGGGCATTGTTGTTTGAATATGTGTGTGTGTGTGTGTGTGTGAGTGTGTGGGTGTCGTGGTCGTGAAGTGCATGAAAATTCTAAGGATTGCTGTGCACTTGGGTATCGTTTCGAGGTGTTTGCTGTGTATTATGAGCAGTTTTTTGTTATTTTTCTTATATTATTTTCTTTTTGGGTTTTGTATTCTTGCTATTTTTTTTTTTTTTTTTTGGTGTGTTTGTCAAGCTCTTGTGTGTTTAGTGTGTGTTTTACAATGAGGTAAAGTTCGGCTGTGAAGGTTGTCGAGTAGGAGGAGCGTACAAATATGTACATTTTTATTTTTATTTTTTATTTTCTTTTCTGTTTTTTTTTTATTTATTTTTTGTAATAGGGGCTTTATATGATTTGTGTGTGCACTTAAGCTTAAAGAGAATACAATACAAGTAGTATATGTTACATAAGAATACGTAGTTATTAAATGGAATATGGATGGGATACTAGCTAATGGGAATTCGAGTGGGTCGCATGGATCTGCTTCGAGCCATAACTAAACGATCTTTTGTGTATGCATGTGTGTGTATTGTGCATGTATAAGTGTGTGTGTGTGTGTGTGTGTATGTGAGTGTGTATTAGAAGTTGTTTAAAAAAAAACAAGTGTTTTGTTAGTGCAACGCTAGGCTTACGAGTAAATTAAATAATATTTGGTTTTGGTTTTGTTGAATTTGAATATTCAATTTCAATTTTGAACGAGTCTATTTTATGCAATCTTGTAAAATTTTCTAATTATTTTCAAATTCTTTCATTAGACATGCTTTTTCTTTTTTGGCCAATCAACATAATTTCGGTATCTCCATTCAAAACTGAAACACAAGCGCTAAAATGATAACTAAACGGAATTTGTGCCAGATATATAATAATGTTCGTTATATAAGTTGTATATATCATACATATATTTGCATGTATGCAGGTCGATAAGTAAACTTATTTTCAAAAATTGTTAGCTCATTGCGTGAAATTCGTTTGAGATGTAAATGCAACTTACGCACTTAATGGAAATTCAGCTTAGTTTCACAAACAAAACGCTTACCTGAAAAAGAAGAAACAAGTACAAAGTTTAATATTAGTTATGATAGTTTCCCCTTAATAATATAAACATTTATATTTTGTTTGCTTTGAATATTGAAATATGGAATAGCTTAAGCTTAAAATTAGAAGCTAATTGTTCAAGTTGATATAGATACTTCCAGCTCAATATTATATGTTACTGCTTTATAATTATAAATGGAACAAAATACCAATTTATAAAAGTTAAGAACAAGTTGGAAGAAGATGTAATAATATTTTTCTACTTTCAGACTAAATATATTGAATATTTGAAATATTTTTCAACTTGCAAATCGAAATTATAATGTCCTCCTAAAGAAAGTTTTAGCTTAATTTAAGATCTGATTGTCAAAATTCAACTGTAAATAATTAAGGATATTTGACAGGTTGAAATTATAATTTATTGCTTTATAAATGTCCAAATTAGCTTTCAAGTTTCGAATAAGATGTATAAGCGTTTAATTTAAACAATATGTCGAAGTTAAACATTATTTGCCAAATTATAATTTATGGCTTTGTAAATATTAAATTTCGGTTAAGTTTTGCCCGTTATCAAGTTTGGAATAGTTCAACAATAAATATATAAGGATAATTGGCAAAGTCGAAATGATAATTTATGGCTTTTACTCTGTGCCGACTGTCTGCACGTTTGGAACATTTATTACTAGACCCCCGACAAGTGCGGCAAATCCATATAACTTATTCCCGCATAAGACAGGCAATAGTAATAAAGGCTAACACGACAGCAGCTCAAATAAATTCAACGATTGTGAGCTCACAGCTCACGACAATGGAAACGCATTAGCTAACTTACCCAACCCCAACCCCAATACCATATGTTCCCCACCACCCCCAACCGCCCATATGTTCTCCCAAGACGCACACATAAGATGCAAGAAATGTGTTTTCTTGCCACCCTTCCACAACTCGTGTTTAACTGAGTTGAAATCGTGTCACAGTTGTGCAAATGTAAAATTAAATTCCTAAACAATGTTTCGAATGTGTTTTACATAGTTCGATATTTTTTATATAGTACTTTTTACGACTTTACCATTTGCTTTTTATTTTTATTTCTATCGCATTTTTTTCTACTTTTTTGTCGCATTTTTATGTCAAACTTTGATTGGCTGTTGTGGATATGAAGTATCTGCAGTTTTGTATTCGAGGTAATTGACATAGGTAGATGTGTGTGGATGCTATGTGTGTGCATTATAAGTGGCATATAAATATATATGGTATTTCGATGTGGTTTCTCGATTTTTATGGTCCAAATGCTAATGGCATTTTCATGTTTTCGGTCAGTCTATCAATGCCACAGATTTTGACGGCCTAAGGCCCAATGCCAAACCCGTGCCCAAGCCGAGCCGTAGTCGACAGCAGTGACAAGCACTGTGGCAAGTGGCAAGTGACTGTGGCAGGTGGCAGGTGGGTGAGTGGGTTGGGCTTTTTGCCTAATGATTGAGCTGGCCGTTGATTCTCTTTCTGGTAAGTGGTTCAACTCAATGCCGAGTGCTGTAAATTTAGCATCAATCTACGCAATTAACTGTATCAATTTGTTGAGAACCACTTCCCGACGCATTCGTGCAGAATTTTAGCGCTTGATAAGAAAGACTTCAGCGCCAGCTTCAATTTCAGTGAATCTAACCAAAAAGGGAGAGGTCGTTTCTGGTGTTCAGCGCTTGCAAATTGACTGAGTGCTGCCTATATACATGGATACACTTATATACAGACGCCTAGATACATACATAGATACATAATGTCGTAGGCTATGTAGAGGAGGACTCGTTGTGTGGCATGTCGCATGCTGCCAGTTGATAAGCGTTTTAAATAAAATATTCCAGCGTACGTAGCCACGTTTTTTTGAAAGCATTCAATGATTTTCCAAGCGATTGCACAGCCTGCGATTAAACAATAACAACAACAACAGCAACTACTAGAAGCAGAGAGGTGGGATGCTGGTTTATGGTTGTTGGATGGAGCTGGAGATGGTGATGGAAATCGTGGCTAAAAGCGTTAGCCACTTTCATGTGTGGCAGTTTTCTTGGTTGGCTGTGCAGCAGCTTGAAAATGAATTATGTATGTTTATCGATCGCTTATACCAAAAATACCGTATATCTACTTATGGGTATATCTAGTATATATATATACATATATATATGTATTTATATACATATATGCATGAGCATAATCATAAGATACTTTGCAAGGGTAAATGTATCTTGAGTGACTTTTACTTACCTTTAACGGCACTTAATTGGTTTCCAACCATCTGTTTCGCTATGAACGCCGCCATTTTGTTTTACTATTTTTTCCCCTTTCTGTTTTTTCGGCACTGGCTTTCTGTGTGTGTGTGTGGGTGTGGCAACACTGGCTAGCAAAATGCACTTGCGGTGGCTCTCCCAACTCTCTGCAATGAAGAAAAGCCACATATAAAAATATATGTATAAATATAGCAAAGAGAAAACAAAAAAGACAGCAAATTAAATTGTGCTCAAACAGGACAATGCCCAGGAGAAGAGGACCCCCATCCTGTCCCCTTCCCTTCCACCAGTCGTTTCTTAGCAATACGCATAGTGAACGCCTGTTGACCAAGATGGCCTGTCACCTGTGTCGGGGTCTGATACTTTAAGCCGATTAGCTTAAATGCCGCTGCTGCTTGGCCGCCTCGGCGACTGCCCAAGGAAGCAGCGAAGTTCTTGACAGGTCGCAGTTTACAGTTCGCAATGTACTCTAACTGTCTTTGCACTCGAAAAAAAAACTCTGAGCAAAATGGGAGTTCAACTGGGATTGATTAAATTAGTAGTAAAATGCGTTCTTGACTAGTTTGTTATGGTTTACTTTATAAATACGAACAAAGATAATTGACTTAAGTGCAAAATACCCATTAACAGAATTTGCGTACTTAAAGCAAGTGTAAAACGCTTTAGAGCTTTTTGTGTCACTCAAACGAAATTAGTTTTATTTCGAAAAGATAACAGAATTGATTTGGATTGAGGTAATCAAGCTTTTGCTTTGACAGAATTGATAAGAGAAGAACTTTTATGCATCACTCAAAATAATTTAGTTTTATATATATATTTTATATTTAAAGTAATCAAGTTCTTGCTTTAACAGTATTGATAAGGTAAGAATTTTGTTGCAATATTTAAACTAATTCAGAATCGATATGACTTAAAGTAATCAAATTTAAAAATAGAATGCTCAGCTTTTCTCAGAGTGTACGTACATATAAAGAAGTGTGTGCGTTCTGTGTGGGGAAACATTTCTGAAATTACCACGCAGCTGCTGTACTACACATAATCTAATATTATCTAAGGCGCAGGCACAATAATGTCCTAATGAATGTGGGCAAAGCGAACGAATGAAAAATAAAAATAAAGAAGTAGAAAATTTTCAATTTAGTGAATTTAGCGAGCAGTGCTCAGCGGGACGCAGTCCTTGGGCTTATTTCCATTCCCATTTACATTTTCATCATCTAGTACCAGCGGCTTTATAACCATGTATTAATATTTGCCCAAATTGGGCTAACGAACTTAAGCCGGGGCGTGGCACAGGCACAGGCACAGAGGGGCGTGGCGCAGAGACACTGGGCTAGGCACGGGGCACAGGAACTGGGCAAAAAGCTGCAACAAATTAAAACAACACCAGCTAAACGAGCAGCCAAATTAGTTTGACATAAAAAGTATACGCCTGCCAGGCAGATAGACAGTCGGATATACAGATAGACGGACTGACAGACTGACAGATCTGGCAGGATGTACAGGACGAACAGGACGTACAGCAGTCAGCAGTCAGGACGATATCCCTCTCTCTCTCTCTCTCTCCGTCCAGCGTTTCCTGTGTTTGTGCTTGGGCCAGGCTAATGAATTAAGCTGGCGCTGCAAAGAATTTTCAGCTTTTCATATGCCCTGCGGCCACGCGTCAGCAGAATTGTTTATTGGGCGAACTCCCCCTAAACTTTCACCCCTCAAACTCCCATACTCAAACCGAAGAGAATAACACATTTTTCGTTTACGAAATTCACTTTAAACATACCCTGTGCTTGAAAGGTTTGCCAAAGAGGTAGATAACTGACTGAACAAGACTTCAATTAGATATTGAAGGATTATTAAGGTTATAATTTCATTATTTTTTCATTTAATATGTTTATTCGTTATCAGTATCAAAAAAGCCTGAATTTATCTGTAAGTCATAAAGCCAATGGCACAAAATATTTGTAAATTTGTTGTCATACAAGTTAATAACCAATTTCACACCAATTTTAAACATTCCATCTTAAGTTGGCTATATACATATTTTTCTGTGCCTTTTTTTACTATAATTTTCTAATTGCAGTAGGATCGTCTGATAGATAAACAAACTATTCAACAAACTATTTTCTATAATCGCATCTTATATTTCTGTATGAATTCAAAAAGATACATTGTAAAAGATACAATCTTGTAGTTTGGAGTGTGTATATATTTGAATATTGTATCCATTTTCTAATAATCACAGTTAATTGTTGAATGGAAAGTTATCAAAGAAACTAACCCACCTCCTTTTTAATAAAAAGTCATTACATATAAAATTCGTGTATTTTTGTACTGTTTTCTCCATATTCTAACGACTTATTAAAATCGATTCAGATGAACAGAAAAGTTATATAATAAACTACGCATCTTTTGTCACAACAAGTTATCAAACTATATAATGGTGTATGTATATTTGTGAAATGTTTTTCATATATTCTGAAAAACATATTAACAATCGATTTAGAAAAAAAAAAGAGAAAAGTTATGTAAGAAACTACGCCGCCTCTTTTGTAATAAAAAGTTGCTAAACTAAATATTTAAAAACAACTTTTGTATGGCAAAGTTTAAAGGAACATTTATTTAAAAAAAAAAACACTATGCAGTCAAAAGGAAATTTGCAAGTCGAGGACTCTCTACAAAAAGACTTTGAAAGTTTAGTGCTTGGAAAATACACTTTAATTCCTTGAACAAAAATGCTGCCAACATTGTTGAAACTTTGGCATAGAAAGGGTTTTCTTTGATACACCTGGCTAAAAGTGCTTCCGAGCCGGACCCTATAATGTATGTAAATAAAAGACGCAAATTTATGGGTTTCGTGTTTAGAATTTGATGGGCCAGCTGCTGTTTCAGCCATTGCCTCTCAAGGTGTGCCCACAACGGGCACAGCCAGCAAAACCAAAAGGAATTCACATTCCTTTTACCGTTTGCCGTCGCTGGGGCTATCCAATTACGTTTGAAGTTGTTTTTCTGATATCAAACACAAAAAAATGAATAAAAATGGAAAAAAAAGGTGAAAAGCTAAAGCTAAAGCCAATAAACACGCAAATAAGCCATGTTGAGTAGTGCTCCATTTGACGAGCCGGGGTCGTTTCTATGGTAGCACCTCTAGGGATCATAGTTGGGGTTGGTGTGGGGGAACGTGGGGTCACCACAGTAAATATCAAGTATACGATGCGTAATCCTTTCACACAAAGTCAAACTGTGAAGTAGAAACCTTTGTGGGCTACGCACTATTTGCAAATCGATGCAAATCAAAATCAAAGCATTTCATTATATGAATCTGCATTCCCTCTGGTGAAGATTGGTGGATGCAGAGGCTGGTGGAGGAGGCGTGGCAGCGTTTGTCTGGCTACTTCACGCGTGAAAATGCGCAAAGTTTATGCAAGCATTTGACGTGAATTGCCGAGTTGCGAGTTAGCGAGAGTTTGGAGCATACTTGTCGCATACTTGCAGATACTTTTTGATACTTTAAGATACTTTCGCATACTTGCGCATAGCTTGGCCAGCTGGGCATGAAACTTACCTGGTTCTTCAGTAAATATTCCGTTGAGATTTGCAGCTGCGAATATGCTGGAGTGCGGATATTTGTCTGGTTGTTTGTGTGTGTGTGTGTGTGTGTAATTTTGTATGTATGTGTGAGTGTGTTCTGTGTGTGTATGTGTGTATTTTTGTTGTGACTGCTAACAGTTGTTGTTCGTGCTGTGCCTGTATTCGTTTTTGCTGTAGTTGCTGTTATTGTTGTAGAAGAAGCAAAGTTTTGAAAGTTGTTTGTGTTTTTATTTTTGTTTTTTTAAAGAAATCCACTAAGAAGAGCGAGCATCAGATAGATAGAGTTTCTGCAATGTAAATATAGACAAAACAAACAATTAAATTGCTTATATAAGTGCAGAAAATAACAGTGGGAGAGAGTTGGAAAAGTGTGTTTAATTAGTAGAAATAAAAATCATTATTTTTTCGAATGCAAAACTTTTGCGCTTAAGTCACTTCTTGAGTAACTTTTGAAACTTTCTGGAAAATTGTCGACAAACATCATTACATATAAATGACAATGTTAATCATGACTGATTACATTTTCACATTTAATAAAATTTACAAACATTACAATTTGTAATTTGAATGCAAAACTTTGCAATGTAAGCCTCAACAAATTTATAACAATATGTTAAGAAAATGAAATAAGCTGAGACTATAATCGTCACCTATTTTTTAAATAAATGAATGGTCTTTATAAATCCGCAATGACAATCTTCCATACATTGCCAAAACTTAAAGAGAACTCAATAAATGTGAAATGAGAATTGATTACAATCATTCGTAACTCATTGTTTGCTTAGAAGCCCATTAGCAAATTAAAATCAACTGTGGTTTCCACTTCCCAACGACCACTGTATAAAGATAGATAAAGAACGGCAAGCGACAAAGATAACAAATTGATTTTAATGAGTTTGCTTAGTTGGGTTAGCTCAATAACCATTGACCCCGTCGATAACATAAGAACCTATTGACATTGCAACTAATTTAAACATAGTCACAAGCACAAAAACACACACACACATACCTATTGACTGCCGAGTGTGTCTGTGTGTGTGTGTGTGTGTTGTGTTGTGTTTTCTTTTATTTTTATATTTTCTTCTTTTTTTTTGTTTGTTGTGTGTTTCGTGTTTTGTTGTTTTTATCGATATTTCTTTATTAGGGTTTCTTTTATGTGAGCGTGCACGTAAGTGCCCATTTCGATTTTTGTGGATCGAGGGGGGGATTGGCGGAGGGGGCAGTGGGCAATACACACACGCAGACACACATTCGTGCGTACAGCTAAAAACATTTTTACGTAACACACACAAGCTGCTAACTGATTTAATCAGATTTGTAAGAACTTTGACACTTTTTGGGCCACCGATTACATAAAGCCGCCGTCGCCTTTTGCCATGGGCAACGTTGAATTTAACTCGTTTGCCCCTCGCAACAAATTTAATTGTTTATAATTCAATTAGTTTTGTTTTTGATTGTGGTTCTGCTACTGCTGCCTCTAGTTTTCTTGCAGTGCATTGCAAATACTGTCTGTGAGTGGTTCTCTCTATGTGTGTGTGTGTGTGTGTTTGTGTGCGCCTTTTGTTTTTTTTTCATATTTTATTTTATTTGATTAGAGTGTGAATCCCATGTATATAATATATATATACGCACTCACACACACACACACACACACATAGGCACACACATGTATGTATAGGCGTATGTGCTGGTATTTTATTTAATACTTTTGCTTTGCGGGTGCACTTTGCTTTCGATATAGTATTTTATTCGGCGCTTCTTACTTCATGCTATGTTCGCACTCTTCTGTGTCGCACTGCCGAGTTCCCTACATGGAAAAGTCGGGCCGTTGCGGCGCCGCCGCTGTCGCCCGCCGTAGCAGCTGTATGCGGCTGCGGCGCCAGCGTAGGCGCCAACAGCGGCGTCGCAGCCACAACGGCGCCTAAATTACAACAATAACACAATGAAAGCGCTCAGCTCAGCGCTCAATGCTTGCCAAAGCTTTCGACTGCCGCATGCAAAAAAAAAATATTTCCCCGCTCAATGTTTTGAGTGAATGTGCGGCTAGCTGTGCCGCTCTAACACACTGCACACATTTCGCAAAAAAAAAAAGAAGAAAAAAGAGAGCACATTGAGGAAGGCAAAAGTGCTCAAGGCGCACAGATAACAGCCGCTGGCTGCTATACAAATACACATGCATGCTTAAGTATATGTATGTATATATATATATATATGTATATGTAGAAATGCGAGCATATGTGTGTGTGTGTGTGTGTGTGTGTGTGCGTGTGTACATAATAGCTTTTGGCTTTTTAACTAATAATACATTTAGCTGACTGTCGCTGTTCGTCTACTATTCTGTCTATTACATAATTTTTATACATGCGGCTCTCTGTCGCTCTCGGGTTCGCGTTCGCTCTCTCTCTCTCTCTCTCTTTTCACATACACTCTCTCTCTCTCTTTCTCTCTCTCTCTCTGTCGTTTTGCACGTTTGCTTGACTTTTTGACTTTGAAATTGAAAAAGCGTTGCCTACTTAGCGGCGCAGCGCGCCTGCGCCCCAAAATGAGAGTCACTTCTTTGTGACTAAGTACTACATATGGCCGCATTATGCGTTATTGATTTGTTGTTGTGATTCTAGTACGCCCCAAAAAGAAAAAACCAAAAAAAAAAAACAAAAAAAAAAAAACACCACTGATAAGACCCGAAAACATATGGCATTTATCTGTTAACGAGTTATGTGATGCGAGGCTTTTGCCTTTTTCCATTGTTCGGCTGTCACTTGCCATTAACTCACACACACACACACACACACATAGTGGTAGAGTGGTAGACAAAGCGGCAGCCACAACTTTTGTGGCACAAACGGAAGCGCACAGCTTGAAAGTAGGAAATTGCAAAGTTCTTCCCCTGGCAAGCTGGCTGCTCCTTTCAACATTGAGCCTCTGTGTGCCTCTGTGGTCAGCATTTAGCCATAGACAAGTGCATCAATTGCCTTCAGGGGCACCGAACGTTGAAGAAGAAGAAGCATCAGCAGAGAACTAAAATTCGAAGCTGTCTCTTTGGCTTTGGCCAACAAGAAGAATTCTAATTAGTGTGATATAATTCCAACAAATGCCGGACTTTATTGTTTTGCACTCCATCAATTATAGTTTCTTAACATTTCGCCACTAGCTCAAATCATTGGCTTTCCGCTGTACAGTGTTTACTCACTATATGGAAAGAGTTACAAATTTATAAAATATATTCTTTCTTCTGCAACTAACTTAATTTGAATGATTATAATACTCGACTTTACATGCATCAATTTTTGATATAGGAATTTGAAACGTGTTTTAGTTATTTTTCGAAATTGTTGAAGAGTATGAATTTTACACTTTGATTCTATAAGCATAAGTATTATTATTAATTGATATACAAATAGTAGTTATTAAAAATTAAAAAATTAGATTAGATAAATTTCACTAACAAGAAAAATAAATACAAAAAAAAAAAACAATTCTTATTTCGAAAGTTAGCAGATAAAAGTAGAACCAAGCAAAACTACAAATAACAATTCTTATTTGAGAAAGTTCTAAGCAGCGAGTGACCACTGTACTTGGCTGTCGGTGTGTGTGTGTGTGTTTGTGTTGAAGACTTTGGCTCTGCTTTATATACCAATCAATTATATTTTCTTACTGCGCGTTTCTACTTATTTCTTTTATTTGTTGCTGCTTTTGTTGTTGTGCCACAAATTGCTTATTACATCCACCGACAGCCCTTTTCTACCGCCTCGCCCCACCCTTCGCCCAGTACCTGGTCTATTTCTGCTTGAGATGAATGTCACGTACTTGGCCACAAGTGAATTGCCTCCGCTGGGTAATGAGTGGGCGGCCGGTGTGTGTTGGGGAAGGGAGGGGAGTCGAGTAGAGTGTGGCATCTAACGGAATTGTTACATTGTTTTTAATGCCTCGCATTTCATGGACACGTTTGAGATGTTTGAGAAAAATTGTGCACTTGATTATTGATGGGTCGCTACGGAGTTACGAGCTACGGGCTACGGATTACGGCTTACGGAATACGGAATACGGAATACGGCCTTTAGCTTTAGCTGCTTACCTACAACCGTTGAAGGCACCGTAAGCACTACAGACAACAAACTTATTTTATATATATGTACGCTTAGATATTTATATGTATATATGCAAATATATACTTTCAACTTTGGTCACTTATGCTGGGAAATGCTCGCGGCGCAACAACAACACACGAATTCAGCGTACTTGCCACTGGCATTCACAATGTATACATACCGAAAAATAAAAGCGTGTTGCGAAACTACAACTACAACAACAACAAAACAAGAACCAAAAACTGTTATCCTGTCTACAATTTGTACCGAAAACATGCAAAGAGCACAAGTCAGAGAGAGAGAGAGTGAGAGAGAGCGAGCGCGAGCGCGAGGTGGGTGGGAGTGAGTGGAATGGGCGAGCGACAAAGCTAGCTAGCCGACCCAAACAAAGGAGCGAGCGAGAGTGCGAGAGTGAGAGAACGAGAGAGAGAGAGAGAGCGAGCCCAGTCGAGTGGCTCTCAATTTCAGTTTGTCAGTTTTGACAGTTGACCCCAACAAAGCAGAAAGCTCGAAAGCTTTGCATGTTTTAGCCCAAAAAAAAATAAAGCTGATAGTGCAGCGATGCGATGTGCGACTATTCAATAAGATAAATGTTAAACTGTAGCTGTATGACTGTAATCTGAGATACACATGTGTAAGCCGTGCGCGTGTGTGTCAACTGCCAGGCTATCAGCTGGAAGTTGTTGACTGATTAACAAATGGCTTTATGCGGCTCGGAAACAGGAACCGGCGCTTGCTAATTTTTATATGCCCCTATATGTGTGTGCCTGTCTCTTCCTCTTCCTCTTCCTCTTTCTCTTCCTCTTGTTGTTGTTGTTGTTGATTTTATATATTTTTTATGCTTATGTTCCGCTTGTAAATTTCGTACACATGAACAGGAAGTTTTGGCGCGTACACAGAGCGCTGATAAAACAGACTGACTGTCTGCCCAAAAAAAAGAAAAAAAGTAGAAATGTAAGAAAACTTTAACACAATGTGGCAACACCTGCCTCACACACACACACACACACACTTGCACACACTGGCGTAATTTTGGCAAGAGCGCGCGCGCGCTTTGTGCCTACACACTTTATAGCAGCTCATGTGTGTGTGTGTGTGTTGGTGTGTGTTGGTGTGTGCATGTGTGTGTGCGTGTAAGAGGCGTATAGGTAATTTATATAAATTATTTAATTAAGCCATGTACGTCAGCACGCGGCGCAGAGCCCATTATTTAGATTAAAATCAAACCCATTACGTTTTATGCCACCTGTCTTGTGGGTTTTTCTTCGTCTTTTCCTTATCCTTCCCTCTTTGCTGTACCTCACCCCCCCCCCCCCCACGCATCTCCTTTGTCGATCTACTGGAATTTGCTTAGGCCGTTTTCGCGTCTATTGGTTTTGTTATGATTGTTTTTGGCATTGCCTTTGTCCGCCCTCTTCTCATGGGGGGCCGTCAAGCAAATTGGCCACATTTGGCGCGTGCCAGCCGTTTTCGGCTTTGTTGGTTGTTGGTTGCTTTAATGACTGCTGGGGACTTGCTGCTGACTTGTTTCGACTCCTCTGCTGATTCTGCTGATGCTGATGCGGCATACACTAAGGATGCTCTCCCCCAGGTACTCAACGGAATATAAATACATAAATATACTCAATTTAATCACCGATGCTGTAATGCTCTCAACAAAGTTCCTAAATCGATTGCAATGATGAGGATTATACATAATCAAGTCAAATAGGAATTATATACATTTTTTGTTTTACTCAATCAACGTAAGGATTATAATGAAGACCATAGTAATAAAATGGAAATTTTAATTGGATTTAAAAATGCTAAATCGTTTACTCATTTCATTTTTTCAATTCTGTTTGTGCTATAATAATTCAGTTCAAGATTTGAATACAAACATTAACTTGTTTTTTTTTATTTTTTAAATATACTAAGACTGGCAGAAACTGCTGTAAAATCGTAATCCCAAAAGTATGCTACATTTTATATTGGGAATCAAGTTGTGGAGAGGAAGCCAGGATACTTTAATTAAGCACATAGACTCTGAGTGTATACTGCCATAGAGTGCTTAGTGGAAATTGAAAACATGAAATACTATTGTATTCGCCTTATCATTCAGCGTGACTGGTTTTGATTTGCTTTCATCACGATTATTATATGCCCATTTTCTGCTTGCAAACATTTTTATTGTTTTGGATTGTTGTGGAGAATTGTTGGCTTTGAAATCCACGCTAGCAATCCAATGGCGAAAGCAATGGAGCAATCTCACTTAGGGTGCAAATTGATTTCGTTGATTGCTATAGCAATGAGCACGCTGAATGATAAAGTTAATTTACCCTCACTCCACTGTCAGCTGTGACAGCCATGATATGATATTTAATACACACTGTCCGCTCACATCCCAGATCAGAGACAGAGACAGACAGAGAGAGAGAGAGTGCAGTCGTCAATCAAAGTAAATTCAAGAGCAGCCGACGCCACCGAAGATGACAACTAAACTTCACTTCACCCGCAGACAATGTCGCTTTTCAGGCAAAAGCACAAGCTAAACTAGAGCTTGCGGTCGGGGGTGTAAGTGGGGGTTGGCTTGGAAGTAATGGTGCTATAAGGGTGCGAGTGTGTTCTACACGGTGGAGTGGCTTAATTTAAAATGGTTTCATGTTGTGATTTTGACAAATGATAATTTTTTTAGCATGCGTGTGCTCGTCTCTCTGCGTGTGTGTGTGTGTGGGTGTGTGTGCCTGTCAGGCTCTCTGTGATAGCTTTTGTATTTGGCATGTCATCGCAGCTACAAGTACGATAACTGCCCCAGCTCCATCTCGGTTCGAGTCTGTAATTTTGTAGTGGTCGATGAGTTGGCACAAAGCGCGCGACAGATAAGCGTCACAGAGCACCCAAAGAACCCAGTATCCCTACATGGCGAGAATAAAACATGTAAGAATGCAGCGAATGTGTTTATGTACAAGCGCCAATAGATTTATAATTTTAAAGTTGATCAATATTACATATATCTCTTTTTAAGTCTCTGCCTTTCAAATTGTAACATTTCTTTCTATCGCACATCCTTTGATAATGATATACGCGAAACGAGGTTAATTATCGATGAACTGAAATAAATTTATATTCCAAATTTTAATTCTATAACTCATATAGTCTCTGAGAACCAGATAGACTCGGCTATTGATCCTGATCAAGAAAAGTCGAATATATTCGGTATAATATAGATAATTAAACTATTATAGCAATGCGAACTTAGAATTAATCTATAAACTGCATTCAGCAAATATTTAAAAGATTGACATACATTTCTATATTACTAATAGTATTTCTATTCAATATTCAATAATTTGATTTATTTGGCAATTTAATGTATGAAAGAAGAACAATAGGAAATAAATGCGTATCACTCAGAGAAATAGAAGATTTGGGAACATAAATTGAATTATAGACTAAATATATAAGTCCCTTCGTGCTATCAATCAATAAATCATGCAACAGTCACTAGAAAGAAACTCATTGAATATCATCAGTGGAATTCAAAACTCGAAAATCAAATTTTTATCATATATTTTGCACTTGTCTCAAGTAACTTGTTGTTCAGTTGAGAAAATCAATTTAATTTCATTGAAAGTGTTGATTTGATATCATTTAAAATTAATTTTAGTATGACCTTTTTGTTTCCGTGTAGACCTCAAAACTTCCCACTCCACACAAGCCGAGCCACAAACTTGCAGAGTGTGTCAAAGGGTCGTTAAGTAAGTAAGCTGCCACACACACATACAAAGCGGGAGAGAGAGAGATAAAGAGAGAGAGAGAGAGAGAGAGAGAGAAGGTGGTAGGATGAAAGAGATATATATAGATATAATACACAGAAAAGTTTCAGTTTCAGTTTGAGTACATGAAAAAAAAAACTACGTACATCCTGGCACTGCTGCTATTCCCTGCTGCTCCCTGTTGCTGCTGCTGCGGCTACAGAAAATACAGCCTGGCTATACAAAAGAGTCGTCCTGCAATGGACAGCGACAAGGCAATCAAAAGCCAACAGGCAGCAGGCAGCAATGTTGCAACAATTTATTGATTTAACAAAAAAGACCGAGGATAGGCGAAGAGTGGAGAGACGTTAGGAGAGGAGAGCATCGACAAAGCCATTTGCAATATTAGTGTTGTTTTTGTTGTCGTTGTTGTTGTTAGCAACGTTGCTGGGGGAAATAGGATTGGGAATAGGAATCAAAGCTCAGCCGGCTCAATCGGCTCAGCCGGCATGTGGCCAAAACCAATAAAGCTGGCAAATTGGCCAAATGTGTATATACGGTTAACAGCATGTCCGAAAATATAAACAACAATCAGCAGGAGCAGCAGAAGCAGCAACAGGAGCAACACTTGGACAATAAAATTGCAAACCAATCGCCAGCGATTCCATCGGATTCAACGAACTCTCAGCTGCCCCCCTGGCCAAATTTTGAGGGGCGCATTTTGAAGCAGACGGTGAATACCGTCTGCTTGGACTGGACTCTGTTGGATGATGCGACCGTCTACAGCATTGAAAAGTATCACAGACGTCATGGCTGGCAGCAGGTGCTCTGGAGCAGCAGCAGTCCCCAAGTCATTAGCCAGCTGGAGGAGAACTTTGGCCATCGACTGCGCATCAAAGCGTTGCAGCAACATAAGGATGCCACCCACTACGAGACGTTGGCCATCTCAAAGGATATCATTGTAAAACGTTGATTTCTATAATGAAAACATATAAATTAAGGTTTATGTTGAGGGAAATATTCTAACCGGTATCAGTCAGAGTCGAAATTTTTACATTTGAAATTAGACTTTAATGAAAAGTAGAAATAATTTCTAAGCGGCTAATGCAATATTCATTAATACCTTTTAAATTTTTTGGCGATATGCTGATCTTGAAAGAAATATTGTTTTTATTCTTATGGAAATTACTAAAATGGAAGACCCACAAATAATTATCATTTCCATTTATGAAATTCAAAAAGTTCATTTATTAGTGGATTTGTCATAATATAAAACTCGAATACATTTAAATTTGTACATTTAATTTAAGTTTTATTTATTTTGATTTTTGAAATTTTCATGCCAATAATGTTTGTGGCAGGTTAGAATCAGATTAATAACTTGTATTCCCTCAGGCATGCACCGAGGCTGCGTTGCCGTCGACAAACTGTTTGCATCGCGCCATTCGCAAATCGCAGCAATTTCTGGTGAAGCGCATGTTGCGTCGTCGTCCCAGTCTGGTCGACTATCCCGGTCCTAATGGCTATTTACCATTGGCCAATGCAATTATTCAGGGCGAGATGTGCATAATCGATGTGCTGCTCTCCGCCGGCTGCAGTGTCCATCAGGGCAATCCACAGAATGGAAGAACACCACTACATGTGAGTAGAAATCGCGTGCAATGGGTGGATTGGCCGTGTATTGGGATTGAATTGCAAGCACTCACATTGAAACCATCCACGATGAAATTGCAGCTGGCCTTTTATTGTGGCCATCTGCCCTCGGCCCGCATCCTGCTGAACAAGAAGGCCCAACTGGATGCTAGGGATTGCAATGGGATGACTCCCGCGCACTGTGCCGTGGATGCCAATCAACTGGAAATGGTGAAGTTTGCCCTCGAATCGGGCGCCAATGTGGAGGCGAGAGATGCCTGCGAGTGGACGCTCCTGATGCGAGCAGGTGAACCTTAAAAAAGAAACAGCCCAAGCCGGCTGCTTGTCACTCATAACAAACATATAATTTTGACTGAGCTTCCATTTCCTTTTGCATTGGCAGTGGTCATGGATGCCGGTCTGGAGCTTATCAAGCTTCTGGTTACACACGGCGCCGACTTGTCGGCTTTGGATGGGCTCGGCAAAAGCTGCAGCGGTTTAGCCAAACTTTATCGACGACAGCAGGCCAGGGATTATTTTGACAAGGTGCACACGTTTCGACAAGAAAAGGCGGCAGCGGCAGCAGCAGCAGCAGCAAAAGGAGCAGGAGAAACAACAACAAAAACCGTAGAAACTTTGGCAAACGAAATACAAAAACAACCACAAGCCAGCCGCCAAAAGGATTAAATGCACCGAGTCGCCTAATAGGATGGAATTTCTCCATACACCAGACTTATCAACAACAACAACAATATTCTTCCATGAGACCAAATGTAGCCATCCAGACGCTGACTTCCAAGCAATGAATTTGACGCCAAGGCAAACCTATGCCATCGAATCGGCAGCCTTACATAATCCAAATTTTGATGTGTTTGTCCTGTTTACATTTCCCTCATATCGTGCTGTACGCGGTGTCGAGAGATCGCTCATCAATGCCATCAAGAACTAGGATTATGTTTATCTGCGGCAGTTGAACCAGTCGACTTTTGCAGCAGGAACTCCAGTCGGGGATTGGATCAAAGAAGATCATCTTCTTAAGTCACAGTCACAGAAGAAATATTTTAATTGTTATTTCTTATAGAAATTTATTTGAAGTCACCCTCACTCAGCTATCTAGTGCAACACACTTCCGATCTACTCCGTACACAAGGGAAAAGACTAAAGACTCTTACTTGGTTCACTTATGGAATAAATTGTCCTTCGGGGTCCTTATTTAATTGTATCTGTACCCATGTAAAACGATAAGTAAAATTATTAAAAAGAAATCGAAATTAGAAATATGAATACATTTTTCGGCATGCTTCAATAAAAAGCATACTTTTGGGTTTAAAAAAATGCACTTGAGAAACTCTGCGGAAATGTAACATTTTAAAGCATATTAATGGGGGGAACAGTAAAATCTTTACCATAAACTCATCTTTGAAAATTCAAATTTATTAAACATACCTTAAAGATGAGCTTAATAGTCTGGACTATTTATTTTTGAGAAAAATAACTGTAACGCGGCCATATGTTTGCACATCTTTTAAAGACATAGTTCGTTGGGATAACAAGGACTAACTCTATTGTTTGACACTTAAAGTTAAAAGGGATCCAAACACGTTGACAATTTTAGTCAAAGAGTGAATGGGAGTGGTCTATAAGCTAAATAGCTTTATAGCTACAAAAAAAAGGATGATTTTAGTATCCTTGCATGATGAATAATCGTATCTTTCATAGTGAGAATGAGATATGAGAATTCACAAATATTCATTTTATGGCAGCAAGCTTTATATCAATTTCTGTCAGATATTCAAGGCAGAATCTCAAAGACCAGTTTTATCAATCCTTTGGATGTATCTCGTTAGCTCCGGCTCTTGTCAACATTCACAGCAATCTTAATTCCAAAGCACTCAGATCATGAACACAGAATTAATTCAAGTATGACTGATAATCATTATTTTTTACTAGATACTAGATAGATTTACAGATAGACGTATTAGATTCAAACACAATCTCTGGCAGTGTCCGTTTGAAACCCGCACGAGTACGTATTGAAAAAGTCCGCATTCTCCTTGAGGCCCAAATAGAAAACATGTTCAGCCAGTTCCTTGCCAAATTCACAAAAGTTCTGGGCATAGAGTGTAAAGAAGAGCCGCTTGTTGCTCAAATGATGTTGTCGAAGAATCTCGTTCTCTTGGTCGTAGATCTCGCGATGCTTGGTAGATAATTGTATCCAGTCGCTGTACTCCTGCCATGTATGTCGGAAGCTCTTTAAATAGATCACCGCCAGCATTCTGGCCTCACTCAGCACATTGACATACTGAGGCAACTTGAGACACTCGACATCCTCCCGAAACCGGGTAAAATCTCGTTGACGCTCGGTGATGTTGAACATTGTCATGTAGAGATGGACGGTAAAGGTGGGATAGTAATAAGACATGGGCTTGTGCTGGCTCTGATACAGATACAAGCTCCAATCAAGCATGGTGCGCTGCACTCCGAGCTCATAGCTGGAGTTTCGCTTCCGATGCTGCTCCAAATTGCGCAAATTATGGTCATAGCTCTCTCGATAGATCCTTAGGGCGGCATATTCACGATTCAGATCACCCGCATAGAAATATATACCCGGTGAGGCGAACTTCTCCCTGTAGGTCCTCAATTTGTTGCGGATCGGATTCACATCGTTGTCAAACACCGTTTGAGTTCGCACCAAGAAACTTTGAATTAGATCCCGAAAATCTTGCAGCTCATGCGAGCTGGCCTCCACCAGATCCTTGGTGATGATGTAGCCAAACAGCGGCTTGAAATACTCAAATGTCTCGCGATAGCAATCCATCAGAGATTTACGTGTATTGCATGAGATAAAGAAATCGATGAGCTTCTGTTTCGCCTCAAACTGAACAGGATCGTTTTGTAGCTTGGTCAGCAGCTGGATAAGATCGCTGGTTTGTGGCATGTGACCTGTGGAGTATGTAGACTATAGTTTCAGATACTACCTCAACAAAAAAAAACATATAAATCATAAAAATAGTTTATCTGCATCCCGAAGTGAAGCACAAATATTCAGAATCTAAAAAAAATAGAGTTCTTAAAATATGTAGTTAAAGTACATGGATTAAGCTCATAGATCCCTCTTGATCTCAATGCAAAACTAAACTTTGACCGACAGAAGCAAAATGTTTATCATATCTACAACTTTTGACTATATTTTACTTATTTAAGAATAAATTGTATTTAAAATTGTACTTGAATTTAATGAATCATATTTCTCCGAGCGTATTGTTTGTAATACCTACCCATTATGGAGAAGAGCGGACGATTTCGACTGCAGACATGATCAAAGTAGCTTTCGCAGGCATATTTCTCAGCATTGATGGAATGCTCCATTTGCATGGCCAGATTACCAAGCTCATTGATCCGCAGCTTTGACAGGTTTCGCTCGTACGGAACTTGTGCCTCGAGTCCAGGCACAGCCCAGAGACACAGCACTCCAGCTAGTAGAGCAGTCAACATACTTGTTGTCTACAATTCTTACTTAATTTAAATTTTTAGCCGTAGCTTTTGATGCGCTCCAATCGAACACTGGAATACACTAAGCAAAGGCAGCCTCAGTCGCAGCTCTATCGGGTGGCATCCGCCGTTGCTCAAGCTTTCGACTTGGGCCGATAAGAATGCTCAAGTCGTATCAGTGAATTGCTCTCCCGCTGCTCATTTAACTTAATAATACCCTGGAATTATGTAGTTGTCTGTATAGGCTTGTAGGAGTGTATAAATTTGAGTCAGTTTATTATGTTCTTTCTTCTTGGTTAGTTTATTTAAACTGCGAGAATCGATATAAAAATTTACTGGAAAAACATTACTACAAATCAACTTTAGAGCTGACTGAACAGGGCAGCAGCTAGTCAAGCATTGCCACTTGTTGCATTTTAATTAAGAGTTGTTGTTCATTTTGTAGCCGCAGCCCAGTTTCAATCTGAAGTGTTCGCTTTGGCCAGCTCATAGACATCGGTGCGTCGCTGCTTATAGATGGGAATCTGGCGGCGAACCTCGTCCACCATATTGAAGTCTGTCAGTGAGCAGAGCAAAGTTAAATGGGCAGCTGTTGAATATTTACTCAACACAAGCCAACTTACCAATCTGCTCCACTATGAGCTCACGTCCCTCGCCCGCCTCTCGCTGCACACGTGCCCAGGGATCGACAATCATGGAGTGGCCGTAGGCCACATAGCCGGACATGTTATTGCGGGCAGGTGAACAGGTGACCACAAACAGCTGATTGTCCGTCGCACGGGCCCGTTGCAGCAGCTCCCAGTGCATGGGACCCTGGCAGATGCAGAAGGCCGACGGATACACCAACATGGAGCAGCCTAAGACGAAGCAGAAAATAAATAAGCTGTAAGCTGGCTAGTTGAGAGTGGGTGAACTAAACATACCCTTTACTTAGAAACCGCTATGTGCAAACAAAACTTTACCATAATGACCAATGCAATAGCTGAGGAATCATGCAAGAAGTCATCTTTGGACCTATGTGATATACATATCTGGTTCTACTTACAGCGAAACTACAAATAATGCACCACTTTTTTGAACAACTAAAAGATTTGCTTCATTGAAAAACAAAGATGGGCGAACAAGGCATATTAAAGCAGTCCATCGTTCGGGTCAAGGTATATATATCAGAAACATGCTTTGTCCCCTCCCTCATAGGGTATTAAGAGCTTGAGCAACTGGGACCAGGGGCGACTTACCCATGTCACTTACCCATGTTGCGATAGATGCGCGCCAGCTCCTCGAATCGCTTGTCGTGGCAGATACCAATGCCGACTTTGTGTGGGCCAATTTGCACCACTGTCAGCTCACTGCCCGCCGTCAAAGCAGCTCCCTCGTCAAATTGCACACCACCGCCCTGTGCGGGCTCAATGTCGACGCTGAAAAGATGGATCTGCTCGACCAGCGGCGGGGTCATGCGACGAGCTACTTAATTATATTCGAGGCACTTACCTTGCGATGTCTGCCAATTAGCTGGCCACTGGGCGACCATACTGTGCAAGTATTATAAAGCTTATCCCCCGCATCCCGCTCAATTATGCTGCCCCCAATGATGTAGATGCCCAGCTGTTGGGCTAGTCTTGACAGCTCCTGGCATGTGGGCCCGTCCGGCACACGCTCTGCGTGCTGGCCAAAGTGCTCGACGCCATACGGCCCGTTGAAACTCTCCGGCAAAATGGCCAACTGGAGTTGCGGATTTGCAGCTTTCAGTCGCGTAATGCCCAGCACCGCTTGCCGCACATTCTCTGCCACATCTCCGCCCACGGGCAGCTGCAGCAGACCCAGCGTCAGCTCTGCACAAATGCCAAAAAGGGGTTAATTAACGGTACAACGGATAATGTTCAGCATTATACTTACTGTTGCTCATTGTGTACCCCAGATAAATACAGAGAGAAAGATCGGAGATTGCAGTCGCATCTTAAGCTTATTAGCAACTGACAGCTTTGCTCGGGCGTTTTTCAATTTTATAGCTGGATTTTCCAGTGCATCCAACGGCCAATCAGCGAATCAATTCCCTTGCGGTTTATTATTATTTTCCAATTTAACGATTTTGTTTATTATTATGTGATGCAATTCAATGCCCCATGTTATCAATATAAATAAATACGTAATCAATATATGAAAATATACTCAGGCTTCCCCAGAGATAATTGTTATACGCGGTTTAACCTACACTTGTACTTGAAATAATTTAGTAGCCTTGATTAAGAATATTTGTTAGAATTGATATTATTACTCTGAAATAAATTATTTTAAAAGTGTTGTAAATAACGGGGCAAAATGAAGAGTCAAACGCAATTTCTAATTATGGATTATCTTTATTATGTTGAAGAATTGAAAGCAATTTAGTTTAGGAGAAATCCATTCAAAAAGAGAACACAAAAAGCGATACTTAAGTATTAATCGTTACTATGATATTCAAACATATTTCAACAAAAAACAAGAGAGATCAACTCGAAGATTCAAAGTGTTTGCTGATATGACTAGATCGACTCGGCTGTTGATCCTGATCAAGAATATATATATGCTTTATGGGATCGTACATGCTTCCTTCATTATACATTTTTTAATGGGTTCAGGGTATAATAATTTCAAAGTTTCTAGAATATTAAAACCTTCTATAATGAAATAAGGTATTTTACTGCTGTGCTCTGAAAAAAATAGTTCTATTATCTAATAAAATATATTTATATATATATATAAACTACATATGTAACTCGATTAGTCATGACAAAGCCACAAATTGTATTCCAAGTATAAATCCATTATTCAATACTAAGCCACAAACTATATTGCTACTGAAAAGTGAAATTAATTATTACGCTACTCTTGTTTCTAGTTGGGAGGTCATTTTACTCAATAGACTGAATAAGTGTTATAAACGACATTGCAGCACGACAGATCTGAAAAAAAATCAATTCAAAGTTGCATTTGTCGATACGCCAACAGTAGTTCAATCAGTCAATCAATCAATCAATTAATTACCGATAGAAAATTGGCCAATGAAGCTTCATAGAAGCCTGCCTTGATGAGCATCTGCCGCTGGGAACGATGCATAATGAAAACCAGAGAACGCCGCTGCTTGGGTGCAGCCAAATGCCAGTTGCATGTTTGGACAGCAATGCCAACCTGCAAACTCTAATTAAATATGCAGAATATATAATTGGATAAGTAAAGTGTAAATAAGAGCAAGGCTTTAGCTTGCCTCAACTTTGATGATTTCGCCTCCATAGCAGTACATAAACAGTTGCAACATTATGGAAAACAAAAATGATAAGTAAACGAGCAACGCCATAATTGAGTTCATGTGCTGCAATTAGATAATATATAAGATACTAACCATAGCCAATAAATACATATACTCTTCAAATACACACCGTTACAATCTGATAGATGATAACGCCCACCTGCAGTGAGGTAATGAAGAACTGTCCAAATACAATTGGAGTGTAGATGACTCTTAGCCGCTTGGACAAACTGAGAATGTGCACATGGTAATCCACCGCTTTGACCAGTTGTTGTTGATGTCCCGCCTGGTCAAAGGTCAATTCACGAATTTCCTGCTGCAGCGTCTGGAAATGCGCTCGCAGATTAATGGCAAAAGATATAAAGAGACCGTCAACTGCCGAGGCGTAGAGGACCACAACAATCGTTACAAACATCGTATAAATAAAGCCAACCTCATAGCCGGGAGTGTTCACATCATTGAAGGGAAATCTGAAAGGCAAAAAAAGGTCGAAAGGACGGTAAAGAAAATGCGGAAGTTAAATTAAGGTCAACTTATTGCATTTCTGTAAAGTTGGTATGAGTACTGAGAGACGCGAAGAGTTCAACTTTGGGTTTAGTGACTATTTTGCCGAGAAAAACATCGACTCCTGCTGAGAATTGATAGACAATTTTAAAGGATATATGGGAAGACTGTCTGTCGCCTTTTCATCAGAAGTCTGGCTGGGAAGGCTACTTGCCATGTGGCTGATTTCTGATTATTGCTAAAAATGTTAAGTCAGCAAAAATAGATATTTCTGCTCAACTCAAGTTACCAAATGAATTCTGATGTCATGTCAAAATAGCGTCTGTATAAGCCCAGCGAACCAGAAAAATCAGCTAACAGTATTTTCTATTCTTATAAGACTAAATCATATTTAGTCAACTGTGTAATTAACACTAGAGTGGAGGATTTTGCAGAACTATTGTCCCAATTGCCTACACAGTTTCAGATAGAGATTCGACACGCTGTTTCTGCTCTTTAATGCTAGATGTATAAATAAAATAGCTGGCAAAAGTATGCTTACTTCATGGGCATTGGCAGCTCTCTAGCGTAGACCACTCCACGCCAACTGCTGCTGATAATCTTGACGATGGGTCCGAGCATAAAGTAGAGACCGGTGAAGCCGCATGAAATGCAATAAGCCCGGCCGAGATTTGTGGCCAATTTATTGGCCTGCACCAAGTAGGCGGTATCATCTCCATCTTCTTCTGCCACCTTTTGATGGGCTGTCAAGAGTTGGACGTTTTTTTTTTTTTGTTATTATTGATTTTCTTGATTAAATGCGTTGGCCAAAGTGATAGCGCATAAATTAATCGGGATTTACATTTCAAATAGAGTTGCCTGAAGCTGTGCAGCATTTGCCAAAAGTTTTGCTTGTAGACAAGAAACGTCGAAATCTTGATGACAGTCAGCAAGTTGGTGAACACGACACTCAGACCGGCCGTAATCAGCTCCATGTCATCCCGATTATAAATGACATAATAAAGTAGCGGATACACAGCCGATATCACAAAGAGCAGAGACGCAATATGCTTCAGGCTCAAATGTTTAAATCCATCGCCGGAACTCTCAATGTTGTGGCCCATCAGGCGCAGACAGTTCTCTTGCAATTGGAATAGACGTGACATGACTTGACCAGTCGATTGATGAAGTACTCAGTGGGGATTGGTTCTGCAGTTGCTGCCTTATATTAATATCGGCTCGCATTTTAATTGGCGCTTGTTTGTAATTAATTGTACATTGTTGACATTGTTTGCGGTAGCTCTTGACTTATTTACAGCTAATAACTGTGATTGCCAGGACGCTCTCGTTGAAATGTTGACATCATAAATTATCATGGCTGACACTAATTGGCCGACAGCGGCAACTTCGCCCCACCCCGGGCACCACCATTCCAATTGCTTTAAAGCGAAAGCTTTCAAATCATATTGTCTGCAAAAGCGGTTAAATACAAATTCACTTTTTATATAACTTTTTCATAAATGCTTCGCACTGTGCGCAATCAAACCCTAATCAATGTACTCGTCTCTCTCGCCATACCACAAAAAAAAGGCGGAATAAACACGCAAAAACTTTTCTTTATCTTTCAATTATATTTTGTTATTTTTACGCACTCACTTTTGTGGCTATACCTTTAAGATAGGTATTGCACTTTTGTCATGGATCTTGTCAAGATCTGAAGGCAAAACTACCATAAAGTACATTTATTGAAGAAGTGAATCAGACTGAAGCTAATAAGGCAAATATCAACTGTGTTTTTTTGTTGTCCTTTTTCTTCGAATATAGTATAAAATTTAGAAACATTTAAGGAAAATCTTACAATAACGGAGAAACTGATTCGGAACATGATTATTTATTGAAATTTACATATAATTTCAAATTATCCTATTTTGTTTGATTAAAGGCACTTTGAGTGATTTTTTCTATTTTTGGATAGTGTATTCCATCTGCACCATACCAAAAACAGCCATTTAATCTTCTTTCCATCTTCTTTGTATAAATACATTTTTTTGCTGACTGAGAAAGTAAAACAATTTTTTGTATGTCTTTTGCTAACGTTCACCGAAGGTTTTAAGATTTCATTTGGGACGATCTATCCATGACCTCAAACAGCAACTTGAAGACTTAATTAATATACCGGAGCTGGAGATGCGGATAATCTCCGAAATGCATTAATTATAATTTTAAAAAATGGAATCAGCAAAAATGTGATTAATCTTATTATTAAATATTCGTTGATGTATTAAGCTGAGGATGTTTCCCAATTTGAGTAAAGAAAGCAAATGTTATTTTTAACAACAAATCAAATTTATTAACAAACAATTATTGAGAAATGAGGTATTCTGATTGATACAGTTTAGCTCAACTGTTTAGAAATTGGGTGGCAGGTAAGCATTGCCTGTGTGTCCAGAGACACCGTGTCCAGAGATACCGCCGCCAGAGATACCGCCGCCAGAGATAGCGCCGCCAGAGATAGCGCCGCCAGAGATACCACCGCCCTGGTGGGAGCTGGAATAACTGCCAGAAGATCCAAAGCCAGTGCCTCCGACAGCAGAGCCAGCATCACCGCCACCAAGAGCACCAATGACAGAGGTAACGGGAGCGACACCCTCATCGGTGAGCTGGCTGGTGCCGCCCAGGGAGTCGTATTGAGCCTGGATCTGTTGCTGGGCATGCTGGGCCTCCTCGTTGGTCTTGTACTTGATGAAGAAGACCTCGGGCTTGCTGGTGGAGCTGGCCTGTTCAACAACCTCGGCATGGACATCGGAGCTATCGGTCTTCTTGCTCAGCACATAGATGACGGTCTTATCCTCGTTGACAGCTGGGCTGATCTTGATGGAAGTCTTCTTGTTGGAGCGCTGTGGCGACTTGATGAACACCACATTGTAGTTGCGCTTGGGCACACCGACAGTGATGTGTCGCTCACTGAACTGGTCATCAGATTCCTCGGGTGCGGAGTGAATGAAGAAACGCTTGGAGACAATGGCCTGCTGCTGTTGCCCATGCTGCTGATAGCTGTGGCCACCGACCTGTTGCTGGGCGAAGGCCGGCTGCTGCTGGAAGTGCTGCTGTGCCACCGCATGCTGCTGCTGACCACCCTGGAAGAAGGCAGCGCCACTACCGCTGGCTGTGCTAAATCCACCAGCAACCGCTGAGCCAGGATTGTTGTAGTTGTAGCCCTGAGGAGCAGCTAACGCCACGGCGGCCAAACACAAAACCTACGATGGGAGAGTGGAGAATTATTAATTAGGCTTAGAGTTAGCATTGATAGCTTCACTCCTCATCCTTACAATGAAACCACGCATTTCTGAACTTGGTTGAGCTTGACTGGAGACTAGTTGGTTTGGGTAACTTGGCTGTTCGCTGTGAACTGTATGACTTTGGTGATCTTCGTCAGGCTTTTATACTGGCAGCATTCGACAACTTAATAAGTGAAGTTCAGCAATGATCCACACACAGAGAGAGAGACGCCACATAGCCAAACAAAATAGTTTTCATTTTTTTAAAAAATTTTTGTTTCTTTGGTTATTGTTGTTGTTGCATGTTCATTATTTCTGTTTCACTCTGCTTTCGTCTCATATCTTCCATGCTGCGGGTCTGCGATTTGTCAGTCAGTCAGTCAGTGAGTCGCCCAGTTGTCCATCAAAATCATCATCGCCTTCGTCATCATTTTTGCTTTTCAAAAACTCTCATTAAATGCGGCGACTTGCTTGTAGTTGCTGGAAATACATGGCCAATTAGCGTGATTCCCCCTAGCTGGCAAAGCTTTTTTGGCTTTCGGTCTTTTTGGCTACTTTGTTGTACACTCAGCAGAAAAATATGCCCTAGTTTATTTTATTTAACACCATATCAAAATAATACATTTTTAGTTACACATAAACTTCCATTTACATATAATCTTCCATCTTCGGATTTCTTTGCGAATTCTACAGTTGTACTTAATGATATTATTTTCCAAGTTTCCGAATACATTTCATAAAAGTAAAAACTCTTGTTCGAAAAGAAAAAGTTAGTTAATAGGATTAAAAAAAAACGTATAACAATTTTTAACATTTTTTTTAAGTGTAACGCTTAATTGTTTGCAACAGTCCAAACTTCACAAACCAACTGAGCCAAGATCTCCCCCGATCAGCTGCCATTATGTGGTTGTTTGGCCCTTTGGGGCATGCATCAACACGCGTCGATTAAATGTTATTAAAAGAAGAATTACATAAACACCTAATCAATTTTAGTATGAGTTACAACTAAGAAATTGCCTTCACATTTTCCATGCTAAGACCAATCTCTTAAGCTCTAGTCACATGTATTTTCTGGTTTAATTAATGGCCCGTCGAGTGTCCGAAAATTTGCATGTGTTGTCCGTGTGCGGTGAGAGCTGATCGCTTCTTCACTACCAACTGCAATGATGCCCATTTATCATTGAGGGGCCAATATCTACAATGGCTGTTCAACAACGGTTTGTCCAAGCTGCCTAAGATTAATTTACTTTTGATTATTTCGACAAAGACCTTTGTCAATACATATTGTGTACGAGACTCTGCGGCAATTGTTTGGCTTAAACGTGACGCCCATTCAACTATTTGCGGTCGGTGTAATGAGCCGTTTACTTGAGACGAGCTCGTGCTAGGAGTGGTTGTGGTAAGGCTAGGGGCAGGGGTAGGGCTTTTGGTAACCCAAGATAATGAACATGCAATGCTATACGCTCTTCATTAACGGGCTCCAAAACCCAAGGGTCGGGGCCAAGACCACAAGTTGAAGTTGAAATGGTTGCTATTGCACAATATCATTGCTCTTGACATGCTCAACTTCTGGGAAAATCATCAGTTTTTGAGAGGCTTTAAAAATTATTATTAAAAAAATAAATAAAATAATTAAATACAAATATAAAATATGAAATAACAATATGCACTTCAGTTGTATTTAACTGAAAAGCATTGAAACCATTTAATCTCTTGCAAAGCTTTTCGGCTTGTCTAAAAGCTTTGTCAGCTCCCGTTATTCGATATCGAAACCAAAACGTTGACAATGATAACTTTAAGCTCATGTATTCATTTATAACCGGCTGGTAAACAGTCTGATATAAATGGAGAAAACCGTTTCTGACCTTTGATTAATTTGAATGCAATTCAATTTTTCATATTTATATCACATTATGCAATACTTATGGCTGTTTATAAGCTAAATAAGGCTATTTAATTAGTCATCATTTTTAAACACCTTTCGTCGACATTTTATGCTTCTGATATTATATATATTCATATATATATATCCATAAATTTCATGCATAATATTTTAATGATTTAATTTGTCTTTTATATTAAGCTTTTTGTTGGTAATTGTTTAGTATTGGCGCCAATAGCCTTGACCATGTTAATTTCCTCAACACGCCATCGTCTCAAAAGTGAAAATGATGAGGTTTGCAGATGTGAAAATAAAATAATTTCATCGCACTTATGACTCGGTGGGTGTATGCATTCAAAGTTATATTTCATGAAACAATAATACGCTAATATACCGTTAATGGCATTGCACAACACTATAGACAAAACACACAGAGATTACAATATACAAAAGAATGAGGCGTTACATCAACCTGGAAATGCTGCTGCTGCCATTGTAACGCCTACCTCTCGCATTGCTTATATAACAATCAGCGTTGCGTGAAATTAAAAATATATAAAAATAATATAAAAATATAATTTACAATAAATTCGAGTTGAGTTGGTTAGCATTTGTTGGATTTTGATTAATCTTCACTCGTATATCAAAATATCATCGTCATCATTCATCTGGCTATCTCCGCACAAAAAGGTATGACCCAAATTTCCATAGTCACTGATGGACATTGATTGATTTTTATACAACAAAAAATATCTAAATTAATTTATTGATGGTTATTAAAAACATACTAAACAAATGTTAAGAATAAGTGCTCAGCTCAATGGGGTTTCTCAAATTACCAATATTAGCTTTGTATAGCATTGAATTTATTTGAAATTATATGTTCATATTTCAAATTCGGACATCGTTTTTTAAATTAATGATTTTATTCAAAAATCTTAAACAGTCTTAATTTTTGTAGGGAAGAAAAAAAAATGTTATCTAAAGGTAAAATAGTATATAAATTGAAAACTTTAATGAATATAATAAAAATTGAATAAATAAATAATTATTATTTTCTTATGTACAAATCAGGGTTAATTGTTATCGCCGAGCAGTTAAATAAATAATTGAGCAATAAAGCAACCTTTCATTAAACTAATTGATAGGAGATGGAAAAAGGTTAAATTGAGACTCAGTGAAATTATACTTTTGGCTGTGCGAGTACTTCAAGTATTTTTTTAGTGGGTCTCCCCCCTTTAATGTTTTTTCTTGTCGATTCACCAGAAAATTACATAAAAAACGGATGTATTCGTTGGCTATTTTGAAAAGCAAACGAATAATGATAATATCACACACACACACAGAGCAGAGCACATGGCCCCCGGTGCATTATGTAAGCTGACAGTATCGTATAGCCGTGTATAGTCCAATTAAAATTGCAAGAGATCTGCAAAACTGAACTAGGGGCTTCTATAACTGGGTCAGGCTATTATGACCATCAAAAGCGATTTATCAAAATGGCCAAAGGCTGTGCAATTTGGCGCGTCACTAATGACAATTTTGCGCAGATTTGTGCAAGTTATGTTTAATTATTGAAAAACGCACGCCAATTATGAATACCACCATGATGCGGGTCACAACGCAACATAACTCACAGATCCCCAATACTCTTCAGTGAAATTGTTGCCCCAAAACAATAGATATGTTAATTCACATATGACTTCCGGCGAACTGGTGGCAAACTAACGTTAAGCCCCAAATAATTGTCTGCTCATATGACGCAGGCATTTTCTACCTGAGTGTTTGAATGGAAGTTTGCGTGTGTGGAGAGTGTGAGTGTCTAACCACTACAGACATCATCTCAAGGTTGTTCAAAAAGAAATACAAGCCTAAGTGCTCGAGGCAAATTTGACCGGCTAGAAGATGCCCTAAGCATTGCCCGAATACTTTATTATATAATATATATTCATGTAACAATAATTTAAGCAATATACCATTCCAATAGAAAAAGGTCTTGAGTCGAGCTTTCTATTCCCTGATTAACTTTAAATTTGTAAGCACAATTTTTAAGATTTGAACATTCTTTAAATGCTCCTTATATGCGAAGCTTTATCGATATTTATCGATATTTGCGTTCAACAAAGTTAGTTGTTTAATGCATATCTACTAATCAACATTCAATTTCTATGGATTTTCATGGATGGATCTTCAGCTATCGGTTTTTTGATGAAAATACAAATAAAAATAAAAACAAAATATGCACAATCAAAATAGCTTATGTTTACCTATTTGCAAAGGGTATACAAACAAATCGGGTTTGCCGGCGCTTGTAAGCATTGCTTTTGGCCCTCACTCTTCGTGCGTTTGATGTTTTTGTTTTCAGTTTCAGTTTCATTTGAACTCTGTGTGTCTCCTCATCATCGTCATCATCATCATCATCATCTTCTTCTTTTGCAGCATCAGCGGCATCATTTCTGCTTTTTCGTGATCGACATATTCAAGTCCGCGCCTTATAAGTCTCGCCCGGGCACTGATTAGCATTTAGTTGGTTTCTGTTTGCCAAGCGCACCGGTGCTGCGTGTATCTTGTATATTTTACTAGTCACATTTCGTATTAATTAAACGGAAATGCGCGCGTTTATTGTAAGCTGACAGTTGTTGTTGATACTTTTCTCTCCCAGCCAGTTGTGTAATTTATACCATGTAATTTCTTGTTAGGTTACGTGCCTGTTTTGCATGGCGTTGGCGATGCCACAAGGATATAATTACCAGAACGGTGGCAATCTACAGCTGCCGGGCATCCCACTCATATCTGCTGGTACATCCAGCTTCCAGCAGCAGCCGGCCAGCATCGATGAGCAGCGAATTGTGCAGCAGGCTCTGCAGGCGCCCAAGCTGCAGCAGATTTTCAACCAACAACCACAACAACAGCAAATCTTCCAGCAGCCGCAACAGCAACAGCAACAGCAGTTCTCCAACTATGCCTACAATCAACCGCAAACATATAATCATGGTCAAGCTCCAGTTGTCTCCAAGGATATCTATGTGCATGTGCCGCCAGCAGATGAGCCAGAGGATCGTCATCCACAACCCGCTGTGCCAGTTGGGCCACCACGCAAACATTATCGCATTGTGTTTATTAAGGCGCCCACTCCCAGTGTCAGCAAGGCAACGCTACGTGTCAAACAGGCGCCCATTGAGGAGAAGACCATCATCTATGTGCTGACCAAAAAGCCAGATCCACTCGATCTGCAAACGGCTATTGAGGAGGCACCCAAGCCCATCAGCAAACCGGAGGTCTTCTTCATCAAGTACAAGACGCAGGAGGAAGCAGCTCATGCGCAGCGCACAATACAAGGTAAGAGCCCATCACGGAACGAATAATATGCTTAGTTATGGCCAAGACCTTGGCTTTGCGTATTTGTCAACACGTTTACTACCACTTGAGTTGGAGATTTTGCCCAGCATTTCAGTGGTAAAGGCCAACCTGTATGGCTTAGTCATTCAATCACCAGTTAACCTTTGGGTTTTCTATTTAACAACTCTTCATCTGAATGATTTCTCTAAGGCAGCAAAAAAAAAGTTAGAATTTGGTGCGTAAGCCACAAAATCTTGAATACCACTGACTATAAGTAACACGTGTCTATAAAATTACCAAAGATTTATTCTTGTTGTTAGGGCTGTCTTGTCAACTACTGATATTATAATTATTATAACAACACTTTAAAACTATTAGCCTAACTTTTAAACAGTACTGGCTACTATAAATAGCACTCAGTTCAGACATCCTCGTTCTTTAGCTGCCCCAACAGATCTTCTATAGAGAACTGTTTTAAATATTTATATATCAATGTATATATTTCTATAGCAATGTTAAGCTTTTTGATTAAGTTACATAATTATGTTTTTTTTTTAATTTTTAATTTTATATATATATTTTTTTTATTCAAATTAACTTAACTTTTAGCTCAATACGATCAGCTTGGTGGCACCACACAGGTCTCCGATGAAGGTGTCGCTCCGGTCACATCGGTGATTGGATCGTTGGACAATCAGCGTGGAATTGGAGCTGGTTTAAGTGGAGGCAATGCCAATGGGGGTATAGGTGCTATTAATGGCCTTGGAAGCCTCACGAGTGCCATTTCCAGCAAATATTTGCCCGCCAATTTGCGTGCGTGAAAAGAATATACTGACTGAAATCACAAGAATCATTGTTGTTTGTTTTTTAGGCATAAGTAACTCAAATGTTGTAAATATAATATATAGCTAAATAAACATGTTGTTTCTTAACCCTCCAGCACGATCTCCCTTTCTACGACCTTCCAACGGATCTTTCACAACTTTTCCAATTAACACATTAGTTTCACAAAGGCGACCACCAAAACAAAAACAAAAAACAACAAAACAGGTGAAAAACAAAATAATATCGTGCCTCTGAATTGCCACATCGATTAGCCACATGAGGCAAACCGGTCACATCGATTAGCAATTGATTCGTCTTGCATAATAATATGCATAATACTATTGTGGTGAGGCATGATTATGGATGCAGCAAATAAGTGGCTTGATCAGTTTTTATAGGCTTCGCTATAAAATATTATAAAAGAAACCGATTTCAATAAATATTATTTATGTGATACGGCCTATAATAGCTAATATATGTAACTGTTTTTATTTTCAATATGAGATCTTAGTACGCATATATCATAGAAGGGCAGAAAATGGGGAAAGACCACCTACTGCCGACTCATATCGGCCACAATTTGCTCTTTGTGTTCCCAGCTTATAATTCCCACACAGAATAGATCAATTTACATGAAAGTTATAACTATAGGTATAACTATGCTTGTGAGTTAGTATATTAAAAAAAAAAAAAAACACTCTTCTGCTATATATTCATAAAAGTCCGTAAAGGAAAATTTGGTTTGACGCATTGTTTGATGCAGCAATTTTAGCAAGGCCTAGTTTTTAATGGTTTCTTAAGCTGAAGTTGTTATTGATTGTAGACCGCTTATTTAGTCTTGGCTGGCACGCATCTAATTGAGCAATTAGTAAAGTTCATCTTCGCATGTCTAATAAATTTGAAAAATTGAACATAAAATTAGTTGGTTAATTAACGGATAAGATGTAACTGGCAATCACGGCCATTGTTTGTCAAAAGTTGTAAGCAAGTTGCAATGATAAATATTAAGATGTCCAACATCATTTGTTTGAAGTGTAAATGCTATAATAATATTTATTAGCTTTTGACTACTAACAAGTATTTAAAATCCAAAATGAGTTATGTTTAAGAAGAGTATCCAATATTGATTTAAAAATTAGTAAAAGCTGCGCTTAACGCTTTTAGCTTCAATTCGTTATTTTTTCGGTATCAAAGGGATTTGTTTTTAAGTTGCAGGAATTAGTGTTAATAACAAAAGCTTATAAATAGATATGCTCTATATGATATATGCTATATATAGATATATCGAAAGATAGTAATAGTAAATATATATATATAATATGAGGATTATTCACACATATATATTAAAAATGTTTAATAGGTTCAGCCAAAATAGATACGATTTTTGTTGAGGATAAGATATTTATTTATTTTGAAATGATTATGGCTTTTACAATAAATTAAAATATACTATATTATGGGCCGATTCTTGGAACTCAAAGGAAGATATGCTACTGCATACTGTAATGTAGATCGCTTATTTAGTCTTGGCTGGCACGTAACTCTTCGATGGCACAACGACACCAAAGTTGGAACCCGATGATACCGATGAGGTTTGGATACCTCGGCCCAGACCTCCACCCAGACCTCCACCGAGACCTCCGCCTAGACCGCCGCCCAGACCGCCGCCTAGACCACCGCCCAGACCGCCGCCTAGACCGCCGCCCAGACCGCCGCCCAGACCTCCTCCACTCAGACCGCTGCCCAGACCGCCGCCCAGACCTCCGCCCAGACCTCCTCCACTCAGACCTCCTCCACTCAGACCACCCTGGAAGCCTCCGTTCTGTGATCCAAAGGAGTTGCCCTGTCCAAAGGATCCCACATTCTGACTGATACCGTGGGACTGACCCTGCTGCTGAATATGCTGTGGTACAATGTTGCCAATGTTGCTGAGGGAGCCACCCGAGAAGCTGGTAATGGGAGCAACACCCTCATCCGAGATGTGAGTGGCACCGCCCAAAGCATCATACTGGGCCTGAATCTCCTGCTGAGCACGCTGAGCCTCTTCGGTCGTCTTATACTTGATGAAATAGACCTCGGGCTTGTGGACCTTGGGCTCAGTCTGGCTGAGTTGCAGATGCTGATGGATTTCGTTGATGTCGGGCTTCTTGGACAGCACATAGATGACGGTCTTCTCCTCATTGGTAGCCTGGGCGCGCTTCAGAGCAGCAGCGGTGTGCCTCAGATTCTGTGTGGGCGCCTTGATGAACACAATGCGATAATTCTTGCGAATGGGGGTGTTATCCAAATGAGGTTGGGCGCCAATTTCCTCTGTTTCTTCGGGTGCCGAGTGAATGTAGATATCCTTGGTAACAATCGAGGGACGCTGGGGCTGCTGATAAGGCTGCACATATTGCTGCTGTGGCTGAGGGGGAGGGATATACTGCTGCTGCAGTGGCTGTTGGTAGGCAACCGGTGCCTCAAGGCCTACATTCTGAATGGGCTGCGAGTAGCCCTGCTGCGGCACATTGTATATTCCACTGGTCGAGAGCGGTATCTGGGGGCGCAGATTTCCACCTTGGATGATTGGCTGATTCTGCTGATACTTGTACCCCTGTGGAGCAGCTGCGGCGAGCAGAGCGCTCGACAAGCACTGCAAGTGGAAGGAAAAATGCATTTTATTAAAGCTCCAGGCTCAATGCAGCCAGTCAGTCTTACCACAAGAATTGCAAATTGTTTCATTTTAGTAAAGCGCTGTTGACTTCTCTCGCAGTTTGAACTCAACTGATGCCCTAACCGCTGGTTGACTATGTTTTTATAAGATAGTCCGGCTCTTTGGGAATCGCATTTCATCTCAAGAAACTGGGCGCCAGTATTAAATTATCGAATCTATTGTCGCCAGGTATCGGCCTACCTGTGTCTGTTGTTGCCAAATCACGGAACCATATTCGTAAATATTTATGTGTATACCAGCGATCGCATTAGAGATGCATCTCGTTCGTAGACTGTTATATAACTTGGTCAACTTATGGTATTCAAATTTTGTTATAATCGCAACGCCGCTACGGCATTAATGCAAAATATAATTTTTTAATGTGACATATCGTTCGATCAAATGCTCCCTCAGTTCCAAAAGAAAGTAATTTCTTATGCATTTCGATGAGTTCGTAACAGACCGAAAATCAAAAACCCGATTCCCCCCACTCAAAACGTTTTTTGGCCGCCAAATTAGTAGCTCGTTGATTAGTCCGGAGCAGCCCCTTAACCGGTTGCGTATTCCAAAATCTCAATGCGCATAAATTAGTTAAACTTAATAAGATAACGCAGTGATTTAAAAAAAGGCAAGATGCAAACAAATGTTGGTTATCCAAAGAAAGCAGTTTATGGGTCCATGTTGCTTTTGCCTTATGAATGGCGTTTCTGCTGGGTTTGTTTTAATTTTAGTTTTACACAATCTTTAGTGTCGTTCGCTTTCGAAACATAAACCATAGCATAAGCCGGAGATCTCGAGAGCTGTCATTGTCATTGTCTTTGCCAAGCGGCATTATGTTAATTATTCTAATAAATTTTGGGACAGTAGTTGCCCAAAGATAAAACGCAAATAATAATTACATGATTCAAATTTATTTTTCAATTATAGTAGCAGTTAAATATAACTCATACAGCATTTGGGCGAAGTGATTTTGAATGGAGTTTCTTGATGGATATACAATTTAAGCTGTTGTAACATCAAATTTAAAATCGCCACTAAATGTTCGGATTAATAAACATTTCAAGAATTTTTCAATGTAAGACTTGACACCTACTAACATGATTTTTGTGTAAACAATGCATTATTATTATTATTATTTTAATAATATATTTTAGTCTTGCAACATTTTGCAATTATCCTATTAATATTCACCATAAGCACCTCAGAAAAACTCAACTAATTCGATTTAATCAAATTAATATTTAATTATCGCCGATTAACACTTGCTACAGTCTCGTCCAAAATAGTTGTCGCAGCTCCAGCAATTCAAAAACCAATCAACTTTCTTGCATACTTTTGGCTACCAAAATAAACTCGGGCAATTTTTGTAGAAACTTATTTTATTTGTTAACACTATTTACAGTTAGTGTCTGCAGTTTTGTTATAACTAAAACCTTCGGTTGGGTGGCAAGTACGCGCTAGTCGGTGATAACTCGCTTGTGGCAGATCCTCCGCTTTTTGAGGCAAAGTCCAAAACTGGAGCCGAGGAGCCGGCATTGTGGTTGGTGGAGCGACCGGGCAGTGAATCGTATTGAGCTTGGATGACACGCTGTGCATTCTCCGCATCACTGGGAGTGCGATATTTGACGAAGTGCACCTCAGGCTTGTTGTTGGCCTGCAGCTTCATTTGGTTCAATTTGTTGGCCAAGTCACTCACATCCGCCTGTTTGTTGAGCACATAGATGGCTGTGCGATCGTCGGAGGCAGATGAGGCCAACTGTAGAGCGGCCTGCTCCAGACCGGTGTTCTCCGGACCCTTGATGAACAGCACACGCAAATTTTTTCTCAAGCTATTCGAGAGCTGATCGTTGATCGGGCCATTGTTGAACTCCTGCTCCGGGGCGCTGTACGAGTAGAATTCTTTGTTGAACTCGTTGGGAGCGACTATGGGCTCCGACAACTGAGCAGAGCCACTCTGCTCGGTTTCGTCAATACCACCGCTAGTTTGGGGCGTATAATCATACTGTCCACGGGCAACGGCAAGCAAGCAAATCATCTGTAATGAAGATGATTATATTTCTGGAGAGGATTAGTTTTTTTTTTGGTACTTACAAGAAAAGCGCGCATTTTGTGCTTGGGTTTTGTGGTTTCCACACCGAAAGGCTTTTAGGTTTTTGAGTTGTGTGTGCTGTGCAGCTGCTGAGCTCTTTCTGTGTCTTCCAATTACAACGTTGTCCGATATTTATATTGAAGATTGAGATACAAGTCGAGTTCGAGATGCATCTCAACGATGCAGCGCATGCAAATGCGCCTACATTTCATTATCATTATCTGTGTTGGGCAACTTGATGCTATCTGCCTCCATGTTTCAATTAAAATACCAATCGTTTTTTAATTGGATCATATACATATGTAGCTTTACACTTTTGTAAAAGAAACAAAATAAAACTTACGACTGCAACTGATTTGGTATTTGGTAAGCTGGAAAATGTGTAAATGTATTCAAATTACAATTTAGTCACCAAATATGTGAGTTTGTCGCAACTTGGCCTCTATTGGAATGTCAAGTTGTGTCTGCATTCGACATTTTCTGGATGCAATTAAGAAAAGCTGCCGACAACCAAAGCTTTGATTTGCATTTTGGGAATTTTACGAAATATTACTAAATACTCAATGCATAGCCCTAATTATTGCGCTGACTTCTTGATTTATGCGACGCTAAATGTGTGTATTTTATATAAAGTTTCATAAAGTTAAGCGAAATGGAAAATTCGTAGAGTTTAATAATCATATTTACAAATATATTTTGAACTTTTTAAGTATTGTAATTAATATGTAATATTAATTATATTTTGACCAGTAGCTCAAACTATATTCAAGTTGTGCCTAAGATTATGCAACATTTTTTGTGCCGCAAGGTTTTTAAGGCCGTATCCTAAATGGGGCACACAAGAAAAGTATTGAGTGTACCAGGACTTCAACATATGAATTGATAACTGAAGTAAATAACTATTTATCTAGTATCTAACTCGATTCCATATTTAATCAAAGTATGCCAAAATGTAATTAAAGTTTCACAAAAGTTTACTTGTAGTTTTTTGTAACCATATACAAGATATATATAAAGGTTTTAAAAGAAGACATCATTTCATAAACAAGAAGCAGATCGGCGGCTATTCGAATTCAAAATAAATTTGTGGGCCAATTACTAACATCATATCATAATCCGATCTTATAACTCGTTTTGAGTCGCTGACTTTAATTACCCTGATCTGCAAAATTTGACAAGCAAGATTGCTCCAGTTGAGAGAACTCGACTACGAGATACCCTGAATTCGGCTATAAAAAATATTATAAACCAATTCAAACATAGCTTTCAGTTTTTGTTGGTTCTATTGTTGAACTGAAAGAGATCAAACGCGTGTCTGTCTTTGTGAACGGGAATAATACCCACATAAAGAAATCAATATAAAAATTCGCTTGTTTTTAATTCTATCCTAATGAAATTTGTACAGTTGATCAGCTATATTGAAAGCCTATAACTTTTAGTTTGTGGTATTTATTGCCATTTGAGATGATTCGATATGTATCGTTATTCACGAAGCGAAGGAAGTTATCGATAAAATAAAAGAAACTTAATATTAAGATGGTATACTTTTATTAAAAATTTTAAGAGTCAACTTCTTACTGACAGACAAACAAATACATATTCTCCGTTACCGATCCTGATCAAGAATATCTATGGGTTGGAGTTGCTTCCTTCTACATGTGACATACTTTTCCACAATTTCATCATACCCTTTTACCTATTTTAAATGTGGTCAGGGTAAAATAACAAGTTTCTTTGGAAAGGAAACAAAGCAAAGGAAACAGATGAGAGACAAATGAAAGGGATTTGTGATTGATGTATTTTTTATAGCAGCAATTTAAACCTTTTTTTAATTCAGCGACTAGTAGCCCAGATACTACGTTAATTAACATATTAAAAACCAGTTCAAAGTTTTCGCTTTCACACAAAGAGTAGTAAAATGTAGCTTTAAATAAGTTTTAATAGAAAAAATCTTGCCAAATTATAGATTTTATTGTTTTAAGCATTAAGACACGTGAAACGTTTTCTTAAAAAAAAAATAATCAATATTCAAATATGAAAAGACCGATTTTAGATTATTGTAATAATCAGCGCTTGATTTTATGTCTGGTCTCTGGGATTATGTTAAACAAATGTATTTTTAAACTCGTTTCGTTTTCAAGTTGTTCAAGTTCACAGTTGCAAATTATAATTTCATTATGAAGACAATGATAACTTTTGCTGGCTATAAAAGCCGCCGTCCATTTGCGCTCGTGTTTTAGTTTTGCTGAAAGAATCTGCCAGAATGAAGACTGCTTGCGTAAGTTGAAACACTTTTATAGTTATTAAATCTATATAAAATGAATCATATTTGTTCATACCCAGTTGATTTTGCTGTTCGCTTTGATGGCCCTTGTGTATTCTGCTCCTGCTCCGGCTCCAGCACCTGGCAATGATCCCACTGTATCCGTGCTAAAGTACAGCAATGACCAAGAGCTAGAGTCCATTCAGCGTGCAATTATTGCTCAATATGAGGGTCAATATGGGGGCACCACGCAGATTCATGCTCCACGCACCGCGACCCTCGTCAATCCTCAAACCCTAGGAATACACATATAAACAAACAAAAATAACAATAAATAACAAATTTTGTTTTGAATCTCTGCTGTGACAATTAAATGATAAGGCGAAGAGCTCGACTTAGATCGATAGACGCTGCTTCAGTCCCATTTTGATACTCACTGAGTATATACAACAAAAAAAAATGCGCTACTGTTTGGTACTGCTATCAACTACGCTGTTCTGCTTGGCATATGCAAATAGAGAACCCAAAGATCAGGCGGTGATATTTCCCAGGGATCAGGAAATCCATTTTCCAGGATCAGAGAGCGATCAAGATATCTATTTTCCGGACTCCAAAAAGTTCAAGATACGTGGCTTTCACTGGAACAGTGCGGGTCATCTGCCAAAACCAAATTCAAGGCGATGGCGATCAATGAATGCTTATAGACCAGGTCAACCATTTCCCCCACCCTCAAATGGTCATTACAACAAGAATCGCAAAAACCAACCAAGGGAACAGCAACGTCTCTGTGAGCGCAGTGAGTTTCTCTCTCTCTCTTTCTCTCTCTCTCTCTCTCTCTCTCTCTCTCTCTCTCTCTCTTTCTTTAATATACAATACAATATACAATTTTGGAATACACATATAAACCCATAGAGCACTCAGAGTATATTGAACGCATATTTGCCAACGATAAGGCCGTAAGCGCAGACGCCGATGACGTCGATTTCGATGGACGCGTTCTCGTCCGACCTGGTGAATACCCCCACATGGTACACACAATTTTGAAAGCTGATAAAAAAGGCAGCATTTATTAGACATTTAATTTTCGATAGGCAGCGCTCGGCTTTGAGACGAATTCACAGATAATCAACTATAAATGTGGCGGCAGTCTCATAAGTGAGAATTTTATACTAACTGCGGCCCATTGCACTGATGTGGAAGGGTGAGTTTCTTGATTACCCCAGACAAGGAGGCGAGTGTAACAGGACGAGGGTTCTCTGATTGTGCCTGTGACCCATTTGACATTGTATATATTTTTAGTGAAGTGCCAAAATGGGTGCGCGTCGGTGGACTAAATTTAATGATCGATGAGATAACGGTTGAGCCACAGAATTTTGGAATCGAAAGCATATTCGAGCATCCGGACTACAAAAATGATTTATACTACAATGATATAGCACTTCTAAAACTGGACGGAAATGTAATGTGAGTATTAATATTGATATTAGAAACTAAAAATTTTACTCGATTGAACTCAATGTGTTTTTTTCACTGTTGAAAGCCAAATAATAAAAAAAAATGTCTCAAAAAAAATCACTTTATTATTGTATTCTGATAATAAAAATGACGAGCCTAATCTTTGGGCAATTTAACGTTTCGCACAACACTGTTATAATTTTGGAGCAATCATTAAATGAAGTACAAATAAATAAAAATTTTACTATATGTTGACATATATTGAAATTCTTTAGAGCTATCAAAATTATCGAGAAATGTTGAAAATCACTAGATAAATGATCTGGTTTCTAGTTATAATTTCTATATGCATTATAATGTTTGAATTTAATACGTTGTAATCAAATGCCTTTCAGTCTAACAGAGTTTGTTCGACCCATTCGCCTGTGGTCCAGTGAGGAGATACCCACATCGATTGCCTTCGCCATGGGCTATGGATCGACAAGCTTTGGCAAGGGTATGACATATCGCTTGACCCATTTGAATGCAACTTTGGTGCCCAACAGTGAGTGCGATGAGGATCTACCCGACTTCGAAGAGACCCCATATGGAATAATAGCGAGTCAGATATGCGCACAGGATTTCATTCAGAGTCGCGACACCTGCCAGGGCGACTCGGGTGGTCCGCTTCAGTTGAATTTGCCGGGTCGTCGACGTCGTCATGTCCATTATCATCTTATTGGAATTACCTCCTTCGGCGTCTTCTGCCGCAGCAGCTATCCAAGTGTCTATACACGTGTTTCATCGTATTTGGATTGGATCGAGCAAATCACGTGGGGCATGCCAAGTAGCTGAACCTTACTTTAAGTTAATTAATTATGTATTCAAGCAGAGATCAGCTTTCGGCACTTAGATTATCTAAAAAATAAACTAATAATATTAAAAAATGTTGCAAGCACTGTTTATCAAAAACTATATATTGAAATTAAAAAATCATTTATTTTATTTGGCCTCGATCTTCAAAATCAAATCAGTTTTTTTGTTTAAGTATTTAGTCCTCTTATTTGAAATTAATCACACACAAGCATTATTGTTACTATTTGAGTTAAGAAAAACTTTTCCATTTAATACAAAATTACATTACATTTAATTATTAATTTCTTTTGTATTTTTTTAAGGCAAAAGCGAACGTAAATTTTTGGTCAATTTTGCTGAGTATTCCAACTGAGGGCTTAAACCTCGTTGTTAGCATCCAGAACCTGGCGTTTGATGTCCTCATATGAAGGCAGATTCTAAGAATGCAATTAAAATAATTCATTAAAATAGTTTCAATTTAAAATGTGAATCAATGATGTGTGTTGCAAGTTAATTGAGTGGTGAATAATGTGAATATTTACTAGGTGCTGAAAATACTCACTCACATAAGCAGTGTTTAAGTGTTTTGAGGTCATGCATTGAATCAGCCAGCGGGAGCCAGATTAATTAGCCAGGTGATGATTATTTAGTATGGAATGATTATTGAATGTGCAATACGATCTACTAACCTGCCAGTAGTTGTCCTCCCAGCTGGGGAACATGCGCTTGAAGGCCCTTGGTTCGTTGCCCTGAGACACACGCACAATGTTCAGAGTATCCATCGTGCGAGCAGTGGGCTCAGATTTAATATAGCGCTGTAAATGAAAAATATATAATTTGTATTAATTGTGTGTATAAAAATTGCATATATAAATAGTGATCGGCTGAGCCGGCAACTGAAGCCCGTTGAGTACAAAAATGTAAGAAAATTCGACCGAAGAGAAATGGGTGAAAAACTTTAGATTTTACAAAGAATAATGAAAGAATTGCCGGTTAATACCAGTCAGCTAATAATAATCTATCTCACCTTGGCCATATCCAGAATCTTGCCATTCTCATCGGCAGTGGCGCCGGAGCCAACCCACATGTACAGCTCATCGCCAGCATCGAGAAGCATCACATCATCCGTATCGAGATCTTCCTGCTGGTATTCGGCGACTTCCTCGACCTTGGCGCGTCCAGCACTGGTCAGACGGCAGTGGAAGAGACGTGGCTCAAGCAGTGGTGCTGTCTGATCATCGAGACTGCGATCGTACTGACCCTCACCGTTCAGCTCCTCCCAGAAATCATCGGGCTCGGCACCCTCATCCACAATCTCCATTTCGGCATCCTCCCAGTAGTGGGCAAAGCGTTCCTTGGCTGCCTCCTTCTCGAAGGCGGAGGCACCCAGACCATGCCAGATGTACACCTTGTGTGTTTTGGTCATTGCCAAGGCAAAGGCATCGCCGGAGGCCAAAGAGGAGCTATCTGCGGGCACTTCGCTGGCATGGACATCACTCTCGACTGTGCCGCGAATGCGGAATAGTTGGGCAGAGATCGGGAGTGGTGTGTACGATGTCAAGAGTTTACCCTTGAACATCTTGTAGAAGTGGCGCGGTTCGTGTCCCTGCATGGTGCGCACTAGGATCGCATTGTGCTCCTCGGCGAGAGCCATGCCCTCCTCGAAGGCGCGCTCCTTGACAGCAGCGTTTGCCTTGGCTCCCTGCCAAACATAGACAATGACGCCCTTCTCACCGTTGTTGGCCTCATAGTTATAGCTAAGCACATACGAGCCAAAGCCCAGCAGCGGCAGATGCTCTTCGAAGGGAACGGTGGTGTGCAGGACCTCATTAGTGCCGGCCTTGTTAACATATTGGGTAATCTCGGCAATGCTGTTCTGGCCATGATCGGGCATGAAGCCAATGGCGCGACCGCCGCTCTTCTTCAATTTCTGAACGACGGCATCGATCTCATCCATATCGAGAGACTCATCGGAGCCGATGTTCAAGGCGGAGCGGACGAGACGAGTGTGAGACATGCCAACATCGCGCCAGGTGTCGAAGTACTGCTTGAAGGGCGCAGATTCGGCACCCTCGACAATGCGATGGATCTGCGTCCAGGCTGGGTATTTCTTGATGCGCAGGAACTCCTGCGCCTTGGCCATAGCATCGGATTTCTCCTTTTGTGTTGCACCACGACCCACCCAAACAAAGATGCCGGAGCCGGTGTCCAGGATGAAGCAATCGTTAGTATCGAGCATTGCCTGACGCAGTGGCTTCTGGGCAATGGTGTCCACTTGGACTCTGCCACTGGCATCGGATACTTTGTAGAGAGTGACGGCGGCGGCATCGGTGCGCTCAAAGGCACCATCCTCATCGGCCGTGGACTCTTCGGGCACCTGATCGGGTGATCCAGAGCCGAGCACGTCGAAGAACTGCTGCTTATCCATTTCAGTGCTGAACTCATCGATGATCTGCACACGAGCACGTCCATTGTGATCCTGATCCCTAATCTGGTTGGCAGCACTAATCGCCTTCAGTTTCTCCACACGCTTAGCCTGGGAGCCCACATAGACGTAGATATCATTGCCAGCATCCAGAATGAAGCAGTCACCCTTGTTCATCGATGAAACGGAGAGATTCACCTGGCGGACGCGCACATTGCGCTTTCCCTTCACCTGGAACAGACGCTTCTCGCCCTGAGCATTCGTCTCCACATGCTTGAAACCACTGCCAACTCCTCCCTGCTCATAACGCACACCTGAAACGTTGGAAATCCAGGATTACACACATGTTTAGCTTCGGGCCTGTTTTATTTACCATTCTTGAAGTAGCCCAGGAACAGCTGGGACTCGTGATCCTGCACCTCACGATGCTGGACGGGACCGCCGTTCAGGATATCATCCAATTGCACAGTCAAAATGGCTGCAGCGCCAGCCTCATCTGTGGAAGTTTCGGATCCCAGCCAAAAATGGACATCCCACGAGAGTTCTTTGCTCTTCGGGTTCTCTCGGGTCTGTGAATAGATTTTGAGTGTAAATATATAGTGTATATAGTATATAATGAGTCTTTAATATATATTAATATATTCTTCAATTTTTGTATCCAAATATTCCTCAGCATACACGTTTTAAATTTCCGATAAAGTCTGCTTTTGAAGATCATTTTATAACTCGATTATTTTAGCATTTCAAAAGAAATGCATTGGAAGTTGGATGCATAATATGTTTTCTTACTCGGAACGCATAACTGATATGATTCTGAGTAAGAAAAAATATTCTTTTGAAATGCTAAAAAGATAAGTAATAAATTAATGTTTACATAAAAAATAAATATGTGTATTTATATCATATTTACTTTTTATAAATTATTAATCAAGAAATAATAAACATTATGGATATCAGTATACTGGTACATTCAAAAAAACTGCAAGAATATATATAAATATTATTATTTATTACTTACATTCAAGATAATAAAGGAATCGCCCGTGTAGAATTTGCCATAGTTATTTGGGGGATATGGAACCGGCTCGAAATTCTAGAAATTAACAATAAGTATAAGTAAATATATATTTTTTAATATTCTATTTTGGGAGCCACGCAAACTCAAAATATTTATTGATGGAGGCAGACAAAAGCAGTTCTCGATAAACAAAGTCAAAAAAAACAAAAAACTAAACAAATAGAAAAATGCTTTGCATCTGTCGTTGGAAGTCTATAAATTAAGCTAATGTTTCCGAGCTAATTAACGCTAGCTGGGAACATGCCTCTGTTTACAGTACCACAAACGTACACAACTACAGTAGTGATTCGCTAGAGTAACAAAACATCTGGTGTACATATTGCGTGAGTTCAGCGACTAGAAAATATCATCAGGCACATGAAAATAATTCCTTTATAGCATACAAAGTCGAGTAAATACGTAGATACATATGTGAATACTTGTGTGAGTGTTTCTCAATACATTTGATAACTTTGCATGCCAAATGCCACCAGCGAGTGCCGCATTGGGCGCCACTGGATGAGCAACGCAGTCGTGCGTGGGTGTCGAACTTTCCCCCAAACGATGTAAACATGCAGCTACCTATTTTTACACATCAGGTATAACAATACACTGAGAGAAAATCGATGTTCGTTTTAGATACATTCCGAATACAATTGGTATTATTTCTATGCCTACATTTTCAAGTACGATACGTTCTTAAGTATTCTTGATTTAAGCTGGTTTTGTGCTTTTCTTATGGTGAAGTTAGATACTTAAAATAAGAGCAATAATATCTAAAACCAAGAAATCAAGTTCTAGATTTAAGAATTATGTGGATATGTTAAAAGAGGTCAGCGGTTTTGAAATCGTACCAAATCGTAACCCAGTCTAACATTAAAGAAAGTGTGGCCAAAAACCAGTTTTTACAATCAAAATATTCTTCTCTTAAGATTCAAGACAAATGTTAGTATTCTCTGTATTCTCTGAGTGTACAGTTGACAGGCAATTGGAGCAAAGCGAAATTTCGAGTGTAGTCTTTTGCAGGAAGCATTCAGAATATAATTCGACACTTACCTCGATGCGCCAAATCTCGAGGCCGGGAGAGCGGCCGGCATTTGCAAAAGCTGGATGCATGACGCGTCTGGCTGGCTGTTTGCTGTTACCACCAATGGAGGGCTGAACTGGACCGGTTTGGGCAGGAAACGCGGGACGACTCTGATATGTGGCGGCCGAACACAAACTTGTCGAGATTGCGATAAACACCAGCAAGCTGCAAACCAAATAATGAGTTTCAATAAATGTGCCTCGTTTGTTTTGCTTGTTTGCTTGCGTTTTCAAGTAGCTTCGCTAACTGGAAGTGCGACAATGAAAATTCAAGCCTTTTACAGTCCACAGACTACAGACTAAACTGAACTGTCTCTGTGCTCGACCTTTATGACATGCGTCATGAGTCATGACCATAAAAGGCCACCAAAAATATAGGAGGCAGCCCAATTTGAGCACGTTTAATTATGATGAGAGCTTTCGCAGCCCGGCAAACGAATAATGCGCAGATATCTGATATATATACTTACAAGTTATACGATGATTAATTGGTTTATTTAATGAGAATGCGGCGTATGAGTAATTTGTGTATTCTACTTGCACACTTAGCGTATTTTTTATTTTATCGACTTCTGTTGGGAGCTGTTGTTAGCTGTGCGAACTGCTCGCTTGCATTACCTGCAGATGACTGCCAGATGACTGGCGGCTCCTCGCCTTGCCATTTTGCGGCGCGACGTCAACGACGGCAGCGGCGGAGAAGTGTCTGGGAGAAGGGGGGCTGACGTGGATTGCGAGTGTTTCTGGAACTGAGCACACAGCGTCGCTTTTGTTTATTGTTGTGATAGACCACTTTTTGTGCGTGTGAACGGCTTGTGAACGGGTGAATTGCTTCTATTATTATTATTATTATGTGTTATTCGCCTTTGTTTTTACTGAGATGATTGCCCGCTGAGAGAGCGCAACTGCCAAAGAGAAAGATAAAACGAACACAGAGAAAGAGAGAATGAATCAACAAGTTAGTAGGACATTAGTGTATAAATCATTTTATATCTATATTGTATGTGGATTATATAATAGTTAGGAGGAGTAGAATATTTTTTCTATATCTTTTTATATATATTTAGGATATTAAATAAAATTACAACTTCTTTCTATCGTCGACTACATAAAATATACTGAGCTCTCTCTCTCTCTCACTTCTAACAATTAAAAAATTAAAAGTACTTCCTTAAATATAAAGAACAATACGCTAATTAGTATAATTTTGATCTGGCAAAGTATAAACTTTGTCGATCTAGAGTAAATTAGAGTGAATCTTTTTAATATGTGTGTATTTACTACGATCAGTCATCGGTTTCCTGTACATGTTTCCTCACTTTCCTCTCTTTGGTCTTGCTTAATTAAATTAAAAACTATATATAAGAAATTTGAAAACATGTCCGACTTAACTGAAGTAAATCAACCACAACTAAACGTGAAACTTTAATTTACTAAAAAAAAAAAAGGTTTGATGATATTGAGATAGGAGCAAGCACCATATAGATTTTATTTTATAACAGTCATTGAAGCTGTAAATTAAAGTGCGTCACGCACGTTGTTTTATTTTTTATAATTGTTATAATTTATTTTTAAATTTTTTAAGTAATTAGTTGTGGAGCATGACGACATGACGCGTCTGATATGATATCACGATTAAAGAAATAACGGCGAAGGCAAGCCCTTTTCTTTATGGGTTTTTTTCCATCGTTTTTTTCTTCTTCAACTAGGTCGAAAACATTATAAACAAAAAAAGCTACATATTTATGATTTATGATAAGCGACAACATTCAGATTGTTAATATGCCATTTTTCGTTCAGTTTCGTTTGTGTGCCATTTTCAAGTTCGACTTGTTATTTAGCTCCAAGTCTCGATGTACACACGCCAAGCAATGTGCTTTGAATTTCAAATACCTTTCAATCGACCGACCATTTAGTACAATAGCCTACGCACAACACTCGACAATACGTCACCTGTATGTACGTAGATCATTCATCTTAATTATTAGCTGCTATGAAGACAGACACACATACATACATGTACATACACAAGAGAGGAATTGAAGAATACTCGTTTAAAAACCCATTAAGAATAGTGCTGAAAAACTTGTTAATGCATAAATAAATATTAACTCAAATATATTTATCTAACGAGATAAAAACTACTTTGTTTTAAATATCTAATTATAAATGTGTTAACATAAGATCAACCATATTAGTAAGCAATATCACTTCCTTTTACTGGACTTCGTTTGTGTGTAAATGAAGTGAGTTTAATTTCTCATTAAATCAATTTATTTTTTTTATTATAAAGAGTAGTATTTTAGTTAGATTTGCATATTTTCTATTAGAAATTCATTCAGAAAAACAGCAAGTAATTTATAAAAATTCTACAAACGAAAGAAACATTTTCACAATGGGATTTTCGAGATTTAAAGAAATGCAAAAAACACGAACACTATTCTTAAAAAAAAAAAAAACACGTGACTTAAATCATTAACATATTCTATTTGGAACTTTCAGATTCATTTCAGTTATTCTTTGTGACAAAGTCAAGGCTAGGCCATATATATATTTTAAAATTGTATACTAGTGACAACACTTTTCGTCGACCTTATGTACAGACAGACCTAATAACATATATACATTATTTATATATATTATTATTTCTACAAAAATTGAACAATCTTAAGTACGTTTGCCTGAAGGTCTTAACCCAAGATAAGCCAAGTTCAAAATAAAGTGATAAGCAGATTCAATTGAATGGACTGGCACACTATCGATAATACTACGTATATTATATACATATGTATATATGCCAACAAATTATACAATTGAGCAATTTAATGTTGTGACAAGATGCAATTGCGAGCTTTATAAAAGGTTATTAGTGGGTTTATTAGGTGTTCAATTGGTATCGTTATTTATAATTGCTTTAAACTAAATTCGTTTCAATTGTAAACAGAGAACACTTTTGGCATATGAATGTGCGTCATTTACAACTGCACTATTTACACACACAAAACACACACATACACAGACAGAGTGAGAAGAGTATGCAAATTATATAAACACTTACGCTTATGTGAATAGCTATGAACTGACCACTTCCAGGCTTTGGGAGTGACTGAGACAAGTTGAATTCCAGGTGGCTGTTGGCTACTGATCGCGACAACGCAGCTTGAGACACTGAACGAAACTCGACGATTGTCGCCGCCTTTATAAAAGACCGCTCAAACTCGACTCAAAATCACGCTCTCACTCTCTCTCTCTCTCTGTCCCTCTCTCTCTCTCTCTCTCGCTCTACTCGACTGAGATGCTCCACACAGATGAATGATAAGAGTCAGTTCGACTGATAAGCAACAAAAAGTACCTTTGCAAACAAAACGGTAAATAGAATGGTAAACAAATGAATAACGCATTTCAGAAAGGAAGTGCAAAAGTCATCGATTTACATTAAGCATGGAATTTCCAGCTTTTATTGTTGTTTATAATGTACAGTGAATGCTGGGAAATTGGCACTTGAAGAAAGTTTAATTTTTAAATTTAAAGGGAATTCTATAATATAGTGTATTTAATAAAACATATTTCATTTAAGATTTGTTGACAACACTTTTATTTATTTTTACTTTTATTAGCTTCTTCTATAAAAAAAATGATTAAATTTACAATTTTATAAATTACAATCAGGAACCTTATGGGTTATGAGTAATATGCCGTTTTATTACATAATTGTTTACACTTACAATTAAAGTTTAAACTTTAAATTATTCATTACATTAAACTAGAATTACCGCTGAAACATTGTCGAGCGATCACTTTATATAAAATGCCCAGCTTTCGTTGAAGCTTTTAAATATTGTCCAAGTACTTGGTCTAAGTTAAGCATACAAGTAAATCTAGTAATCGGCAGCCGTGTTGGACAGATAGTCGCGTCTGCCAATGTTGGATGCCTGTTTGCTCTGCACCGCCTCGAGCTTGGGGCATTCGGTGATGCGATGGCCCAATCCACCACAATAACTGCAGCCATGTGAATCGCCCAGATCCAGATGCTGATGCTCTGCTTCGGGCGCCAGTTCATCAAGGAAATCGGGCACCTCCTGTTTGGCCTCGAGCAGCAGATGCTTGAGATCGAGCAGCACAGATTGCTCCGTGATCTTGTTGATCATTGTGGTGGCCAGTCCCTTGGTGTTGGATCGACCCGTACGACCAATGCGATGCACATAGTTCTCAATATCATCGGGCATATCATAGTTAATCACATGCTGCACATTGGGAAAATCGAGACCCTTGGACGCCACATCTGTGGCCACCAGTACATCCTTTTTGCCCATACGATATGCCTCGACGGCCCGAGAACGTTCCTCCTGATCTTTGCCACCGTGTATGGCCACCGCTTCGACACCCTTAAGCAGTAGATACTCGTGTATGCAGTCCACATCCTGTTTCTTCTCGGCAAAAATGAGCACAGGCGGCGCCGTCTTCTGCAGGCAGTCGAGCAGGTAGACAACCTTTGCCTCTTGCTTCACATACTCCACCTGCTGGATGACGTTCATGGAGGCGGCACCGGCACGTCCCACATTGATCGTAACCGGTTTGACAAGAGCCGAGCGGGCAAAATTCTGAATCTTCTTGGGCATTGTGGCGGAGAAGAGAAGCGTCTGTCGCTGACCCTTGAAGAAGGAGAATATGGTGCGCACATCCTCCTCGAAGCCCATGTCAATCATGCGATCCGCCTCGTCCATGCACAAATATCGACACATATCCAATGTCAAGATCTTCTTATCGAGCATATCCATAAGACGACCGGGAGTGGCCACAACAATGTGCACGCCACGTGAGATGACATCGAGGGCTTCGCTGACGGGCAGTCCACCCATGGCCAGGCAGGAGCGTATCTCGGGCATGCCGCACATCTGCAGATGCTTGCTGTAGTGCTGGATGATGTCGTACGTCTGCTTGGCCAGCTCACGCGAGGGGCAAACGATGAGTCCATATGGTCCCTCGTTGCGCTCGAAGGGCAAACGGAATTCCTGCTCCAGTGCAAACATCACAATGGGCAGCACAAAGACCAACGTCTTGCCAGAGCCGGTGAAGGCAATGCCAATCAGATCTCGACCCGATAGCACCGTCGGCAATCCTTGCACCTGAATCGGCGTTGGCTTTTTAATGCCCTTGGCAGCGAGTCCATTCATTATGGCCTTGTGGAATTTCATCTCACGAAAACTTTGGATGGGCGGACTGGGATTCTCGCCCTCAACCAGAATTCTCAGCTCTTTGCGTATCTCCTGGCGTTCCTCCTCCGACATGGCCAGAATGTGGCGTGGCGGCCGCCACGAAGTCTTAATCGGCTCCTCGTACTGTATGCCCTTGGCCAACTCGGCGACGCCCATCAGCGCCTTTTGCTGTGCTATGCTCTCCATGATCTTCTCCTCCTCGCGCAACTGTTTCTCCACGGCGCTCAGCTTTTTGGCTTCGGCAATTTTCTTCAGTTCCGTGTGCTGGTCGAGCAGACTAATGTTGTATTTGCGGCCCCAGGTCTCGGCATCCTGTGCGCCCTGTGTGTCGTCATCGTTTTCATTCTCACTGGAGGATTTTGGCTGGTTTTGTTCCGTTGCCAACTGAACAATGCGACCCAGTTTCATCATGTGCTGCTTCTTGCGCTCCTTGACCGGCACATAGGGCACATAGCTATCCTCCTTCTCCTCGTCATCGGAGGACTTGGATGCACGTCTGTAGCGCTTAACATTTGTTGCCATTGCTATTGTATTTTGTTAATAATGCTTATTGTGTTTGTTTATGTCTATTTTGCAACCAAACGTTTTCGCCCATTGAGCGTTGCCACTTGATTGAAATCGAACCGATAGCCGGTTACTAATTCCGATATATCGACTGACCGACTATCGCGTTAGTTGTGGTGGCTTTTAAAATCCAATACAATCAGCTGATGATAGCAGAAGCCTACTCAAAATGTTATACAAACACAGTTCGCGTTAGTATCGATACCATCTACTTTGTTTGACAATCGCGTGGTAATGGAAAATGTAATATATCGCTTCATCTCTAACAATATATCGATTCAGTCGTTCAGCCATCACTAGCTCAAACAATATTTCGACTCAGTCATTAAATTGAACTTATTCCGAACCAGTCGACACAACTCTTTTACATTGTGCATTGTGCTGTTTTTCTTCTACTGCCGTAAATAATAAATTTTCTTTGTCGAAGCCATGTCGATGTCAAAGACGACAAACACGTACAATCGCCAGAATTGGGAGGATGCCGAATTTCCGATACTCTGCCAGACGTGCCTGGGCGACAATCCGTATGTGCGTATGATTAAGGAGCGTTTCGGCAAGGAATGCAAAATTTGCACACGACCATTTACAATATTCCGCTGGTGTCCTGGCGCAAGGATGCGTTTCAAAAAGACGGAAGTGTGTCAGACATGCGCTCGCCTCAAGAACGTGTGTCAAACGTGCCTGCTCGACCTGGAGTTCGGTCTGCCCATCCAAGTGCGCGACGCCGCCCTCAAAGTGGCCGACAATATGCCCCAAAGTGATGTTAACAAGGAGTACTACATTCAGAACATTGATGCCCAGCTTGCCGATGGCGATGGCACCGAGGCAGCTGGCGCCGTTGGTCGCTCGCTGGCGGCCAACGAGATGCTATCGAAATTGGCGCGCACAGCACCGTATTACAAACGGAATCGTCCCCACATCTGCTCCTTCTGGGTGAAGGGTGAGTGCAAGCGTGGCGAGGAGTGTCCATATCGCCACGACAAGCCCAACGAGCCCGATGATCCGCTGTGCGAGCAGAACATCAAGGATCGCTACTATGGACGCAACGATCCGGTGGCTGAGAAGATCATGAAGCGGGCTGCCTCGTTGCCGACGTTGGAACCGCCAGAGGATCGCAATATCACCACATTATATGTAGGCAATCTGCCCGAAGAGATCACCGAGCCAGAGATACGGGATCAATTCTATCAATATGGCGAGATACGTTCGATTGCGCTGGTGCCGCGCCAGCAATGCTCCTTTGTGCAGTACACAAAACGCAGCGCTGCCGAATTGGCCGCCGAGCGCACATTCAACAAACTGGTCATCCATGGCCGCAAGGTCAGCATTAAATGGGCGCATTCGCAGGCGAAGCAGGGAACCGCCGCCAAAACGGATCGACGCTTTGATGTGGCTGGGATTCCGCCGCCCAGCGCCAAGCCGAATGATTATTTCAATCTGCGACAGGAGCAAATCAATGTGATGCCAGCTGGCATGAAACTGCATCAGTTGCCAACCAATCTGGTGCCAGCGTCCGCCTATCAAATGTACGCCCAACCGACCTATGCAGCACCATACAGCGGCCTGGGCGCTGCTCCAACGAGCTCGGTCCCAAATGGTGCCACTACCTCTGGTGTGAATCTCGATGTGATTCCACCGCCACCCGGTCAAATGGCGTATCCCAGCCAGGATGCCAGTCGCATGGGTGCGCTAAAAAAATGAAATATTTAGATTAAAGTATGTGATATGTAAATATACAAGCACATATATCTAAAATCGCTAATAAATTGTACAATTTTCTATATATTTATATATGTAAGTGCGGACAAGCAATGGCAAAAGCGATTTATTCTAAACAACAAATCAATTTTAATAAAATCAAATCGAACAGAACAAGAAAGAAAGAATCAATCAGTCCAAATTATATAAATATAGAAATGGATCGATGATTCCTATATGTTATAGCGATTCGACCCAACTGACTTCGAGTTGTGTAAGTATTAGATGCACTGAACAAACTGATATATATAATAGCTGATAAAAAAAAGTACAAATACTAAATCGGATCAATGCATTAAGCATTTTGTGACAAACTCAACATATCCTCTTTTAAGGTAATATATATTTACAAATATCTGAGATACACACTCACATTTACATTTATATTAAGCATTGGAAATTACACTTTATGCCTAAAAATAATTTGCCTAATCACAGACATAACATACTGGAATTTGAATACAAAATCATTATATACTATCCGGCGTGATAACGGTGCGTTTGCGCTGAATTACGCGCTGAACTCGATGAGCCTTTTGCCGCTCAATAAAATGTGCTCGCAGCGCTGCAAAATCAATACCGCTCTTGTACTGCAGAGAATTGCGCTCATCTCTAAAAAATAAAAAAGGAAAATCAATCAGAAGTCTTTAAGTTTGCAGAGTTGCAGTTGTCTTACGTGGGTAACTGGCCCCAATAGTTGGGCACACATTGCAGGCGATTTCGCAGCGTATTAAATGCCTCCGTTTGCGGCAACAACATGAGAATTCCAAATAAGGCATGAGCCAAATACTGTGCATCAGCGCAATTATTTGATTTTGACACTAGGGTCAGACGCAGTGCAGCAAATATGGGCGATTCAATGAGCTGCACCAGCTTATCCAATTCGCCAAGTAATTCAAGCGTGATTTCCACATCAGCGCTAGAGGCGAATGAGAAGATTCATTACTATTTATTAAGTAAAAGATAAAACTGCAGCAACTGCAAACTTACAATAGGATGACCAATTCGGAGACATGCTGATAGCACTGGGTTAGCAGGCAGAGCGTTAGTGTGGACACCGGACAGTGCACCCAACTCTTGTAGAGGCATTGGAATAGATCAGCGGACTTCTCATTGGATATATCACGCAAGCTGGTGCGCAGCTCAACAAGCTCCGTCGAGGTAACCAGTATAATATTTAGGAGGCGAACAAGAGTCGAGGCGAATTTCAGATTGGGCACCTCCTCTGCAATGATCTCGGCAAAGGTGCGATAGATGTACTCAGCATTGAGCAGAACACAAAGTTTTCTAACGAACAAGAAAATTTTAATTTAGTAATTAAATATGATTTCAAATAAATGCTATGAGAACATTACCTTATAATGAGACTAGCTCTATTCTCTAAAATAAGCTTTTCCTCGCTGAACAGATTCAGCAAGCTCAACAAAAATTTGCGATAATGCGTCTTGTTAAAGTCATCGAGATCTGCAGGATTCAAAGAAATTATAAAATAGATGAAAGCAGAAAAAATATTTAGAAATTATAGTTGTTATTAGATGACTTCAATCTAATATTATGTTTCATAACTTTTCTGATAGAGGAACTACTTTGAGTACTTTCTTATAATCGATTTTCAAGTATTTAAATCTTACATTTACTTTTGTATATAAAAATGAAACTTCTAAAATTGATAATTATTAGCAATTTAATTCCTACCTTTTTTATCTTGCGAACTTAAAATCTCTGCGAGTACACATAGACTTTTTAGGACCACCTCATCGGAATTATCGGCGAGTGTTGATAGCAGATTGTTGTTCAGACTGCTGGCGTGGACAGACATCTCGTTGGGGAAATTGATGAATAGATGATGGATCCATTTGAGCACGGCAATCTTTGTGTGCATCGAGTTGTGCGTGAGATACTGGGACAGCACCTCCATTATGGAACGCAAATCAATTTTGGACATATTTTGTGATTTGAGTTCCTTGGATGAGACAAGCTGCATCATCGAGTTATTTACGAACACAGCGCACTCCTTAATGCCTGGTTGATTTGGAAATGAAGTTAAGCCATTAATACTATATAATGAAGCACTCACTGCGCTTGGACTCCACGTTGTACTCGAGGCATGGTAGAATGGCTGTAAAAATGCCACTCGCATGTGGCAGGACATCGGGGCCAAAGATTTGAACAAACTCCCGTATCCAGGAGATAGCAATCGATTTGATCAGTTCGTTTAGTGACTGGGCGTGTGTGATCAATATGTTGATAGTTTCCTCCATTCGCACCGACGACGAATCGTTGCGTATGGACTTTAGAAACTGACTGATTGTATTCTCGCACATGCGCTGTATCTCCACCGTTTTATCCTCGAGCATCACAAAAAGGCCGTCCAGAATTTCGGTCAGATAGTTGACCATATTGATGTCCGGCACCGCATTCAGTATGGATATCCACGAGATGACATATTGTCGAGCAAATGGGTCCTTAACGTACATTCGCTCGCGTAGCAATGGTATAAATGCCTCCAGATTGAATGTCTCACAAGATTCAGTGACAATGTCCTGCAAAATACAAATATAAATTGTTTATACAGTTATAGAACAGGGATAGAAAGGGGACGGGTGCAAACCTTTAGCAGACGATCCAGTAGCTCGCTGCCATCTTTCACCATTTGATCGGAGTCGGTAACCAGGCGCGAGAGAGCGGCAAACAATTCGGGAAAGTATGGTATGATCGCCGATCTCGCCACCTTGACCACATTGTACAAAGATTCGCAGGCGAAGTAACGGACGTTAAAAGCCTGATCTGACAGGCAGTTCATAATGGGCGTTATCAGCTCATTCACATATTTATCCGAGTCCTAAGCAAAAATATAAAATCAGAAAACTCCCACAATTATCAGTTTACGTGTTTCTATGACTAATGGAATTTCGTTTTTTTTTTTTTTTGTTTACCTTGCCCAACCCTAATCCCGTTGCAGCGAGGCCGATGAGCGCACCCTTTCGGCGATTTGGATCACGGGATGTGGCATAGTCAGTGGAGAGTACCTCGATTAGCTTTCGGATTTGCACAGTATTGTTTTTATTATTAAACTCAATGACCATTCTGCAAGAAAATGTATAAAACAAAATTACCAGCAACTTTCAGAGGAGCCAAGCATGGGCGTATTCACTTTTCAATCTCCTGGGAGGCGATTTTTCGCTTGTCGTAGGCTTTATCGCCCAGCGCCTTGGCACAGGATTCACTTAAGGGCGCATAAGACGGCTCCATTGCAAAATTTTGATTTAAAATTAGTATTTAGATTGTTCGCTTGAACCGCGGTGTTGCCACTATGTCAGCTACAGCTGATTGGCCAGTGCTGCCACCTATTTATTATTATTTATGCACAAGCCAAGAACTATCGGAAACTTTATACCCTGTAAAAAATGTGGAATAATAAATATCAAACGATTTACCATTATTGTAAAATAGACCTAAAAGCAACAAGTCTAAAATTGTTGGAGTTCTTTTTATGATAGATGCATAAATATGTACATACACCCAGCATAAAACAAAATGGGAGTTATTTACAAGACTTTGTGCAATCTAAAGTTATAGCTATACCAATTATACATTTTTAGAAGCATATTCTCAGAAAAATGTTATTTCTATTTCTGATTTAAATTAAATTTTTATTAACTGGGGACGAATCAATTGTCATCGTAATCGAATGCTTGTGTACATAATGTTAATATTAATCTCTCTATATTCACACCACATCTTATGTATGATAATGTGATAAATGTAAAGACATAATTGAAACGAAATTTAAATTCATACTCGAAATTTTGTTTTAAATCTAAGCTTAAGCTTAACCTAATACTCAGGTCTTAACGATTAAACAAAAAAAAAATAGAGAAAAGGAAAACAAATGAAATAAACGCCAGCGTTTGGACGCGGGGCTATTCAACTATCAGTGGAAACTTCTCCACCTCTGCACACTCCTGGTTAAAGCTGGTGATGAACTGCTTCAGCTTAGCCTCATGCACCACATCCTTCCGTGGTCGTTTCTGTGGAGGCATCGCCTTCGCCGGTGAATCCGAACTCTTCTCCTTAGAGTCCTGCTCGTTGTCCTCGCTATCTGATTCGCCGCTCTCGATGAACAGGACGTGAACGCGTGGTTTTCGCTTTCGCTTCACCCGTTCCCGAACATAGGTGCGTCGTGGTTTCTGGAAGAGAATTAAATGAGGGTTTGTTTGGGTAGATCGGACAGAGATAATTGTGATTTGTGACTTGTGCGAGCTGCTTACTACCGTACAAAGATGAGCTTGAATCTTTACGGCCCTGTTGGCTCAATCGAAAGCAATAACTTTTTCGATTTACACTTAATCTGGCGCAATGGTTAAACTATGACGTGTCAACTGGGTAAAAGAACGTCATTGTGTGTCCAGCGCAAAATGGAAAGGAGTCATCTGGAACTTCACTTGGAACTCACCTTTTCGTCAAATGTTGTGTCTGGTTCGTCTATGTCTTTGAATAACGACACTGACTCATCTATACTGGGACGACAAGGCGCCGGCGTACCAATCATGGTGGAGCAGAACATCTCTTTAATGTTGCGCTGCCTGGGCTGATGTGCCTCCAGATCATCGTAGTCGTAGTGCATGGGTGTCTTGGAGACTTGTGGCAATTCTTTGTCGGCTGGTCGCAGACGATTTAGCCGCTGCAGCTTCTCGTACAGCGTGACATCTTGATTCTGACCATGGCTGCTGGTAGGTTGCTCATCATCATCATCAAGGAAGTCCTCGAAACCAAAGAGATTGGAATTTTTTTGTCGTTGCAGCAGCGCCGGTCGCGAGCTCAAATTTCCTGGACTGATATTCTCGATGGAGTGCTCGAAATGAACTTGATTTCTGACCATCGATTCTCTTGTCGGAGTCTTGGGATCTGGCACATTTTTCTTCCATGAAGGCAGCATAACCACTTCCAGTATATTGATGTCCTTTAAGGGACTGCGATGTTGAAGCGTACGTCGAGGATTCGGCAATTGCACAAAGTTCTCCAAATTTTCATTCTCTTGGCCCTCGCTTGGTACCATTGATGTCATAGGAAGTTCAACGATTGTCTCCTTTGCTGGCGGCACATTTTCACCATTGGAATCATTGGAAGCTAAATTGACACTTTGTTCGTTCGCGTCCGGTAAAATAGTCTCCTCCTCAATCGGCTCGGGTTCGGGCTCAGGCTCTAGCGCATCTGGCACATAGACCAGAGGGCGGCTCCTTATAAAGTCACTGGAATACGATGGCAGCTGGGATGTGTTCAAACCAAATACAAATGTATTGGGCATGCGCAACTCGTCGGGTACACGCCATGGCGAAGAAGAGCCAGCTGCTGCTGCTGTTCGTCGATCGTTGTTCGACTTATCTAGATCGATTGGTGAAAATGTTGATGTTGAGTGCGTAATACTTTTTCGATTCATTGGCGTGCTGATGAACTTCTTGGCTATGTCCAGCAGATCCCGACGTCTGTCGAGGGACTCGTGTGTGTTTTGCTTGTTCTTTGTTTGATTTAGTAGCATTGAGCGCGCCAAAGGGCTGTAAGCGCCCTCGGGCAGAGCTTGCTTTGGTGGTTGGGCAGCATGCACTTGTGCTGGCATCTCAAGATGTACGAGATCGTTGGGCTCATTCTCATCGTCGTCACTGGAATCAATTTGTAGCTCGTAGATGGGCGACATGGGCTGCTCGATGGGCGGCACAACTGCTTTGACATTCTTAACGTTTTCCTGTTGTTTTTCCCCTATGCTCCGCATCAAACATTGCCTTCTTCGGCCCACGGGGCGCACTTTTTTTCTGACGGGACGCGCACGCATCTTGCCCTTGCAACGCTTCATTACACAGGCTTTGCCATCCTTAACCATTTGTTTGATGATATCGGCAGCGGGATCCTTGACCTCGTTGTCTTCGATTTGGGACTGCGACAGAAACTCATACACATTACGTGTGACCGAGGAACGAGTTCGAGACGGCGGCTGATCTCGGTGAAAAAAGCGTGGTGCACGTGGCTTTGATGCTACAACAGTCGTAACGTTCACCGGAACACCACCTCGAACTAAAAATCAAATACATGTTTATAAATGAACTTATTTTATATAAAATTATCATACCTTTGGCCTGTTTGGTGGGCACGGTGCACATTGTGGAATTGCGAGTGGGCTCCAATGCGCTTGCATCACCAAAATTGTCGGTGGCAATGCTTACCGCAGAAGCACTTGCAGCAGCTCTCAAGGTTTGGCGATTTGTAGTTGTTCTGTTTACAGAATGATTTTGTTGATTTTCCACATTTGCAGCAACAACATTTTCTTGTTGTTTAATGCGTTTAAGGCGCACAACGAATTTTCTATTGCGAAATGTTTGCAATTCCTTGTCGGCAACATTACTGCTTGTGGCTGGGTTTGGAGCACCTCTCAATGCTAGCCTGCTTGAGCGTGTATTCTTTACAGAATGATTTTGTATATTTTGCACCTTTGGCGCAACAATATTATTTTGTTGCTTTCTATTGAACTTTCTATTGCGAAATGTTTGGGATTCTTTTTCGCTAACATTGTTGCTTGCGGTTGGGTTTGAATCACTTTTTAATGATTGCCTGTTTGCAACATGATTATGTTGATTGTGCACCTTTGGCGCAACAATAGTTTCTTGTTGTTTGATGCGTTTAATGCGCACAACAAACTTTCTGATGCGATATCTCGATTGCGAATTGAGCGGAATTTTTGTTTTCGTTGTTGTTTCTGCCTCTGCATTTGCGCAGTTGACGTCGTCGTTTCGTTTGTTCGCAATGCGTAAAGCATTGCGTTTGGGAATTGTTGAAATTTGTGACACTTCACGTGCTTTTGCTCTAGTTGTTTTCAACATTTTGCTTATTAATTCACATTGAGACGTTTGATTTATTTACACGAATAAACAAATATACAAGCAATACGCAGCAGAAATATCTCTCCCGCCATTTTAGTTGTGCTGAACTGTAGGGTTGCAGCTGATTATTAATCGGCGCATTATCGATAAGTCGTGGTACATTTTGCAAGCAGCAGCTGATAGGTGATGTGACGATAAATAAAAAAAATTCGACGTTTAATTAATATGTAACATAACAGCTACGCTACGACGTTTAATTAAAATTAAAAATTTCCAAATTGTGCAGTGTTCGTGCGTGCAAATCAATCGACAGTGCTCTCTGCCACCGTCCAGCAAGGGCAAGTGCACCCATATTTTGTTTTGCTTCCTCAAAAACCAAAAAAAAAAAAAAAAATAGCCCCAACAACGAGTGAAAGTTTTTCTCGCCTTTGTTTTGTAATTGTAATTGTTTTTTTTCCTTGCGACCACATTTCAATCCATTTTTTGAGTCTACATTCCCACGGTATGAGCGCCACTCGTGGCTGACAACAATTTTCGCTCAACTTATTTTCTCGCGTTATATACATATATATATACATATATATAAATCGAGTCGTCCCCCTGAATTGGCCTTGTGTTATTTGCGCCAGGTACCATCAATAAGGCAGAAGAAGAGACAGCATGAAAAAAGAAAGAAAAAAAACTAGCGCGAAACTATTTACATCGCAACCCCAACCCTCATGTCCATCACCCCCCTCACCCACACTTGTGCTACAAACAATTGCAACCAGGCAGCGCAGCGCCCGAAGGCTGCCTGTGACGACAGTGGAAAAGAAGAAAGCACAGTTATCTTCGGTTCGGGCCGAAGATGAAATACCCTCGCTGTCATTTAGCACGCAACACGCTATACACCTATTTCCAATCGAAGCAAATTAACGGTTTTTTTTTATTAAATCATTTTTTTCATACAATAACTTATTTTTCGACCAGTTTTTATCCTTTCAATATTATAATTTTTGCAGTTACACATTTAGAGTTGAAATTGAAAGACGCTTTTGCGTAGGGTATGCATATTAAAGCGCATTTTAGCGAAAATGTTAATATACTCACATAACGCAAGTCTCTCCACATGCCGTTTGGGGTCAAGGCCACAATTTAAGCTCAATTAAATCGCATTGCAAATGCTTTTGATAACTTACTGATATTCAAATCTAATTTATATGTTTGTGTTTTCGTCTTTTTTGTATTTACTGACATTCAAAAAATATCATAAATAAATACAGTTCAAGTCGAACGTTCTGTGGCAAAAGGCAGAAACAGGAGCAACGGAAGGGAAAGGAAAGGAAAGCTGAGCCAAGTCGAAAGCAGTCCGAGTGTAGTCCGAACTAGAGCCACTTTGTTGTCGCGCAAAAGATGTGCGATACCAGCAACAAGCCGCAGAAATGGAAATGTGAAATATGCACCTATGAAAACTATCCATCCTCCCTAAAATGCACAATGTGCCAGGCGTCCAAGCCGCTGCTGAACGAGGATATATTTCGGTAAGCGAACAAACAAATTGATCTCTCACATAGCTTACCACATTCATCTCTATATCCATTTGCAGTCTCAGTCCAGCGCAGACCACACACGAAAACTATATTGCGGAGGGAGCGGCAGCTGGTCTGCCCGTCTGCGAGCCAACATCAACGTGTTTTGCACGCCAGCAGCAGCAGCACCAACCACAACCACAGCAGCAGCATCCGCAGCAGCAACAGGCCAGGCAAAGCAATGTAGCTGACAGCGAGAAATGGCCATGTAAGGTGTGCACCTATCTCAATTGGCCACGCAGCCTGCGCTGCGTTCAGTGCTGCACGAAACGTGGCGGTGCGGCATCAGAGTCGTCTGCCACAGCTGCGGACAGAGATTCCACCGATTGTGTGGATCGGGCTGGTGACGCACTTCAAGCGTTGCGCATCAGTGGTTCCGACACGGAGCTAAATGCACGTGGTGGCTCCATCATTGATGCGGCGGCGGAGAACATTAGCAGCGGCAGGCAACTGATAGGCGCAGCTGCCTCAAATTCGAATAGACGTAACCTCAGTCCGAGCATGGATCAGCAGATCTGCAGTAATTCCACGCATCTCAATAACTTGGCCAACACATCCCATAGCCAACAACCGCAACAGCTGCAGCTGCAGCAACAACAACAGCAGCAGCACACCAACCAGCAGCAGCAGCTGCAGCATCAACAGCAACAACAAAACTCGCAGCAAAAACACTGTTATGTGGCCAAATGGGCTTGCAATGTGAGTGTACCTATTCTTTGCAGGGAATATTCTAATTTATAGGGTATTAAAGAAGAGAACTTCGAGTCACTTAATGTAATGAGTCACTTAAAAACACCTGCAGACAGCTAAATACCTATTTCAATTGTAAAAAGAGTTCACAAAACAATCCATAAGCTATATAGTATTTAAAATAACAAAGTCCATGCAGCCGTGTCTGTATATTTGAAGAACTAATCTCTTCATTGAGTCACTCACTATACTATGTATACTATATATGACTGGTCGAATATTGATTTGAAGTAGAGCAAAAATCGGATAGCCTTCAATGGGTCAATGGCAGAAAGTAACTAGCCTAATATATATTTTATGGATTGAGAATTAACTCGCATTTTGTTTTTAGGATATCGTAGTTAAACTTACTAATTAAAAGACTAATTTTACTAATGGCAAATTGAAAAACTCTTATCAACCGATCGTGTTGTTGCTGAAATTAGAAATATTTCGTATATTTATACTTTTAGTTTTATTTGTAGAACTAATGTGTTTATTTGCTTTTCTTATCTTCACAGTCGTGCACTTACGAGAACTGGCCCAAGAGCCTCAAGTGCTCCATGTGTGGCAAGACGCGCGAAATTAGCGGTTCAGGATCGCAGGGCGATTTGCATGCCTGTGCCAGTATCTCAGGCAGCAACAAACAGTTGAACGTGCAGGAGGAGCAGCAACAGCAGCTGCAGAACACTGACACTGTCAGTGTCAACAACTCGTTCAACAAGAAGCATATTTACCAACTAGGTAGCTGAAAGCCAAGTTAACATTTTGGTATTAATATTAATAATTATACTTATTGCAAACAGGTTCTTCGGAAACCATCAACAACTGTGATACGCTGCAGGAGCGCCAGGAGCGTCGTCAGCGTCAGATCAGGCGTCAGGTCGACTGGCAATGGCTGAACGCCTGCCTGGGCGTAGTCGAGAACAATTACAGTGCCGTCGAAGCGTATTTGTCGTGCGGCGGCAATCCGGCACGTTCGTTGACCAGCAATGAAATTGCAGCGCTGAATCGTAACTCGGCCTTTGATGTTGGGCATACGCTGATCCATTTGGCTATACGTTTTCATCGCGAGGAAATGTTGCCCATGCTCTTGGCACAGATCTCTGGCTCTGGGCCGGGTATTAAGCGTGTGCCGTCTTATGTGGCGCCCGATCTAGCAGCGGATATCCGTCGTCATTTTTCCAATACGCTACGCATCCGAAAATCCGGCCTGCCCTGTCACTATGTGCAGAAACATGCTACCTTTGCGCTGCCCTCGGAAATCGAGGAGCTGCCCATACCCATACAGGAACAGCTGTACGATGAGCTGCTCGATCGCGATGCACAGAAACAGCTTGAGATGCCGCCACCGGCTCTGAACTGGTCGCTGGAAATAACCGCACGTCTCAGCTCGCGTCTGTTGGTGCTGTGGAATCGCAGTGCCGGGGATTGCCTGCTCGACTCGGCCATGCAGGCCACCTGGGGTGTTTTCGATCGCGACAACATACTAAGGCGCGCTTTAGCTGACACCCTGCACCAGTGCGGTCATGTGTAAGTGGAATCATTATTTTTATAATCTGCATCGATTTGTCATTTCTCAATCGTGGTTATTGTCGTTAGTTTCTTTACGCGCTGGAAGGAGTATGAAATGCTGCAGGCGTCAATGCTACACTTTACACTAGAGGAATCACAGTGGGAGGAGGACTGGAGCACGCTGCTATCGTTGGCTAGTCAGCCGGGCTCTTCGCTAGAGCAACTGCATATCTTTGCCCTAGCCCACATCCTACGACGGCCAATCATTGTCTATGGCGTCAAATACGTTAAGAGCTTTCGTGGCGAAGACATTGGCTATGCCCGTTTTGAAGGTGGGTTTCTGATCTTCTGATCTTTGCCGATTCAGATTTAATATTCTAAAATTGTGTACGTTTTATAGGCGTCTATTTACCATTATTCTGGGAACAAAACTTTTGTACAAAATCACCCATTGCGCTGGGTTACACTCGGGGACACTTCAGCGCTCTGGTGCCTATGGAACCATTCTCTCGCATCGATGGGCGTCGCGACGATGCCGAGGATGTTACCTATCTGCCGCTAATGGACTGCGAGCTTAAACTCCTACCCATACACTTTTTATCGCAGTCGGAGGTCAGTTCGAACAACAATTCCCAATTCAAAATCGAACTAACTAAGTATTTTACCTCACTTCCAGGTTGGCAATGAGGAGACCATGATGCGTCAATGGTTGGACGTGTGTGTCACCGAAGGTGGGCTGCTGGTTGCGCAGCAAAAGTTATCCAAACGTCCGTTGCTTGTTGCACAAATGCTAGAAGAGTGGCTGAATCATTACAGACGTATTGCGTAAGTGCTGTAGCTCAATTGATTGATATATAAAACCCACTTATGCAATTCATATATTTATTTCATTTGATTATTATTGATTTACCATTTCAGACAAGTGATAACAGCGCCGTTTGTGCGTCGACCGCAAATTACTCATTATTCGAGCGATGGCGACTCGGATGAGGAGTAGTGGGGAATACAATAGAGCAGGTCAAAGGTCTTCTCAATGGAATTTCGCTTTGGTTAATGAATTGGAAATGGATTGATTGGTTAAAACATATTTATATATATATAAATATTTTAATATGGTAGCAGGCAACAGTTGAAAACGGTTGATTTGACTGCAATACCAGCTCCTATGCACATGCGGTTAGCTAATTGGAAAATATTGAGAAAAACAAAAATCAATATATATATATATATATAAAGAGATATTTATGTATGTACGCATAGTATACACATAACAAATAATAAGTTGTAGTTGCAGGCAGAACTAAAGGTTATGCAGCAGAATACTAAAATACATAAATTGATAATACTTATAAATACATACATACATGCATACATATTTCATATCCGTTTCCACATTAACGCTAGTGGATTTTAGTCAAATTTATTCGCATGCCGTTTGGGGCAGGCAACGAGGCATTGTCAACATTATGGAAATCATAATTCAATATAATACAGTAGTAGATTAAATTACTTAAAAAAAAAAAAGAAAACAAAAACTACAAAAAAAAAAAAACAAGAATCTTTTAAGTAAATTCATTGCCGTAGTGCGAATGGAAATTGAAGAAACAAAATACAACAAACAAAAACAGAGTAAACAAAAAAAAAAACACAGTAAATTATATATGTATATGATTCTTATAATTAACTAAGTATGTATGTACTTTTAAACTATGCAAAATCTCGATGTACTATTAAATTTTAAACTTGTGAAATGCACCAATGTGGGTGGAATATGAATTATGAATTTTATTCTAATTGTAATAGTTTTGTTAGTAATGTTATTATTATTATTATTATATTATTATTCTAATGTCTAAGGAACGCTTATTGTGCAAATGTACACGCAAAACGCATTAAAAACAAAATAAAACATGAGAAAATAAGTTTTTATTCAGAATGCCCGCCGTTCATATCGATAGATACGTCACTGTAATCGATAGTTTGGTTAGCACATCGCTATTTGTATCTGAGATATTCTCTCAGTGCGGCTCATTTTTAAAGATAGTCGTTTTGTTGCTGCCATCGTCGTCGTTTGTCGGTGCTGTTTGTTGGTGCGCGGGGTTTTTTATTTTGTGCTAGCTTTAAATTGGAATACAAATTTGTTAAGCAGCCGTTGCAAGAATTTCAAAAATACCCACAAAGATTTCACTCTAATCTGTCGCTAATTTTTCGACCACAATTTACCATTTGTGAATGCAGAAAAGCCGAATACGCATCGAGTTCGCGTCAAACACATACATACATAAAAAACACACAATATTTAAATTCTGCCACCTACAATTGATATACCCAAAATACACGTGAATTGCGAATGCATACAAGAAAGATACAAATAGAAAAAAATCTAAGCAGAAGAAAAAAAATTGTTAGTGAAGAAGTGTGTGTGTGTTAGTAAAGTAAAGTGAAGTGAGGTGAAGTGAAGGGGAAGGCAGAATAAGTAGTGGTGACCTGTGCGCCTGTAGTTGTTGTCTTTTCCATCCGTGTGTGTTACCCTCCCCCATTTTGCAGGCGCTTGTGTGAAGAGCATAGCAGTATCTCACGCTATGGGTAAGTCTGATTGTAGTTGTGTTGTACACTATGCCGACACTGTGTGCGTGTGCTTGTGTGTGTATGTTTGTGTGCGGTGAGCGCACGAAATTGCGCAAAGGCAAAAGGCCACGACGAGCGCCAAGTGAAAGAGGGTGGCCCAGCGCTCTCTCTTTTTCTCTCTCTTGCGCTCTCTCTGGTTGGCTCTCTTTTTTACTATCTCTGCCCGTCACTCCTGTATGCGTGTTGTGTGTGCTCTCAGATTTTGCTGTGTTCGTTTGAGTGTGTATGTATATATATGTGTGTGTGTGTATATATATATATATAGTATTAGTTTTGATGGTATTATCGCATTAGTAGCGAATTATGGCACCGCCATAAGCAAAAAACCAGTGCCTGCATTTGTTGTTGCCGTAAGTGTAGTTGTCAGTGTGTCCCTATCTGCATATATATGCATTCGCTAATCAATATTGACCAGCTGCTTGTCATCTGAGAGGGCAACTCTGTCACACACACAAACACCCATGCACACACACACTCGAACACGCACACATATGATTGGCGGTCGTCGTCGTCCACTCCCCATTTTGGTTCTCAGCTGCGATGACGTCAGTGTTGTTGTAAGAACAAGTTTTTTTTTACCTTTCGACGACAGCGCCCCAAAAAAATTGAGCCAGTATCGGAAAGAAAGAATCGACGAATCGGAGATTAGCTGACCGCCTTTAAACGCCAAGCTCAAAAATGCATGAGCAGCTCTGCAATTACACACGTTACCGTTAGGGCGTCGGCATTCATTAGACCTGTAAATTTACCGTTCGCTGTTGCGCTGGGAACCAAATGCATCATCAGCAGCAGCAGCTGAGCATTCCTATAAGTAATTCTAGCCGCTTGCCCTTACAGTGACTCCTCGCTCATTGAAAATATGGGAACCGTTAATCGAATTGCGACTGGAATACAACAATTTAGGTATTCGCCTGTAGAAGAATATTGCAAATAGATTATGTAAAAAAAGAGATGGAGAAAAGAAGTGCAATTTTAATAAAAATAATAAATGTTAAATAAAAATATATTAATACATTTTCTTTGGGTTTTACGAGTGCTTGCACCTCTTTAATGAAATTGCACATCTAAATAATAAAATGAATAATAAATAATAAAATGAATCAAAATTGATATTAAAATAAAATAAAAAATAAGTAATTAAGAACATTCATAATATGTTGATTTATCAACAATCATTATTTGTTTGGCACCAGAGAGCATTTTTTATATCGAGTTAACACTTTAGTTGCATTGCCCTTTCTACTTGCTGCTGCCGCTTCAGCTGCTGTTGCTGTTGCTGCTGCTGCTTCTTGGCTTCTTGGTTTCTTCAGCAATTGTCAATGATTAATTACACTTGGCTCTTCGTCCGGTTGTTCTCTGCGGCCGTAATTAAGTTCATGCATGTGTGCTCCTCACTCTTCCATTGAGCACAGCAAAACACTTGTAGTTGTGTGTGCGTGCTCAAAATGCCTAATTGACTGGGGGCACCCTCTTCAACATATTCCCATTCCCATCCCCTCTGCGCAGCCCACCGCACCTTAAATGGAGACAAGTCCATAATAATAATAATGTGCAGTGCTGCTCATTGTTCGTTCAACGATCTCTACGCAAAAGGCTTAACAATAGCCATAGCAACAACAACAACAAAAACAGCGACAACCACAACAGCAACATAAACAACAAATACATCTGCTGAACAACATGAATTCATGACGAGCGCATTGACTTCCAATTGGGCCTCGTTTTTGGTTGTGGTTTTTAGTTTTTAGTTTTCGGTTTTTATTTTTATTTATTTTTTTTTTGGTTTTTAGTTTTCGTTTTTACTAGTTGTGGTTTTTTTACTTTGTTTCCTTTTTCGTTTGCATTGCACACACAAATGAAAACGAAAGGGGCTGCCCCCACCGCCCCACACACACACACACACCCACTTTGGGGGCACTTTTCTCATTTATTTGGTCGTCGTCGTTGATTTGTTCACGTCGCATTTTGCTCGCTCGCTCGTCACTTGTCGTGCATTCGCCTGCATTTCATTTCCTCCCTGCCCAACCCCTGGGAGACGGGGGATACGGGAGATACTGGTACGGGTATGGGTATGAGTACGAGTACGGGTTATATAGGTCAGAGCACTTGCCTCCTAGTCGAAAGAAAGAAAGCGGCTCCGGCTCCGGCTCTGGGACTGGCACTGGGACTGGGACTGGGAGAAGAGAGGAGACATCTCGACGTCCGTTCGACTAATTGAATATGCTATTTTTGTAGACAGCCGCGTCATCAGCGTCATCCACTCGTATTCACGTATTTCGCTGCGCTTTTCTTTTCACTTTTCGTCTAATAAGCATACAGGAAACACTTTCAACTTTGGACGCAACGCATAACAAAATGCCAGTTGTGAAGAGTTCATGACTAAAAAGTACCCTGAACCCCAACATACCAAAATGATTGATGTTTACGTGGAACACAAATCATAAAAAATTAGATGAGCAAAAGTCACAAAAAGTGAAACGTCTTTTTAAGCTAATCAGCTTATTAGCTCTTTTGTCGAATGTTAATGACTACAGGGTACTCTGAACCCAAAACACTTTCGTATTTGTCTATAAATAGAAAATTTCAAATTCAAGCAAATAAATAAATTGCACAAATTTTGTATGTGTTTGTTTGTAAAATGTATTTTTACGTATATATTTTCTGTGCTTGAATAATTCTATATTGTGTAGATAACAATTTAAATTCCTTGAGCTAGATGAAGCTTATATACACATTTGTAAAATTGCTTAGATAATAACGAAACACTTCTATCAGTTTGTAAATCTTTTACAAAAATATATTCACTTCGTAATTCGATTCTATTCTAATTCTATTTGTAGATGTTTATTTTTTTTTGCAGTATTCAGAAAATGATTATCAATTAAAGTTTTATGTTTGCTTTATTCAAGCTTATGATAGTTTCAGCATACCTCAAAGTACGCAAGTTGATTACAGGGTACATCGTTAACCCTAAAAAAATACATTACGTATACGCCAGGTTGAGCATATATAGCATAAAAACACTTGCAAAGCAATTTCAATTTGATGAGTAATTTCGGGAAATATAGATATGCATATGTATTCGTATGTGGCATATATGTATATACATATGTATGTATTTGATTATGTTAGCGCTCTTAGCCACACCATAAATATAAATACGAACAGACATAAGCAGAGCCAGTTGAAGTGTGTGTGTGGGTTTTGAGTGAGAGATGAATGTTTTCATCATTTTGTTTGTTTGTCTGCAACATCTTCAGACCATGCAAACACATCATATATGTACATGGAAATATTATTTGGATGCTGTCTCTACTGCCTTGACCTGCATTATCCTCGACATTATCCTGCCGCAGTCGCAGACTGTCAAGGATTTGACGCACATTCAACTGTCAGGGGAAGCAACAAAAATGGTTTCCCTCTGTTGTGGTTGACATTGGCCTCTTCAGTGTCAGCGAATAGTTTTCCTTTTTCTGTTTTTCACACACACACACATTTTCCGATTCGATTTTCCGATTGGCTTTGTCTTTTGGAGGTTAGGAATGTTGACATTTTGTGGGGCGCGGTTGAAATTAATTAAATATTTGGCCTGCAGTTGACCTCTCGCCAGAGACAAAGAGAGAGAGAGAGAGAAGAACTACTCAGAATATTTAACCTTGGACTTGCCCCCCCTTTTCCCGCTCCATGGAACGAGTTTTTGTATTGCTTTTATTTGTGTGTTTGCTCAAATGCAAATCCAAATTCGAATACGTATTTTGAATGTTATTCTTTTGCGTACAAAACCAGTTTGTGAGGTTTTTTTTTTTTGTTTTGTTTTATTTCGTGTTTGCCTCAACTCCAATTTACTTGAAGTCGCAGACTACTCGGTTTTTAGTGGTTGCTCTTCGACTCTCTGCCGACGACGATGACGACGAGGATGACATCATCCGGCGTGGCGACACTAAAATCGCTGCCGTAATTATAATAAAAATGTGTGCTCAAACTTTTTTTCTTCTTCTCTTATTATTGTACATATATAATTGCCAACTGGAACCGGGTCTGGGTCTGCGTCTGTGTCTGGAGTCGAGGCCCCATCTGTGATGATCTTTCGCATGGAAATGCAAACTGTTTAGAGTTGCAGCCCTGTAATTAGCACAAAAACGCTAATACATACGGGAGGGGTGCAAACCGAGGGGAGGGACACAAGTCAATAATAAACAAAATGCTAAATTCAATAAGCGAAACGTTGAAAAATGTGTGTGATTGCATAATAAACAACGGGGCAGCATGAATAAAAAAAAGATTAATTGAAACGAAACACACACGTATACGTAATACACACACGCACACACACATGTGTGTGCGTGTGTGGTGTGTGTGTGTGTGTGTGTGTGTGTGTGTGTGTGTGATAACTTCGAGTCTCATTCATTGGACATACGTCATCATTCTAATGCGAGTGTAGTTAACGGTTTTGTTGCTGTTTCTCTTCTCTTGCTTATCAATAAATTCTATTTTGGAGGCAAAAGGAAAAAATACAAAAATCCGAAACAGCTGCACAAAAGCAAACAAAAAGAAAAAAAAGCATTGAATAAAAGTCAACAACCAAAAACGAAAAAGTATTACAAAAAAATGAAAAATAATGAGCATATTTCATATAATATCTGATTATGTATTTCCAGGGAAATTATACGTTGAAAAAAGTTTCATATTATTTGTTCACCTGAAAGTTTTGCTATATATATATATATATATATATATATATAGATATTGTTCGCTCTGCTATTGTTGTTTTTGTTTTTATCTCTTAAAACAATCGGGCTCGTCGAGACCGGGGGCTATTTTTTTGGGCCCGGCATAAAGCGGCCTTTTGAAAAGATCAACGCATCCGTCATGGCCGGCAATTTGTTTCGTTTCATTCGACAACATGATGTCGACCTGTTTGTCATATTCCCCCAATGCCCCCTGAGCTTCCTCTACAGAGTCCCCTATTTTATTTGGATAGTTCTATAAAAAAAAAGCTTTTTATTGTGCATTTTGTGATTTTGTCATAATACCATTCTATTTATTATGCTTGATTATTTTTTAGGCAGGTGAAAGCGTTGCGAAAGCAAACATCAAACTAAGATTTCAAGCCACTTTAAAAATTGGGCGCGGTTCTTGCATCGATAATTGGACTTAAAATAAAATACGTACCATTTCTAATCGTTTTGTACGCTTTAAAAATAAATATACAGATCATTATCAACAACAAATAGCATAAACAAACATTTTATTATCTCTCTTATCTAGACATTATTTATAACTGCTTTTCAGTTTGTAACGTTTTTAGTTTACTTAATTTTGGCAATTCAATATGCTTTAGAACCATGAAATCATTTTTTTTTCCTCTTTACTGTTTTATACGCATCTTATTAAGCTTTATTGAAATATCGGAAGTATTTTTAAAACTAAAAACACAGACAGACTCTTTCTGTGTCAAAATCCCTCTGTTTTGCACACACTCTTAAGCAAGTCTTAACTTTTATTAATCCATGAGATTGCTTTAAAAATTTGTATTATACATTATCTAGTCTGGCTTCTTTCTAGATTATTTTTATATTTTATTCCCTGCATTTTGATAGCGAAGCAATCCTTGCAATGTCTCTCTCTCTCTCTCTCTCTTTCTCTCTCTCTCTCTCTCCCTCTTTCGCATTCTTATCGATTATTCTGTTTGCCTTACCTTATTTCCTTTTTTTTACTCTTATCTTTACACCCTTTACTTACGTCTGTGCCACATTTTTTTGTTTAACTTTTTATCTTTATATGTACCTGTAAAAGTGCTTCTATATATATATATTATAAGACAACTGCTGAGCAAGTCAAATAATGAGAAAAATATATAATTACATTTAGAGCGAACCAACTTCACCTTTGTTCTGCCCGCTGTTGCACAGTTGTGCACATATTCTTGATACAACAAGTAGAGCCACTTGTAGTTCTGCTTCTACAGATAGTATATATATATATATATATTTTTGGCAAATGTGTTCCGCCCTTGGCCTTATCAATGATAAGATTAATTGCTTGCCTGTCACGCATGAATCATGCTGAGATACCAGAGTGTGCCAAGACTTATTAGGCATATAAATGAATACATATATGTATATATACACATATAAATATATATATACATATATAATACATAAACTGTCATTTTAGATACAAGTACACAAGCTTAGATACATGACAATAATACTGCAAGATATTTGAGAAATCTGAATACAAAAACACACCACACAACTGGATTATTGAGCTGGGTATTCAAACCGCGCTCAGACGATTACTTACTAGCAAAATGGCACAAGGTTTAAGTATTATTAATATTATCGCATCACATGCATATGACATCAGCAGGCGCCATTGTGGCGTATACGTAAGCTTTGCTGCGTTTGAATGAATGAATGAATTAATGAGTGCTACTACTAAACTGAAAAACAGACTGTTTTCAAAAACAAAAACAATTATTTTACGCCTCTTTGTTCCATAATGTTGTGTTTTACCAACACTCAACATTTAACTAATTTTCACTCTTTCATTTGTATCAAAAAATTTACTCTGCAAAACAAACTGTCCTTTTTAAAAACAAATTAATTTCGCGCTATTAAAATCGATAATGTTGCGCATCGATATCGATTAGCCGTATTTGATTGATTAACCAACACTCAACATGTATTCAACTAACTTGGTCTATCTTTTGTTTTGCTTCGTCTGTTTCCAGGTAAACAAAAAATCTACTGTGCGAAATGCACAAAGAAATGCTCCGGGGAAGTACTGCGCGTGGCCGACAATCATTTCCACAAGGCGTGCTTCCAGTGCTGCCAGTGCAAGAAGTCGCTCGCCCAAGGCGGTTTCTTTACAAAGGATGGCTCCTACTTTTGCATACCGGACTATCAGCGTCTGTATGGCACCAAGTGCGCCACCTGCCAGCAGTATGTGGAGGGCGAGGTGGTCAGCACCATGGGCAAGACGTACCATCAGAAATGCTTCACGTGCAGCAAATGCCAGCAGCCCTTCAAGTCAGGCAGCAAGGTGACCAACACTGGCAAGGAGGTGCTCTGCGAGCATTGTGTCTCCGGCGGCACAGCGCCCGCCTCACCGGCACGCCAATCGGCCGTCACGTCGCCCGCCCCGCCAGCGGAGAGTCCCACACGGGCGACGGCGCATCAGAATGTGACGAGCGGCGTGCTGTCGCATAAGGCGCATCTGAAGGAGGATTACGATCCGAACGATTGCGCCGGCTGCGGTGAGCTGCTGAAGGAGGGCCAGGCGCTGGTCGCCCTGGATCGGCAATGGCACGTGTGGTGTTTCCGTTGCAAGGCATGCAATGCGGTGCTCAATGGCGAGTATATGGGCAAGGATGCGGTGCCGTATTGCGAGAAGTGCTACCAGAAGAGCTTTGGCGTTAAATGCGCCTACTGCAATCGCTTCATCAGTGGCAAGGTGCTGCAGGCTGGCGACAACCATCACTTCCATCCGACGTGCGCACGCTGCACCAAGTGCGGCGATCCGTTTGGCGATGGCGAGGAAATGTACCTGCAGGGCAGCGCCATTTGGCATCCACGCTGCGGTCCAGGTCCATCCGAGTCTGGCATTATACTCAATGGCGGCGGTGGTGTTGGTGGCAGACCAGGCACCACCACATCGGTCACCGGTGGCGCCTCCAATGGCAATTTCACAGACACCGAATGCGACCGCATGAGCTCCAGTGCGCTCAGCGACATGGTATGTGGCCCAGTTCAGGCCAAGCAGACTTACAACTGCTCCTGCTACTAATCTGAATGCTCAGCAAACAAATACACACGCTACAATCACACACATCCACACACACTCTACACATACAACTTGACCTGCCTCTTTGCACATTGCGCAATTTCTTTTGATTTTAATTATGATTTATTTTAAGTTTGTGTTTTTTTTTTTTTTTACAACTTATTTTGAGCTTGCCCTTTGAATTTTTATTTCGTTCGTTTTGCAGTACATCCGTTCCAGAACACCGAGTTTAAATGGTTCACTTTATTCCTCTAGCCGCAAGGTTTGTTTTATAATTTCAAGTACAGTGGTCGCTCGCTAATTGGAATAGCTACAAATAACAAGTGATCAGAAATGAGAAACATGCTCTATTTACTCTATTGGTTTTAACAATTTAGAAATGTGAAATTTTTAGGTATTTTTGAAAATGGGTAAAATTAGGAAATTGATAAAAAAATTGATTTGCATTATTTATTTATTGATTATAAGGTAAAATTTTAATTTAAGTTTAATTCCCTATCTATTTCCTCTCTTTTCAATTCATTCATTTACAATAATCTTTTGTATTCTGTTTATCATTTTAATTTGTTTCAAATAACCTGGCATTTTGAATACAATAACGAAGCATTCGAATAGTTGAGCGATCACTGTATTATTATTTTTGATTTATTTATGATTTAAACGAAAGCTTAAACTAAACCCAAATGCACCGCATGCCGTAATCAATAAGCAATTAATTCCATTTGGAATACTAACATTCTGGATATATTCCACAGCACTATCGCACGGTCAGTCCGGGGCTGATATTGCGCGAATATGGCAGACCGATTGGCGAGGATATATCACGCATCTATACCTATAGCTATCTGACAGACGCGCCCCACTATCTGCGCAAGCCGATCGATCCCTATGACAAGACGCCATTGTCGCCGCATTTCCATCGGCCCGCCTCCTATGCGACAACGAGCAATGCGGGCTCCGTTGCCGGAAGTCGTCCGCCATCACGGCCCCATTCGCGTACGCGCAGTGCCATGAAGGTGCTGGTGGATGCCATACGATCGGAGACGCCACGTCCCAAAAGTCCGGGCATGAACAACGAGGAACCCATTGAGCTGTCGCATTATCCGGCAGCCAAGAAGCCGCCACCAGGCGAACAGCCCAAGATCGAAAGAGATGATTTCCCAGCACCACCCTATCCCTACACGGATCCCGAGCGCCGACGACGCTACAGCGACACCTACAAGGGTGTCCCAGTCTCCGATGATGACGAGGACATCGAAAATGGCAAGCGAACCAACGGAAAGGTCAAGAATGGCGAGGAGCAGACGTAAGTCCACAGTTATTATTATTATACCCTGTAAAAAATGTATATTACAGAGTATCTCCTTGTCAATTTTCGTACATATTTCTAACTGAAACTCTATTTAAACAGACGCCTGCATCGTGAGGCTGAGCAGCTGGAGAAACTCAATTCGGGCATTGGTTCGGTCATTGCCAAGGACCTCAAGGAGCATGCCAAGTACAGAAAATGGAAGCAAAACAATCTGGATCCACGCAATGCATCGCGCACGCCCTCAGCCTCCAAGGAGCCGCTCTACAAGTTGAGGTACTATCTAATTGTTTGCAGATTGCCAATAAATCACTATTTGCTAAAGCTGATATTCCAATCTTGGTCAACAGATACGAATCGCCCATTGGTGCATCGCCATCTCGCCATTTGGATCACCAGAAGCCCTTCTATGAGGATGAGATGTTTGATCGATCCACCAGCTATCGCGGCTCCCTGGGCAAATCGCTGGGCAATGCGCCCAGCTACAATGGTAATCATTAATTAATGTGCTTGAGTTAGTTTATAAAAACCTACTCGCAGGAGCGCGTCACGATTATTGCGTTACGTCAATTTGTATTATATCTAGACCAATTACGTTTATAGCCATACATTCCTATCGCTCGCCGCCCAAGCCCGGATACGGATTCAAAACGACCACCTTGCCGCCTTACATACGCAACGGCTACAGCTCCGTAAGTGCTGACTGACACAAATTCTGTTGACTCTGTTGCCTCCCGGTGCCTGTTTGGTGGTCACTTGTCTTGTTGCTAATACTAAATACTACAAATCCTATTAGCTATATCTCATTAAGTACCTAACACTTGTCTTCCCATCTGTTGCTCACTCCCAAAAAAACACATTTGTCTCTTTCTCTCATCCATTGTTCTGCTGCTGCTGATGCTGCTGCTGCTACTAATGCTGCTCCGGCTGATGGCTGTTGGTTTTTTCTTGGGTCTAACATATTTGTTAACATCTCAACTGGTTGGTCTGCTGATTCTATTTGCTACCCCAACTACGTACTTATTTATATGTGTGTTTGCCTATGCTGTTTGTTGCCACACGCACACACACACACACACCACACACCCTAATAACACACGCATCCACACTAACAACTCTACTTTTAACAATCAAAATCATACGTCATCCAACATACATCCAACAAACATACTACACACATCATACAACTGTCGGCTCAGTGGTGAGCGCATTGCGTCATGTACCCAAACCCGGATACGGCTTGGCCCCACGCTCTCACACATTCAGTTCCACAACATCAGCAGCCGCCACGATGCATGGTGCCACTGTAAGAAATGCTTTGGTTGTTGTTGTCTTTCTTCTATTTTTGTTTTCCATTTCTGGAATGCCTAAGCTTAACCACTTGTTTTTTATTAGTCAAGCACGTAATTTATTTGTTTTTTTTTTTCATTTTGGTTTTGGCATGCTTTCTGCTGCCTGCGATTCTTAACTAATTTGATTTGCATTTTCATACCCCAAATAGGACTTTTCTTATGGAGGCCTCGGCGACAAAACGCACAGCACAGATCTAAGCTGCGGCAAATCAGAGGGTAAGCTTTAAATACTTTTTGCCCATACTCCAGCTTCTCTACATAGATCCTTTTGATTGATATTTTTTAAGCTTCGGTCGACTCAATTACTGAGGGCGATAGGCGCGCTTTGATGGGCGGTGATTTGCCCGCCTCGAGCACATATTCGGGCGCTTTGTCGTATCATTATCCGCAGGCTGGACTCATACGACGCAGCCTGCCAAATATGGCGCACTCGATGCTGGTGCACGAACCGGCCAAAATCTATCCGTATCACATATTGCTTATAACGAACTATCGTCTACCATCGGATGTTGATCGCTGCAACCTGGAGGTAAGTGCTGATATATCTTCGTTCCCAATATATATCAATTATTAATACTTGTATGTTCTTCTTTTGTGCAGCGTCATTTGTCAGACATCGAGTTCGAGCACATTTTGCAGTGCGTCCGATCGGAATTCTATCGGCTGCCCCAGTGGAGACGCAACGAGCTGAAGCGACGCGTGAAGCTCTTTTAAATGGTGCACCGCTCTTATCCACAGCGGCTGCTTGCGACGAAACCAAATTGAAAACAAATACCTATACTTTTGAAGGTTCTTCACTATTAAACAATGGCAGCAATAATAACAAAACAGAAAACAAAAGAAAAAAAAACACAGAAGAAAAACTATGCTAATTTCACAGCCAGTTTTTTGAAACACGCTTTAAATATATAGTTGAAACAAAAAAAAAATATAACTAAAAACAAACAACAAAACAAGAAAAGAAAAGGAACGATATAGTTACATTTGAAGTATGGACCGCGCCACTGGCAGTTCCAGTTTATTTTTTTAAGCATTAGTTGCGCTGATAACTATTTAAATTCTATAAGAAAACCAAAAAAAAAAAACAACAACAACAAACAAGCTACAAACTAAGCCTCGGCATGCCGAAGCTTAAATACCCTGGCAGAGAGAGCTACTAGACATAAGCATTTAATAAGTCTGCTATTAAAGTCCGGATATTGTTCGACTCGACTTTAAACTAATTAACTAATTAATCCCAACTGATGGGCCAGTCTATGGTAATGTGACTCTGCAAGGGTGAGGGAATAAAAATGTATACAAATTGCAATTAGTTAAAACACTTTGGCCAGTCAAGGTATTATCTTGCATGAAAGCTTTTTATAAAACTACAGCGGCTAATCCAATGAGAAATGCATCAAAGAATGAGAAATGAATGTACCTACTTACAACAAATTCAACAAGCAACATAATTAGATGTCTGTTTGTGTGTCTATGTGTGTGTATGTGTGTGTGTGCGTGTGTGTGGGTGTGTTGCATTCAATATATACATACGCGCTAAACACTGCAAGTTTTATTTATTAATATATATATTTTATTTATTTAAATAGAATATGTCAAAGAATAAACAAGATATAATAAAGCAGGACAAACCGAAGCAATATCCAAACTTTCTTTTTTTAAATATAAAATGCCTCTTGATTTACCTTATAATATATATATAATTTCGTATTCACAGTAGACATCGTGTGACTGGAATGTCCCGAAGACAAACAAACAAACAAACATATATAAATATTGCGCTAAGTTTCACAGATATCTTTTTTTTCTTGTGTGTTTTCCCGAGATTCTCTATGTGGAGGAGTGTATTGATTATTGGAATGGGCTAGTTTTGCTTTTGGAGCGTGTCATCTGTGCGTAGAGCGTATGTTAATTGGGTCTTCATTACCGTCAGACTGCTGCCAATAATTTGCTTGTGATAGATTTGGCGCGTGACAAAGCCGATATCATCGTAGAAGTCACGCTCGTTCTCCTGCCACTCGGATATGGTGCACTCCAGCGAAGCATAGCCGGCATTGGCGCAATTCTTCGAGACCAAACCAATCATTGGTTCCATGATCTTCTGAAACGGATAGTTCTTGGCAATGGCAAAGCGATAGATCCAGGCTGCATTGTAGACAGCATGATGATTCTTTGCACTTATAGTGGCCACAATTCGACGACGAAACTTATTCTTATAGGTCTCATCGAACGGCGCATTCTCCATAAAGATCTGATAACTAGCCTCGTTTGGTGCACAACGAAAGATGAACGGCTCATAGCATTCGGCAACCAAGGATTGAGAGGGCTTCAACTATTTAAACGAAAGGAAATACATATCATGTTGGTGTAAGTTGTGCTAGTTATTTACCCTCATTAGCTCCGTTGCCTTGGCATAGAAGGAGAAGTAGGTGCTGGTGAAGAGGAAAAACAGACAGCCAGGTATTGTGAGGACGCAGAAGAGCAGCGGCACACCCAGAAATATGAAGAATATGGCCCAAGTGATGACAATAAACTGCAGCGTTATCTGTAATGCAGATGCACAAAATGCACTTGATCAGGTCGAAGGGCGAGGCTTTCTTTCTATACCACAGATGCACCCACGCTCGTAAATAGATAAGTCACGCAGACGTCGGGCTTAGATTTTTGGCTTGCTTACCTCTCGAAAGCAGACCGCAAAGAACGACCTGGATGAGAATGACATGATGTAGTCCCGCATCAGATCCTGGCATTTGAGTTCGTCATCTTCACGGTAATTGCGTATGACGATAAATGGTTGCATTTGGTTCCACTTAAATTAAAAACCTTAAAATCCTAAGCCGAAATTAAAACAAAACAAAAACAGTAGCAAGCAGTGCGACCAGCGTGCAAAAATACCATTAAATACTAATATACACTTTGAATACGTATCGATGCTGCTCGATAATTCATGGCTGCCAATCGATACACACAGCAATCGACTGTATTTCAAATTAAAAATTTCACTTGAAATGAAAGAAAATTGTAATCGATTCAAATCATTTTTTATTAATGAGTAGAATAGAATTTATAATATTGCATTATTGAGCTTAATGCTGGTTCATTGTTTCAATTTTTCCAGCAGAGCCCTCCCTTCAATCAGACCCTTTTCGTTCTCATCCCAGCCTGGAGTCACCTTCTTAGCATTCTCGTACCACCTAGTAACGTTCGGGTATTTGCCAAGATCAAAGTTGGCCATCGCAATAGTGGAGACTGTGGCCAAAATGGAAATATCTGCGATTGTCAATCTATCGCCCGCAACATACTGCTGTCCCTCAAGGAATGCGTTAAGGAAACCCACTGCCTCCTGCAATTTCTTGAGGAGCTCTGGATCTGCTGGCTGCTTCTTTGTGAACTGGGGATAGAAATAGTCTGCAAAGGACTTATAGAGCGTACCCACATCAAAGAATAAACGTTGATTCACAACCGCACGTCCTTTCGGATCCTTGGGATATAAAGCATCGTCCTTGGCATACTTCTCAACCAAATATATTAAAATGGCACGAGATTCGCACAGAGTGAGGCCATTGTCGACGATCGTTGGAATCGCACGTTGTGGATTAATCTTTGCGAATTCGGGTTTCTGGTGCTCCTGTTCAGCAACATTTAATACAGTTTTGTTAAACTGAATATTCAGAGCCTTGCCGATCATTAGGATCGAACGGCAGTCCGATGTGAGAGGCGAATAATATAAATCCATAGTTGATTTCAAGTGTTTCGACTGAACGGTAAACGTTAACTATAGTTGTCCACCAAAAAGTAGAGGTTTATATACGCTTGTGCAAAACTGATAAGCACTTTTTTGTGGTATTATTATCGCTCAATATCGTGATTTGATTTTGCACTGCAATACGATTGTGTTTTGTGAAAGTTCATCGTTACAATCCCCTGGTTTTTTTATGATAACCGAATATTTACTGCAATCAGTAAGCAGACAATGCATAGTGAATATGCTGAAATATCTTTTGTTGATATTATGCAGTATTTAATTTTTTTTAATATTTATAATTAAAAGCAGTGTAAACATAAATTGCTTTTGATAAAAACGCTTTCATTTTGAAAAATGGAAAAGAATGTATAAATGTACATCCGTATGTACTCTCAAACATATAATTGCTGTTATTTAAATATTCTATTTTGTTCATTTTATATTATTTAAAATGAAGAGCGGTGTAAACTTAAATCGCTTTTGACACATATTCTTAAATTTGAAGATTGCATTTCATGTTATTTGATAGAAATTGAATAAAGTTTGAATTCATGTACTTAATGCTGTCAAATATACAATTTATTTACATATATGTACTTATTATATATACTATCTAATATATATACCCTCGAAATTGCATTACAAATAGGCCCGTCGTTACAAATATGCCCATTTACGTTCATCGATACTTATCGATGCCGCACTTGTGCATTGTTTTTTTTGTAAAATTTTGCATGTGCGAAAATTTGGTCACTCTGACAATAGGCGACTTGTGCATTTAGCCGCATTAGCGTTTGCATTCGGAAATTATAATCATTTAACTCGCATTTATCCTGATTCCTGGGAAAATGGAAGACGGCCACATGGGGGAAAAATGTACAACTTTGGAGCATGCAAGCCAAGATCAGCAACGTAATTTTATTTGCGGCGTTATTGAGGGCTTCTACGGCCGGCCTTGGACAACCGAGCAGCGAAAAGATTTGTTTCGCAAACTGAAAAAAATGGGCATGGACTCGTATATGTATGCGCCTAAAGATGACTACAAGCACCGGGCATACTGGCGCGAGCTCTATACAGTCGAAGAGGCCGATCATCTATCAAGTATTTCAATTCTGATTACAATTCTCTTTCGGCTCGTCTTGTAAAATTGAACATATTGCAGGTCTGATTTCATCTGCTAAGGAGGCTGGCATTGTTTTCTACTATGCTCTTTCGCCGGGTCTGGATATGACGTACAGCAGCCAGAAGGAGATTGCAACGCTGAAACGTAAACTGGATCAAGTGTCACAGTTTGGCTGCGAGGCATATGCGCTGCTCTTCGACGACATCGAATCGGAGTTGTCCAAGGCCGACAAGGAAGTGTTCCAGACCTTCGCCAATGCGCATGTCTCGGTAACCAATGAGATTTTCACTCACTTGGGCTGTCCCAAGTTCCTCTTCTGCCCGACGCAGTATTGCGGCACACGTGCCGTCCCAACTGTCGTGGATTCGGAGTACTTGAACACACTGGGCTCCAAGCTGAACAATGTGATTGATATTCTCTGGACGGGCGACAAAGTCATCTCGAAGACGATAACCATTGACTCAATAAGGGAAATCACGGAGATACTGCGTCGTCCGCCTGTCATTTGGGATAATCTGCATGCGAATGATTACGATCAGAAGCGTGTATTCCTTGGACCGTATTCGGGTCGATCGCCGGAGCTGATACCCCATCTGCGTGGTGTTATGACCAATCCGAACTGTGAGTTCTATGGCAATTTCATTGCTGTGCACACGCTCGCCTTCTGGTCACGCTGCAACCTGGACTCGAAGATGAACAGCTCGCTGAGCGCCGATATCAAACTGGAGACTGAAAACGAAGACGATCTGCCCGCAGAATGTCTGTCCAAGAACGTCTATCATCCACGTCTAGCTCTCAAGTAAGAATCAATTTCAGCATCCTCAACTTTGAAATTCACGTAAATCTTTGCCCATAGAAATGCAATTTCTGAGTGGCTGCCGGAGTTCTTTGTGGAGAAGGAGGCGTGGGGACCGATTACAAAGCCGCAGCCGCAAGTTGAAATGGTTATGCCGATTATTCCGATAATACCGTCGCTCAACACGTGCATGAGTCTTACGACGACGACAACAACGTCGACGAATACGCGCACGGTGCCCGAGGTGAACACCACCCAGTTGCAGGCACTGGCCGATGTGTGCAGCACAGTTAGCTCTACAATGGCGCCAATTTCCAATCCAGTGATGAACTCTTTGGTTTCACCGACGAAAGTTGTGACAAACGATGACATTATAAATCCCATACGCACAACTGTTGCATCCAATATTGAGTTGCCAAAGAAGATACCCATTTCCATAATGCCAGTGCCCGTCATGGAGACCAAGAGCGTTGAGGAAACCATTAAGCTGAGCTGCGAGATATTCGAACCGGCCAACAAGGCGGAGCCTCTCAATGAACCCTCCAAAAGCGATCTCACGCCCACATCCGATGACATTCTCATTGATGGGAAGCGCGAGCAGGTGGCGAATTTAAATGTCGACACGATGTTGGATGAAAACTTGAGTCTCAGTCCATTGAGTGGTGCCGGCATCAATGAGCCCATGGAGTGCAGCAGCATTAACTCTCAGATTTCGCCCAAGGAGGCCGTCAAACTGGTTACCGACGATGTTGTTATGGAGGAATCGGGAAACGATGCGAATGTAACCTATTTAAAACCCAGTAAAACCAATTTATACTAATTAAATTCAAATTTCAGAGTATGCATGTGGAAAGTTCATCAGCGTCACCGGAATCCACTGCGGAAATGCACGACGAAGTCGATGATGACCAATTGGGCGCCAAGTAAGCATTGCATCCAACTTAACCAACCACTCATCGATGATGTTCTCTTCTTTTATTTAGATCCACTGCAAGCTGCAATAAGATAACTTTGGATGATTTGAACCTGCTTTGTGATTTATTCTATTTACCCTTTGAGCATGGCAGTCGTGGCCTGAAACTACTCAGCGAGTTTCAATGGCTGAAAGTCAATGCGAATGTGCTGCTCCAGGATCACAGCAGTGGCAGTAGCAGCGACGCTAGCAAGTCCATTAAGCCAGAAGTGAGTGAGTGGATGCAGCGCAGCGAAATTTTCTCCGAGCTTTGTGGCTGCGTGCAGAAGTTGCTGGTGAAGATCGCCTACTGCGAGAACAAGGAGATATGCCACAACTTGTATTCGTATGTGTGGGACATATCGGGTGCACTGTCGCTGCTCAATTGCTACATCAAGTGGCTGTCGATGGCAAAATTTCCGCAGAATACATCCTCATTCACTGAGGGCAGCTACACGTGTATGTCTCAGATTGATGCATTTGTTGCTCACATTGATTGACTCAATTTAATGGTGTTGTCCATTGCAGGGTTTAGCAAAGGCTGGAAAGAGGCTTTCATGTCCGGCGAGCAGGAACCATGGGTGTTTCGCGGTGGCCTCACTGCAGATTTGCAGCGCCTGATGCCTGTTGACTCGGCCAATGATTTGTTCGTTTACAAGTTGCCCGAACAGCCGACCGCAAACTATTATCTACTGAGGCCATATCAGCATCAGGATGAGCAACAAATAAACGCAATCTGCACACGCACCTACATGCAATGGCAGAGTGAACCGGATGGCGATGAAATCCTACTGCCCGCCCAATTCGCTGACATTGTGTCGGACGCTATGGTTGGTGGTCACTTGACTCTGCATCCGGAACTCTGTTTGGTGGCCTATGACAAGAGTAACTCGATTGTTGGCTATGCCTGCGCCGCTTTGGATATTAATTTGTTTAAGCGCAATATGGAATTATGCTGGCTAACTGAGCTGCGCGAGAAATATCCCAAGACTCTGCTGGATGACACCGCAAAGTCGCACAAGCTTGTCTCAAGTTTTGTGGAGCGTTTCCACATGCATGTCGACGAGGTCGTCTGCCCCACCGAGGTCTACGGCACCTTTCCGGCTGTGATAAGCGCCGCAACGTTGCGGGAGGCGGAACAGCATGATAATGGCATAGCCAAGCGACTCCTGACCGTATTGCTTGCCGCATTACGCGCCTGTGGCTGTTTCGGGGTGCACGCCTGCGTGCCACAAGAAGATCGGGAGCAAGTGAATTTCTACACAAAGGTTGGCTTCGTTGACATCTATCGCGATGAGGGCAGTAAGTGCATTTATTTGGGTCGACGCTTCTAGCAGGCAGAACAAATGCTGCAGTTCCTCTGAAATGGCTGCCACAGAATTGATCACTGCCAGGGATGCTTTTTCCTTGCTTCGACATCTGGTTTCCTATTCGTGTATATTCGTCTCAATGCGCATTATTCGTTCTTGATAACTGGCGTTTTTTAAAAATATTTTTTTATTGTATGTATTATTGTGAAGATCTTTTATACGACTTGTCCTTAGTTGCGACCAATCTCAGTCCTGTGTACACCCAATTAATGTGTATGTCGACTGTGCCCCATTATCTAGCATTTAACTTAATTATACGTGCATAGTTTCTCTTTGCCCCACAAGCACTGAAGCAAATAAAAAAAACTCAAGAAACTCGACTTATTAACAATAATAAAATCAACTTTTATTAACTATTGCTTTGTTTGCTGAGATCGTAGAACCAAACTGTGTTAACGCCGTCCTCAATGATGCGTTCGTGCTGCAACTGCGGCAGTGGGAAGCGGCACGCTATGATTTTGGCATTGTGCGGACACTCGGCAATCAGCTTGTACTCCAGATCCTGCATCATTTGCTCCACACCAAATATAACCACATAATTGTAATCCTTGATGTTGAATTTCCAGAGATCACGGCGAAAGAAGCTCGATTGCTTGCTGACGCCATGACGCAGTGCAGCCAGTCGGGAGTAGTAGACCAGCCATGGATTCAACTCCACGCCGTCTGTCTTTAATTCTTTCACATGCTGGGCCGCCGCTAGACAAGATTACATAAGTTCAAAATGTGACTTCGAATGGGCATAAGTTGAACTTACCCACAACGATGCGTCCGTCGCCGGAGCCAATGTCCAGTAGCTTGCCGCTGGCATTACGTGGCAGGAAATGGAGCACGTTTTGTATCTGTTCCGTTGTTGCCGGAACAAAAGGAAGACAGAACTTCCGAAATGCTGGCGCCACAAACGAGGCACAAACAATTGAGAGGCCAATACCAATGCCCCCAGTCACACCGATCAACAGTTTACCACCGGTTGACATGCCAGATTTCTTCACTGATTTTTGAGCACTTTCATTTAGAATTTCCATTGCAAATTCAATAATTCAAAAATATCTTGATATCAACAAAACACAGCTGATCTGCACAACATAGGATTGCGGCACATTATTAGCAAACGCTCAAGTGCTTTATATTATTTGATTATGCGAGTTGAGATGTAATATCAGCAGTGATCGATCGCCTTTGCAAACAAAGTATACTTAATTATAATTTATAACTAATATTCAAAGAAAATAAATTTCAATCGCCTGCGGTCGATTTAAAAAATTACATGCCTGTGCAGGGCTGGAAATTAAATCGATACATTGTCAGTTCGACGTAAAGTATCGAACAGTGTTGCACTATTCAGATTTATTGCCGAGCATCGGAGTATACACTTATATTGGATATGTGGCAACACTTTTTTCAGTCGTAGCTTCCTATTACAATTTTCCACGGGTTTTTCGTGTGTGTTTTGTCGACGAAAACTAAAATTAAATCGGATTTTAAGTGAATTTCGTGCTGCACTAAAGTGGTTAAACGTTAGACGTGTGAAGTTTTATGTGCACCGTGTGTGTGAGTGGGTGCAAGCGTAAAAATGGCGAACGTAAGGGACAGCGACACATCATTGTGGCTGCATAATAAACTGGGCACCTCAAACGATTCGTGGATAAACGGCTCAATATGCTCGCAATTGAACAAAGAGGTTTTGCGCAACATCAAAGAGTGTTTTCCCGATCTGCAGACACAGGTCAAACTGAAATTACTGCTTAGTTTTCTGCACATACCCCGACGTATGGTCGAAGAGGTAAATCTACAAATCTTGTTGGTGTAAAATACAACATGAAAGAAAAAAAGTACACTACCATGTACACACATACACTGACACCAACACGCACATGCACGAACACGCGCATACGTAAACGTACACGGATACAGACACACACACGCGCATACACACACATGCATGCATGCTACGTTGGTGAACAAACGCCAGGTTTTCTTTAATAATAACCATTGGGAATGGACACAAATCGTTTAATAAGCGTTTAATGCAAAATGTCAAAATGTGTATTCTATTAAACAAAATTATAAATTGATGGTATACAAACAAGTGTTAAGCGGATTTTGTTTTTTGTGCTCGCTGAAGAAATAAGAAATATTTCCCGCCACTTCTGCGCGAACGACTTGTGTGCATGTGTGTGTAAGTTTAGTGCTGGTGTTTATTGTGCATGTGTGTGTGTGTGTACGGAGCTTGTGGGCGTTAAGCGGGTGGTCAACACAAATCTGTTGAATACACGCATACAGACATGTGTCGTCATTAATAAACGCAAACACAAAAATAAAAAAAAACGGGAATTACATTGTATATGTTTGTGTGTTTGCGCGTGGACACTGTTAAATGTTAACAGTGCGCTGTTAATGTGCCACATGATGTCAACAATAGACGAAAAACCAGTTTTTACTGCGTGCAGGAATGTTTTGATAAATTACACTTACAATTGGGCATGCCACAATCAAAACATTGCTGTAATGCCAACTGTTAACTAACTGTTAAATGTTTACAGTTTACAGAAACCATTGAATCAATGAATGTTAAAACTGAATTTGATTTTGATTTTGCAGTGGAAAAGCGAATTGGAGGAAGTCATCGAGGTGGCTGGTTTGGACTCTGAACTGTGGGTGTCCATGCTGGCGGAGACAATGAAAACATTTCCGGCAACCAGTTCGCTGAATACAGAAATCTCCGATTACGAGGACACACGGCCCATTTTCACCGATATGGTCAACGATTTGCGCAAATTGGTCACCAAACACTCGGATCTGGGCATGTTGCCTCTCGAGTGTCAGTATCTAAATAAAAACGCATTGATCTCGGTGGTAAGTATATATCCCACAACCCTACCACAAAATTCAAAGCCAGACACTTCATAGTTTTCCCCTTTGTGCAACAGGTTGGCCAGCAGCCGGCGGCAGTGAAGCATTTTACGCTAAAGCGCAAACCGAAGAGCGCCCAGCTGCGCACCGAGCTCCTCCACAAGTCAGCGGATGCGCAATCCTCGCTGAAGAAGACATCGGCGTCAGCAGTACCGTTGCGTTCGCGTGGCATGCCACGCAAAATGACGGACACCACGCCGCTTAAGGGCATCCCCTCCCGTATGCCCACCACGGGCTTTCGCTCATCCAATGTGCCCGGCAATGCGCAGCGTCCCAATCTCAGTCGTACGCCCGCGGGCCGCAAGGATGGCGGCATCAAGATACTCGAATTCACAGAGCAGCCGCTGGGCTATGCGGCAGCGAAGAAGCGCAAACGCGAACAGCAGCTGGAGGAACAGCAAAAGAAGCAGGAACAAAAGCAACAGGCAGCAGCAGCGGCCGCTGCAGCGGCAGCTGCCTCCACCACCAACAACAGCAGTGGCGACAGTCCGACCGCAGATGCGGCGGTGGCCAATGCTGCTGGTGGTGGTGGAGAGATGCCGACCACGCCCACATCATCGGCAAACAATAGTTTTGAGATTAAATTGGAGCCACAGCTGAACCAAAGCAGCGGCAGCTTAGACGAGCAACCCGATGATGACTTTAAGACACCCGACGAATTGGCCAGCAAATCATTGCAGCCCGAAACGCCAGAGACGCCGGAATATGCCGCAGCCACGCTACAGTTTACCACTGCTACGGCTGCAACGGCTGCTGCCACGCCCACACGTCAGGTGGCCATCAAGGCGGAGACTAAAGCGAAGTCAACCAAATCGGTGGCCAAGATAAATAACAACAACAATAATAACAACACCAATAACAATAACAACAACAGTTATCATCAGACGCCGAAACGCATCAAGCAGGAGATTGAGATCAAGAGCGAGGAGATCATTGTGCCGGCGAACATAAAGCTGGAGAAGATCGAACCCACATCGCAGACGACGCCCATCCGCATCGCACAGTCAACAGGAACACATCAGCAGGCCACATCCACGCCACAACAGCAACAGCAGCGCATCATCATCCAACAGCAGCCGGCACAGCGTGCACCGCATTTACTCATCCGTACTCCACCGCAGCAGCAGAAGCGTCTCGTCAACAACAGCAATGCAGCGACTAACAATGCAGTTATGGCCACAACATCCACAGCGACGGCAACGGCCACAACAACTGTGGGCAACACTACTATCAAAATGGAGAAGCTGGACATTAAACCCTTGCTGCGTGTAGCAGCTGCTTCCGGCGGCGCAAGCATCAGCAGTTCCAGCACCAGCAACAACACGACAACCACAACCACCCTATTGACACCGCAACAGCTGCGAAATGCGGCCAATCCGTTGGCCAATCTGCCCAACAACATATCCGTTAAGATTACGTCGGCCAAGGCAAAGGCGGCGGCGGCAGCAGCAGCGGGTACCAGCTGCAGCAGTCAGGCAGCAGCAGGAGCAGCAGCACAGCAGCAACAACAACATCAACAACAACAGCAGCAGCAACCCATATTGATAAACAGCTCCACACCAGTCATACTGGCCTCGTCGCCCAGCACGCAGCGTGCGGTAAGTAGAACCAAGTATAACTTCTTATTATTATAATCTGCACAGCTTGGAGAAGTGTAAGATGATCGTACTAAGTACTAAGTACTAGAGCCTTGTTTGCTGGAAACTAAATCTATTCTATCGTTTACAGAGAGCGCTCGTCGCAGCGAGTTGCAGCAGCACGGCCAGCACAACGACGACCACAATACCGTCGCAAGCAATTAAATCGATGCCGCTTAGTCAGCTGAAGACGGCCACCAACAGTGGTCCGGTCATCATCTCGCAGACCATTATACAACCAGCGAAGCGAGCCCAACAGCAGCAGCAGCAGTCACAGCCAGGAGCAGCCACATCCAGCGCGGCGGCAGCAGCAGCCCAGCAGCAGCAACAACAACAGCAGCAACAACAACAACAGCAGCAGCAATTGCAGCAGCAACAGTTGATTGCATCTCCGTCACAGCCACAAACCACGCAGTACATTCTGGCTGCACCACAGCCGCAACAGCAGCAACAGCAGCAGGCCACGTTGCCAACGCTGACCTCCCTTTCACAAACTCGTCCGGCGTCACAGACAACCACAACGCTTTACCAGGCAGCCGCTGGGGGTGGCGTCAACAGCGTTCAGACGCCCACCAAGATACTGCTAAAGACGACGGGCGCATCGGGTGTGGTGATGACGCCGCTGCGCCAACATCCACAGGCCAACACAGTGGTGTCCACAAATCCACCGCCATTGGTGGCAACAACAGCAGCTGTGGCTGCTGCCGGCCATCAGACGCTCAACATACAAAATGTGCAGTTGCCCAATCGACCGGTGACCATTCAGCCCGCCTCACAGGCGGCCCAGCAGCAGCATATGCAGGCACAGTTGCAGCAACAGCATCCGCAGCACACGATCGTCGCGAATACGACGGCAACACAGCAGCCAAAGTTGTCGCAGGTGTTGATGCAACCGGGTGGCACCATAGCGGGCGGCACATTGAATGTGTCGCCGTCGACGGGCAAAAACAAGACCATCATACTCACCCAGAAGGGCGTCATATTGCGTAACATTGGCGGCGAGATGTACCAGATACCCATCAGCAATGTGGGTGGCTTACCGGCGCTTACCACAGGTGCCACGCTCATGACCACAACGGCGGCCGGTCCGCCCAGCCTGGTCAAGACGACGCCGGCGACGAGTATTCAACCCCACACCATACAGCTGCAACAGCCACAGCAACAGCAGCATCAGCAGGGTGCCCAGGGTGCTGTCAAGCAGATGATGCCCACGCTGATACCAACCAATCCCATTGGCGGACAGCATGTCATCGTGCAGCAACAGACCCCAACGAGTGTCATCGGCAATGTAAGTAGACTTTGTGGCGTTGCTATATAACCATTGCAAGATTAAATGCCAGACCAATGCATATATTAAATACCCTTGCAGAAATGCGACACATGTCAACAACATTGCATTGAATATATATCTTGAATTATTGCTTTTTTAAATACGATATGCACTGGCTAAAAAAAATAATAGCAAATCAATCAAAGAGCAAGACATTAATTGGTTTTTAATATTTTGCTATTTAGTATTCAACCCATAAATTAAAATATCTACTGCTAATGGAATTCTTTTCAATATATTATATACCGATAAATTAAAATAACTACTGCTTCTGGAATTCTTTTCAATATATATATATATATATTTTTTTTTTCCATTTAAAGTGATCAGTAGCAAAAAGTAGAGATCAAAATAATAGCACTACCTATTAACGCATTCTTTATAGAAATCGTTTACCTATTACTATTTATCATAATTATAGCTATTAGTTTTTTGTTTCTAACAAAATTCTCAATAAGTTGAAATAGTTCAACATTTTTTTACACAGTTTGTAAACTGTGTTCTAGTTTGTTGTCTTATTTAATATCATCGTCGTTGCTGATCACACTAATATACCCTGTCCCTTGTAATGTTCGTGTAGCCCTTATCATATAAGTTGTGCGTCTCCTCAAACCAGACATGTCAATCAATTTGAGTTGAGTGCACATCAGGCCATAAAATCGATAAAATACTTGAAGCATCCCAAAGGCAGCCAGGCATGAATTTTAGCATTGAATAAAAAGACAAAATCAGTCACTCAGTGAATTCAGTCGTTTGGAGAGTGGCAATGATTTTACCTGTCTGCAAACTGCTCACTTCAATAGTGTCAAGGGTGTGGGATGCCTTAAGTTCGACATTTAATTAAAATAAGTTGATTAAATTAAATAACGTTTTTTTTTCCTTTTTTTTTTTGTAGTCCACACAGCAAACGATAATACGGCCCGTGATAGCGAACGTAACCGGTGGATTGACCTCGCTGCCGCAGGGCTTGACGCTGATACAGCGCCCTGGCCAGCAGCCGCAGCTGGTGCAGGTGCAGGCGGCGCCGAACAGCACGCAACGGACGATCATAACACAGTCGGCTGCGGCGGCGTCGCAACAGCAGCCGCGCCAGCAGCAGCAGCAACAACAGATACTGGTGCAGCATAAGCCGGCTCTGCAACAGCGTTTGGTTACCTCGACAAGCGCCGCCGGCCAGCAGCTGTTGCAAACGAATAATGCCGCCGCCATTTCACGCACCGTCCAGGTGCAGGTCACCCAGCAACAGCAGCAGCAACAGACGAATGCGCCGGCGGCACAACAGCAGCAGCAGACACAACAGGCGCCACAGCGTCGAGGACTATCGCTTTCGGTAAGGATGGTGCTGGTTACTATGTGTTGCAGATACTAAATACTAATCATCAATCTCATCTCCAGAACGAGCACGTACACAAGGCCCATGAGATGTTCCGCAAAGCGAACCGTGTGTCGCGACCCGACAAGGCGCTCATACTAGGCTTTATGGCGGGTCTGCGCGAGAATCCCCGACCCAATACAGAAAACGTACTGGTCATCAAACTGGGCGAAACAGAGGTGAGTTGTTCAGAGGAGGACGAACGCAGAGTTTCCAGTTGTTAACTTTGTTGTTTATCTATTGTCAACAGGAAAAAGTGCAACAGGAGGATGGCAATACGGCGCTGTGCCTGGTGGAGTCGCATATCCGCCTGGACTACAACACCGGCGAATGGAAGACATTCCAGAACTACAGGCTGATGGATCAGAACGCCGCCTCATAGTCCACAAGGGTCATACGCATTGTACGCAAATAGTTGGGTCCATGAGCAGCGACCTGCGTTGTGTTCTCTGCGTATCCCGCATATGTGTGGCTTCTGGGCTTATGGGCTTGTTTGTTCATTGTCGTCATCGTCAGCGTCGTTGTCTGGTTCTGCATGGACTGCAATTTGCTATCCGCTAATTAGGCTACAAAATCCCGTTACCCCTTACCCCTCCGCCCCACCCACAATTTCCCGCTTTCAACATGCAAATGCTTGAAATAAATCAACTATAAAACAATTAACATTAATTAGTAGCTGTACAGTTTTTAGAATATATATATATGAATGTAGTATATATGCTAGAGCTTAAAACGTTTAGTAATCATGCCACAACACACACACACACATACACACACAAACACATTATTCACACATACACACGGAAACATGCAAGCATGATTAGAAGCACGCTTGACTGGAGACCCATAGATGATATTATGGAGAGGCACCCAGAGAATGGCAATTGCAAATGATCATAGAGACATTCACACATTCACACACTCATACACACGTACACACACACACACATATATGTATGTGCACATTTATATGCAGATAGATACATTTATATCTATGCATACTTAGCATTATGTAATTAGTTTTCAAGTAAAAAAATGTATAATTAATTTAGAAGGAAACATAATAACACTTATTTGGAGCCACTATTAACGCTCACTACTTATATTACAAACAAAAAAACAGAAAACAAGCAAAAACAATAAAAAATAAAAAATATACTTTTTATGAATATTATGAATGTATGTAAAAAAAAAAAACAAAAACATTTAAAAAACAACAAAAAACCCATTGGCAAAAGCAACTGCAGCAAAAAGTTAATTTAATCTTGAGTAATGTGTAATAGACTCTAGAATAAACCAACCATATATATGGCTTTAATGTTTACATCGTTTAACTCAATGGAAAAGTAGGCTGCTATTTATTGCACAATTTATCAACAATAATGATTTTATATGCCCTGCATCCGTAGTGGGGGAAGAATGGGTAAATGTGGGCAGGTGTGAGATATATACTACTTCTAGACCAATATTGTTAACCAGTCAGAGATCTAGTTTTGATTTCTGAATTTTTATAACGACTAAAAGCGATAATTACCGTTTTCCAAAAGCGCTTTTTGGAGTGATGAAACATTTTATGTAAATTTTAGTTAACTATCGATTCTGAAATTAAGAAAACAGTTTGAATATTAGAAAATCTATCAAAGGGTTTGATTGCATCCAGTTTTGAATCGTATTCCCATTTTCGTATACATGATCGACTTAGATCAGGGCACAGGGTATTACTTAGTCATGTAAGCTCGTTTTGCTGAACCAAGTCAAATGACAACTTGTTTTCATTAAATTGAATCGTTTTTTTGATTGTTTTTGTTTAATTGCATTGAATTCTTACAACTAGTCAACATAAACTGATGATATTTCATTAGACAATGCCTATGGTATAATACTACAGGTTAAATCTATATTCTACATGCTATTTATTAAATTCGTTACGAATAGATTCAGGTCTGAGAGCAGTCCTCGTGCAGTTTTATTTGCATCCCACCTCCTTCCAGTGGACGATGGCGCGCTGCTCATCGGGCGCATCCCGGAAGGGTCGGCTGCCATCGGAGCCGACATACTCGTTAACCTGGTAGTTGAGCAGCGTCTTGTAGTGGTAGACATCGGCCAGCTGCTGGGTCAGTGGGCTGGTGTTGGTGGTAAAGATGCCGGCGAATTTCTTCTCACGTGCCACTCGGAGCACTTCGTGCTCCATGTAGTGCATGCAGGCGATATTCTCGCGCGGATTCAGCTTCTCGGCGGTACCCATCATGAATGAGTGGAGTATTTGATTCAGACCCTTCGGCAAATAGTTATCACTGTAAATTCACACTCGATGTTAGTTAGATCAATTAAATGGTCGTGATATCTTGGACGGGGCATTCTTACCGTATGGGACCCTCGCAAAACTCGAGAAATTCAAAGACGATCAGCAGCTTGGATTTGATGTCCACTTCGGGCTCGTTGAGCGCATCAAAGTTCAGAGCGGTGCCAATAATACGCTCCGTATTACGATCGTATACCACAAAGCTCAATTCACGCTCCACCAAAACGTCCCAAATGTCCTGTGGCAGGATAAGTGATGATAAGCATAGGTGTGCCACATGACATGGGTAGAATTTGGGTACTTACATTGAGTATATCGCTGTAATCGCTGCGAAGGACACCTGGCTTGAGCCACTGCTCCAGGTCGGCCTTGTTGTAGAAACTGGACACAATGATGCTGAAAATAAAAAAATATTGAATTAGGCTAAGTGAAAATGTTGAAAAAATATGCGCATAGTTCAGAAGATTATAATTTTTTGAAGAACGACTAAATGCACTGATTTAACGACCTGAAAAGTAGTTCAGTTTTTTTCAAATGTAAGTAAAGTAACTGAAATACACTTTTTAAGCTTTCTAAAAACGAATTCATTTCAAAGGAAAGAGAAAGAGTACATTTTTAAGTGCACTAAATAAAAATTCTTATTGATTTTTGAATCCGATTTTCGAAACTAAAGAAGACTTCAGAAAATTTAGTGACCCATATTTGTTTCACAATTTCATAAACAGGACCTGGAATACACATGTTTCCCTTACTATGTACTTACTCAATCACATCCTGACGATGCTCCAGACGCAGTGGCTCCGCTTCCATTTTGAGATGGGGGCACGCATTCAAAATCTCCTCCTCCAGCTGCACTGAATCATGATTGGCCGCCATCCTTTCGATGATCTCGCCGAGATTCTTGGCCGCTATAAACTCGGAGATGCCAATGTTGTAGCCTTTCTCGCGCAACAGAGTGACGGTGAAGATGGAGTTCAGCGAATTGCCGCCCAGCTCATAGAAGTTGCTGTGTGGCGCCAAGCTGGCGCGTGTGGAGCGACCAATGACACCGCCCACCGTCTCGAAGAGATCACGGGCCGTCAGCTTGAGCTCCTCGGGCACCTGGGTATAGTCAAAGTCGAGCACAATGCTGGAATCACCTTCGTTGTTGTTGGCCGTTTCGTATGTCTTGAGCAGCGCCTGGCGATCGACCTTGCCGTTGACCAGCAGCGGCACCTGCTCCAATATGATGACCTGCGGCGTCATGTAATCAGCCAACTTATCCTTGAGCCTGCCCTCCATCTGCAGTTCCGTCACCATCGGAGCATCGTCGCGCAGCTTGACAAAGGCAAGAATGGCCTGATCCACGTGCCCAGCACGATAGCACAACACAATGGCCTTCTCCACCAGCGGCAACTCGGCGACATTCTTCTCCACCTCGGACAGATCAACACGATGTCCGCGAATCTTTACCTGCGAGTCCGTGCGACCCTCGTACATGATGTTGCCATTCTTCAAGGAACCATAGTCGCCAGTGCGATAGAGACGCGCATATTCTGTGAATGCGTCAGGGTTGAGAATTGGAGGAGTCTTTTAATTATGCGACAGCTTACTCTTCTCCACTGCAAGTGGATTATCCAAAAAGCGTTCGGGATCACGTCCATTAACATAGCCGGCAGCGAGATTCAAGCCCGAGGCGAAAACTTCGCCAATCTCACCGTTCTTGACGGGACGATAATCGGCATCCAATAGATAGATGACAGTATTGGAGACAGGTATGCCTATGAAATATATTTACATTTTATTCTATGCTGTACTATATAAAAAAAAACGCTTAGAGCCAAAACCTTAAGAGAAACAACATTTTAATCCTTTGTCTTTTGAATATATCTTCAAAATTCAACAAAACAAAAATTTTGTAACCTTTGATTATAGTTTAAATGATTATTTACAATTAATTCTATTAAATATCTAACTCATCTTGAACTCTGATATATCGTATTTAAAAACTGTTTCAGCTTATGTAACTAATAGTTAATAAAAGTAATATTTAATTATATTTATTAAAATATATACATATATATTAAATATTAATCACATCAACGGGCTATTCTCAGATTTAGATTGATCTTATCTTAAAGATAATGTGTTTTTTGACTCACCTATGGGCACATTGTCGTACATGCTGAGCTGTTTCTTGCTCTCGCAGGCGAAATAGGTGACATCCCCCATGACCTCTGTGGAGCCGTAGAAATTGTAGAGATGGTGCACCCCCTCATCGAAGTAGTCGAAGAAGCTGCTGGCTAGCGGCACGGCCAGTGGCTCACCTGAACAGACCCAGATCTGTAGATTGTAGAGCAACTTCTGGGCCGCACCGCCACCCTCCATCTTCAGATACATGAGCAGGGAACGGAGCAGGGTGGGCACGAGCACCAGACGCCTGATCTTGTACTTTTCGAGCAGCGCGACAAGACGCTGTGGATCCTTGGTGACCGCCTTGGGCACCACCAGAATGGCCAAACCGCACATCAGCGGACCCCACAGCTCGGCAATCGAGTCCACAAAGGTAAGCGCTGTCTTGAACACACCCACCCGTTCGCTGGATGTGTATGGGAATGTCGACCATTGCCACTGTAGGCGATTCAGGATATTCTCGTGTGGTAGACGCACACCCTTGGGGACACCAGTGCTGCCCGAGGTATAAAGAACGATGGCGATGTGATCGTTGCCACCACGCAGCATCTCCTCGGAGAGCAAATTGGCGCCGCTCAACTGCAGCGATTTGGCATACAGTTCGGTTAGCGATAGTGTGGGTGTGCCCTGGAATTTCTGGGCATCGATATCGTCATCGCGCAACACCAGAATCGGTCGTGCTTCGAGCAGAATGTGATGCACACGATTCGCTGGGAAACTGGGATCAATGGGCAAGTAAGCGCCGCCCGCTTTCCAAATTGCCAGCAATGTGGTGACCAGCGCCTCCGAAGGTTGCATGCAAACGGCCACAATAAAGTCACCATCGCTGTTTGGCTGCAAGAAGCGGCCATGTGTCTCCTCCACCAGGAGACGTGCTGCACGATTTGCACGCTCATTCATCTGGCGATAGCTGCTCTGGCTGGGTGCCAGGCCCTGTCCCTGATAGATGAGCGCCACTTTGTCGGCATTTCGCAGCTGCTGCTCCTCGAAGATGCGATGCAGCGCACGCGGCACATAATCTTGCTGCTGGCCCTTGACAATTGATAGCTGTGGCATCGAACCCATCTTGAAGGAAACATATAAAACAAACAAAAATCCCGAAGGTTAATCGCGTATTTGGAAGCATATTTCAAAGTAAACAAGTTCTACTTGCGATCAATTAAAATGCAAATGAAAAAATAAAAAAACAATTTTTGATTCAAATGAGAGCAAGCACTTGAGATAAAATTCCACTTAATTTGAAAGCAACTATGTAAATTATACGATTAAAATGGTAAATTTATAAATTTATTAGCCAATATTTCGCTAGATAGCTGTATTAAAAAGTTATAACTATTTGAACAAATTATTGATTCCATTCACTTGCTTAAGATGAATACTAAATCCATTATGCAGTAGCCGCTGATCTCGTAAATTATTCCAGCAAAAGTAAGCTGTTAATTTTTATGGATGCTAATGTCTCATAACTTAGACCGATATTACATGTCAGGAAGTGCTAGTAAAGTGGAACACTATATATAAGGTTGTTATTTATGGCGTCTTTTATATGCGAAAATACATTTACAAGACTATGAAATAATCATTAATTCAGAAGTAAGTGATTGACAATTCATAAGTATGACATAAACAAGAAAATGTTATCTCATTTGAACAAAATAACAATTGAAGCTATTAAAGATTGAAAGTTGAAATTGCGCAGAGGAACGGTTATGGTGAAAAACCGTTGTATGCAATTTTATTTGAAATTTTTTAATCAAATTTGTATCAAATTTGTAAAAAAAATTCACGAATGACTTCATTTAAGTGGGCAAATCACTTATAAAGTTGAATATTATTATTAATAAATTATTATGCGATATGCAATTTGTCTGTCAGCATTAATTAGGCTTTTGCAAGTGTGAAATAAATCAAATCACGGCTACAATTATAAGCCATATTAGGAAAATGTGTTGATATTATTTATTATTATTCACGCTTTGGTCAGCTGTAAGACTAAGTTGTTGGTATGTTGGGGGTTATAAGCTGCACTTATACTTCACATAAGTGCTTTAATTCAATTAAAAATCCAACTGAATGTCGTTGAGCATACAACGTCTGGTTGTCCAACTCTCAGGTTAACCAATTCAATTGCTGTCCCTCTCTCTCACTCTCTCACTCTCTCTTTCGGTCTCCATGTCTGTCGCATTGGCTCCAATGTCAACCATCAACGCACGCGTCGCCGTTCAAATCAAATAGTTAAAAGACATCCATTAGCAGAGTGGGCCACAAAGGTAATTACTTGTCGGCTACTTGTCCTCTGTCTTGCTTCATTTCAAATTGAAATTAAAAACTATTTTCATGTACATCTCATTAAAGTCGCTTGAGTTAACTACCGGTAGTCTTGTTGATTATTTCTATATCAATTAAATATGTCGCTGAATTGCATTAAAGCCTTGCCAATTCTGATTCCGCCTTCAGGAGAAAAAACCTTAACTTGTGGAGGCTTTCTGGTTTGTACAAGCGTTCTATGAATTAAACATACGTTATTAATATCCGATGTGCGAAGAAAACACCGCCAATTAATTAGCGTTCCGGGTGGCGAAACAAGTTCGTCAACGAAATTGCACAATTTGTATTGATTTTTGTTTTGTTTTCTTTGTATTCAGCTAAGAAATATTTGGCATAACTTTATAATCGGCTTTGGCCAATGTCTGTAATCTATTAATGGCTTGGCACACATTTTCGATAGTTTATGCCAGTACAGCGGTTAAAGTCCACCTTTATGTATGGATCATATGTATATATACGTAATGTGGCAAAAAGGCAACCAGCCAATTCAATGCACCGAGATTTTCCCAAGCGCGCGCGTTACGTATGCGCCGTGTGGGCCCAATTAGCTGGGCGCGCTGCCACACACTTGAGCAAATTAAATGAATAATGTTAAACACATAAACATATGTACACATACTTCTGTGTTTGTGTATGTGTGTGTATGTATTATAATCATCTGCATACAATGCTCATACATTGCATCGAATCAAAGAGTCGAGTGTATCTTTATGGTGGCATCTCCGTCCATTGTTATTGTTACCGTAGCAGACTTGTTCTTAACCTTTTTGTATTAGTTTGTTGCACATGGTTTTTCACATCATCGATTTAATGTACCGCATCGCATCGCTGCCTCTGTTGATGAGGTGAAATCTAAGCCATAAGACTATTAACTATTAAAGCTCGACTCTGTTCCACTCAACTCTGCTAGGTACTGTTCTGTGCTGTTCTCTTCTGTGCTGCGCTGTGCTGTGCTGTGGTGTGCAGTGCTGTGCAGTGTCCAGCAATCAAGGCGGCTACAGCGGCTACAGGCTGGCTCAATCGAAAAGCATTTACAAAATTAAATCGCTTATTGTGTAGCTTTTGTTGTGGTGCTTATAATTTTCCACGTCAAGGTTGCATTAGAGTTAGATTGTGTTGCAGTGATTTTTGACGCTTTTGGAAAATCGTTCCATAATTATCAGTGCGGCATGTAATTTGTAATTTACATAATTGTTAACTGTGTTTTGTTCTTTTTTTTGTTTTGTTTTGTTTTGTTGTGGTCTTGACGTGTTAAGTTTTTGCTGCCAATGACCAAGCAAGTATTTGTAGAGCAACAACATTGATTAAGGTCAGTTGGGCAGCATTTGTTAAATCTCTGAGTCTGGAATCTGTTTCCGTTGTTATGGTGTGTCTAATTAAATTCGCAATTTACAAAAAATATCAGCTGGTATCTGCTGCTGGACTGTCGAATCAACGTGAGACTCGATGCACAATCATAATCAAAATCATATCGTTGTGATTTATGTTTTTGTTGTTGCTACTGTTGATTTGCTTAATTGAGTAAAAAGTGTCCAATTGAAGGCCTGGCAGGGTGCAACATATGACCTAGGTCTGCTTGGGGGGATCTACACAATAAACACAGGCTTTCAGAATTTCCGATTGTGAGTCAAATTGAATGACAACTCAGAGTGCTAGAGAGGGAGAGAGAGGGAGCTGTGTGTGAATTACAAAAACACACAGTTGCTGTGTATTTCTGCATAAATATAGGTGATAGATAGAACTGACAAGTTGACGTCAATGCTCGTTGGATGTATGTATGCTATATCCATATATATCCATACATCAAATTTAGGTGCAATTAATCTATAAGTGAAACATGTTTCTCTTAACAACAATTGACAAACGACTCAATTCTAATCTAATTACTGTGTTAGCGAGATTTCATTTGTTAATTAGTTAAACGATCACTTGTCACAAACTAACTGTCATAACATTAATCTTGATGTTATTATTCTATATGCTTAGCGATGACTGTTTTCTATGCAGAACTTAAGTGCTTATGCCAAGAGTTGTTGCAACAAGCAACAACCCGCAACAACAACAACAACTTGTTTCAGCTTTCAATTTATGCACTAATGTTTTGCAACTTTACGTCTCTTTGTCATTTATTAATTTTTATGGTTTTGCTTGGTATTCACTTTTATGACGAATGGGTTTTGTCGCTTTAAGCTTAAAGTGTTGCCAGCATTGAGAAAATCGTTAATTAAATTTATCCTTAGGCAGCGCCTTGAATTTTATTTGCCTTTTGTATTTGACGTAAATTCTTTAAAAACAAAAAAACTGCCTGTTGTCAATCGACTTTCATTTCATTTTCGTATATTACAAAGCATTTCCTTGATTTTTATTGAATGTCAATGTCGTCGCATTTTTTTGGCATTTGTATTATGCAACAAACAAGTTTCGTTTAAGTAAGTTATGGGTTCTGAAAGTAATCATACATGATAATATTGCACAACAGGGGCTAAAAATATCGAAATGATCAAAATTAATATCTAGAAATCACGCGTGGGAAAATTGATATTAATTTTTACAATGTGAATTGTCAGATGCAATAAACTATAACACTCTTTATGAATTATGAATATTCAACTAAAATACTTTGCACTATAAATCATAAAAAGTTTCTAGCTTTGTTTAGGTAACTAAAAAGTTTCGTTCTGAAACTTTGTTTAAATATTGGGGAAAATGCGCCTTTTCCATAAATGTCGCTTTAAAATTTTTAAGTTTAGTTGAGAAATCGTTGGTTTTTTATTTTAAATTTAATTTCAATTTTAAAAATTTTGTATACGTACTTTTAATTGTTGAATAATTGTAGGTTTGTAAAATTGATTTTTGATTCTTCTTAACTTTTATTACTTTAAATTGTCAGCGCGCTTTCTATTTTCCAACTTAGTCCTTTCGAAAAATTTAAATACTCGTTTGCTTGTACTTGAATTAGTTTTTCTTGTATTTCTTTTTCTTCAACTATTTTTTTTTTTTGGGGTTTTCCAGCACTTGGCTCACTTCACTTGCGATTCACAGTGCGTTGAAAGGCAACCCGAAAAAATGTACTATGGAACTCGTAAGCGCCGTTCACAGACTAATCAGAATCCCAGCATACGACTAACATTTATATACCACAGAATGGGACGTTCATTGGCAGCGACGCCGGCAGCTACGCCAGCGTTAATCGTTCGCGTCGACGTCGTCGCTCTTGTTCGTCGCAGTTGGCGCAGCTCGAAAAAAAACTAAAACCAGTTCCTGCTCTTAAAGCACCTGCAATTGCCTTTCGCAGATCGCGTTTATCATAAACAGTTTTTTATGCTTATAAAAATATCGTTTTTGGGACTAGGTAGTTAGTTAGCTTTGCCGAGTTCAGTGACGTAGGAAATGAAATTAAATTCCTGGTAATGACAATCGCTAATTGGCAGTGCCAAACGCATCACTGTCAACACACACACACACACACACACACACACACACACAAACACACGCAAGTTTGGATGACTAGCTGTTGTTAGTTGGCTCGTGTGGAAATCCCTCGGCAGACTGTTTTATGACGCACCTGCCCCACAAAGAAAAAACAAAAAAAAAAAAGAACACAGTAGCAAAGCGACGCTTAAACAGAAATCGTAGCTCTCTTTTCAAAGGAATTGCTCATAGCCAATTACAAAATCGTTTACGTGCAATCGAATGCTAAATCAAAACCTATGACTCTAGACTGGAATTGCGCGCAAGCGTATCTCATCGGGGGGAATTATCATTAATGATACCCATAATTTGTAGATCGTATTTGTATACATATGTGCTTGTCATTCACTTCCATTCTTATATGTATTGCTTACAAAACACAAAAAAAAAAAAACAAAATCACAAAATTATATTTCTACACTAGTTGACCTTATATAAATCGATATAGTATTGGAGAATCATTAATTCAATTCTTGTCGCAATCAATCATAAATAAAGGCATATACATATGTATGGATCAATTGTGTGATCTATAAATAATGCACGGATCACACTTCTATATATATGCAGTAGCTTCCTACAATAACCCCGTAAAGAAATCGATATCTACGCATCATAAATAAGCGCTTGAAATCTAAGCCGATTTGATGAAATCTATTCTAATGAGTGGTTGAACTAAATGATTTGAATATCAATGCAAATTTACATATGTATGAGCATATGTTTTGTTAATTTATTGAATTGCTGATTGGGTCACGAAAGCCACGTTTCAACTGTTAGTTATTACCATTACACACGTAAGACTAATTGCACTGAATAAAAATATTAATAAAACTAATCATAATTGCAATTGCTGGAAATCAATCACTTTAAGTTCAGTTTATTAGTCAATAAAATTGTGCAAATTTTCGACAACAAATTGTTCAATAAAGTATTCGCTTCATTCAATTGTGCAAATAAATCACAATTTATAATTAAAACGCCTGTTAAGACTCATTACGTGGAAAGACAATTAATTACTACATAAATTTGTAAATTAATGTATAATTTAATCAAATTCCAATCGAATTCCAATAGAACTTAAATTCCAGATACCAATTTTGTCAATCAATTAATTGTTATTCAGCTAGCCAAGCAAGACGCTACTAACCAATATCACTCAGAAGCCATCTCAACCAATACATAGAACCCAAAAAAAACGGGTTCGTTCAATGACCATAAAAAATACATATACTACTCTAAGCCAGATCGGAATCTCTTGGCCCGCGCGTGGCCTGGTCACGTTTCCAGACTTTGTGTGAATGTGTGTGTGTGTGTGTGTGTTTGTCCAAATCAAGTCTCCAAAAGAAAGTGTGACGCATTTGATTAGGCTTAATTTTTTGCTGTTTTACCAACGAAACCAACTCGATTTAAAGAGATTTCTTTTTTGTTTTCATTGGTGACATAGTAGCCTGTTATGGTGAGACATTTAAAAATTGGTGTGGAATGCTCTGCTTCCGTGCTTCCTTGAACAAACATTCGACAAATAATGCAAAATATAAAAACAACAAATTCGAGTTCAGGTAATGAAGTAATTATTTACTTATTTAATTTATTTTTATTTTATTTTTTTTTTGATTCATCACACATTTTGAAGGTGTTAATTGTACGCTAGATTAGCTGATTATTGTTTTGCAGCTGTGCGCGCTTAATCCGCGCCAAATTCACATTGTTGATTAGTTCCATATATCGCGCATACGTCATGTTGAACAATGACAATGACAATGACAACTGTATATTTTTTATCGGCACGCTATCAATATGGGATACGGGTATTAGCTTTATTGTGTAGCACAGAAATATTGGCGCCATGACCGTCAGCATTTGCTTCGCACTTGCTCAGATTACTTGCAAGAATCCATAGGAATATTTATGTATATATTTATATATATGGTATCCGTTTTTTTTTTCGTTTTTTTTTTTTTTGGCGCCCATTGCGGAAGTGATGTTGTCGTCAGCTTGTGCTGTATGTTCTGATTCAAGTGATTGAAAAACTGTCTGGTGCAATTAAAAAATAATTAGATTGTTGTTCGGCAAATAATCGTTTAATCTAACTGAAATGTTCTAACTCTAATTTAATTGAGCTGATTTGAGTAGTCTGCATCTGCAGGTGTTTGTATATATATGTAAATATGTGGTTGATTAGTGCACTAAAATGAACGTAAACTGTCTCGAAATGTAAATCAAGTAATTGAAATTATCTGTATTGGCACTGACCGCATCGAATTAAGATATATTGACTGCTTTATTAGTCGCTGTAGCTTTGTAGACATGTCCTATTAACATTTATTTTACATTTATTAATCGTTAAACAACTTTCCTTCTCACAAGTAACACACTTAATTTTCCTAGCTATAAATTAGACTGTAAGTGAGAAGTGCACATAAATGCAAATTAATCGATTTGTTGACAAATACATGGCATAAAATACTCGCCTCTTAAAATGATATATGTTTGAGCTTCGTTTTAATATATCGTTAATATATGAAAATGATAAATGCTTAAGTCCTTTAAATTGATCAAAACTAAGCAGACTTATCGGCATGGTTTACCTGTTATATTTATAACCTAAAATAAATGTAAATAAATACGATTTTATGATTTTTTTCCTTCCAAAAATATTATAAAATCCAAAAAAACAAATTTTAAAATAGAAGTTTTATATTATTTCGGTGATTACCACAATACTGTTGAATTCCCAAAAAATAGTACAGCAAGTGAAGACAATTGATTATTGATGAATATAAATAGTTATATACATATATTTATATGAGCATAACTGCAACATGAAAAGGTAATGATTGATTGCATGTCACAAATGCCAAACAATAGCGAAAAATTCAACGTTCTCAATAGTCATCATCATCACCCTGTATTGTAAGCGAGCCAAATCAGCTTTTACGCACGTTTTGTTCAAGCCCAGTTGTCACACCCCGCAGCCGCCTTAACCTGCCTCACTTGTCACGCTCAATTAGCGCAACGTTTTTGTTGTCCGCCATTCACAAAAGCCCCGACGACGATGAATGCTTTACGCGCCAAATTGTCATGAATAGCCGAAAGCTCTCAGACGCTGGCTAGCGAAATGAAAGCTTTTGGCCGTAAGCTTATTGTTTTTAACCGAACGCACAGTTGGCCGCTAGCCGGCAAATTTTGCGGCGCGTATGAAAATTGTTTGCTAGGAAATTTTTCGTGTTTTTAGTCTTTTGGAAAACTTGCCGTCGAGCGGTTGACTGGATCACTTGGAAGACAAGTACAATTTGTAATTGACACATTGGCGCGCTCTCGGCGGCATCTCGTGCAGTTTTTTAGTTTAACGGTACATCGGCGTATGATTGACAGTTGCAAACAGATTACAGACAGCAGACAACAGACAACAGACAACGGTTAGTGGCTGTGACAGCTGCATTGCCGCCTTTCTTTCGGGCCACTTGGCTTTGTCTTAAGCAAGTGCATGCGTGCCTGTGTATGTGTGTGTGTGTGTGTGTGTGTACGTGCGTGTGTGTGCGAGTGTGTGTGTGCGTGTGTGTGTGAGTGCGTGTCTGTTTGTATGATTGTTTTTATCTCATTGCACTTTGTGGCTGGCATTAATTCCAACGTTGTTGTCGCTGTTGCTACTGCTGCTGCTGCTGTTGCACTTAGTTGTTGTTGTCGTGTTAATGTTTCTTAATTACACGCAAAGCATACAAAAAATGTTCAACAACATTTCGTTAAGTGTTGCCGTGTAGTTTGACATGAGAAATTAATGCACATGTCACATGCAGTCTAAAATAACCCACACGTGACAAAAAAAAAAAAAAACTAAAAAACAAAAAAAAAGCGTAAACATTTCAATAAGCAACGCATTCTAGCAAAACTTAAGGTAAGTTTTTCATTCAATTTTGTTTGCATTTTCACTGATAAACCAGCCTTTTAAACTGATAAGCCTCCAATAACAAAGAAGCATAGATATGAAGTATAAACAAATATCCAAGAAATGTAAAAAAAGATATATAGCGCTAAGTGCTCGATTTTATAGCCTTTAGCTAAGTATTGTTCAAGCGCACCTCTCTCGGAGGCTGTCACATTTGTTGATACACAACTCATTAAACTCACGGCTCAACACGGCATTTGCATATATACGTGTTTTAATCACTTTTCCCTGCCCTCCTCATGCCCTCTATATGTGTATATATATCTATTGCTGGGATTCGTGGCTAACGCGTTTTTATGCTAGAATGCTTAAGCATTATTATTAATGCTATGCCTTGATTCTGTTGATAATATTGATTTCAAGATATAAATATAAACATTGACAAATTAATGTTGAATGCGGCTCTGAGTGCGATTCCCATTCCCATTCGCGAATCGCTCTGTCATCATCCTCTCTCGACTCACAGCTTGAAGTAGTTGTTGTTTTAGTTGCCATTTGCTGCACTTGAAATCTGTGGCAGCCTGTTTTTCAAAATCTGCCTCTCCTCGACCACCTTATCAGACCTTGTCACGCACTTCACATTTTTAATACCCTCCTCAGTGGGTGCTTTAACGTTAACATGTACTATGTGACATATTGAAAAGATTTATCTAATTTCGATCAATCATGATGTGTCATACATATGT